GGGTTGAGCGTTCACAAACAAGTTTAACCCTGCCAAATTCCTTATGTGTCTATCCCAAGTCATGAATAAGCTTGTAGTTCAGTGGTTGTCAATAGTTCATGTCATATTTGTTTTACGTAATTTGTTCTGTTATAAAGTATGTTGCTCGTTTTTCTAGTTGGAATTATTTCTCTTTTTCCTTGTCCTTATAGTTGACTATACTGTATACGGTATGGTTTTTTTTTTTTTGCATTGTTGAAGGCAGAACTTTTACCCATTGTTAATGATTCACTTATTTGAACTCAAGTGGACATTTGGTGCATTTGCAATCATGCACATCTCATTGTTTTATGTTATATTACACATAAATTATAAATAAATAGAGTCAGAGTGCCTGTGTCAATTGTTGTTGTACGTGTTTGTTTTTATGAATGAAGTGTATAGAAGATCATCCTTTGATGAATAAAGTAATTCAATAAAAGTATTTAATTGTTTTATCCTCGTATTTTTTTTTTAAACACACGAAAGACTAAAAAGGAAGAATGGAGAAGGAAATACTTCAGTTCATCATCTTTTGTTTATTGAAGTTGATTGTAATCAGATATTTTGAAATAACACAACAAAAAATAGTTTGCAATTTGAAATTACATTCTACACTTTAGATAATAATTCGACAAACTCAATATGTAATTTATCTATTGATCTTTATTTTGAACGTATTTTAATCAGTATTAATTCAACTTATAAGATATCTAATTTCATTTTCCCACTTTATCTTATTCATTTTCGTCGTCTTCCTCACTCTTACATATTTTTCTATGAATCTCAGTGTATGACCAAACTCAGTAAAGACACGTCATTGTTACATTTGGTTGATAAATTCAACAATACCTAACGTTATCTTGATGATATTGTTTCGTTGAATAATCCAGAACTCTCTAAAAATACTTCTGAAAATTACCCAAAGGAACTTACTTTAACCAAATCTAACTTAAACAGCAGTAGTTGTCCTTTCCTAGATGTAGACAGTTCACTTTCTAAAGAGGCCTCCATACTAAAATTTACGACAAAACAGACGATTTTTCAGTCCCTATTGTTAATTTCCCTTTTTTAGACGGCGATGTTTCTTTGGCTCTATCATACGGTGTTTATATATCCCAACTCGTTCGTTATGCCCGTGTGTATAGTGATGTCATATATTTTAGTGAACGTAATCAATGCATCACGGGTACATTATTAAGTCAGGTATTCTGTTACCATAAATCAATTTTACTAAATTCTTTCATAGATTCAACGATTTGATTTAGTAAATATGGTTGTACCTGTAGAAAACTTCTTAAAAACGGAATTTCACATCCTAAATTTTACGATAATATTGTACTAAAAGCGCGGAAATCACTATCCATGAACACTCATCAAACCTTTAAAAACACTTATTAGTAAAAATTACCTTACGATGTTATAATTAGATCTATGAATATAGTTAACATTTGCACTTAAATCGATTTTGTCATTAGCAAATTAAAACATAACTAAATTTGTATTCTTTGCAAACGGGATGTATAAATACGCATCCACGTTGAACTTCATGTTTCTATATAGGTGTTAGCTATCCTACAACCTGTCAATACTTTTATTTTTGGCATTGTACAAGTCATGTCTTGTCTGACTGTCCATGACGTTAAAATTGCTAAATCCCTGGGATGTGTTTAGTTGATTTTAGTCTCTGATGCATGATTTTTTTTTAATAATTGTTTTTGGCTTTTAACTAGCTTTCAGTAACTGCGAGTACTCTCAAATCGTACTTTCTTTTTAATTTGACCTATTGATACATTTTTTAATGCTTATTTGTTATTGAATGTTTACTTAACTAGGGTTATATCTCGTCTCTCTATTTTTAATATATACCAGCTTTGATAAGTGAATGTTCGGTATGACTATAAATTTTCACTTCTATTCTATGAACTATGAACAACAACATATTATTAGGTTGTAAACATATTTCCGTTTTCCATTTAAACTGCATACCTTCAACAAAACTTTTTTCATTTACCTGTGTACATTATTCTATTTGGCGGCATTTTGTTAATTTTTTTTTTATTCTGAAATTGATAAAAATATAACCCCTTATTTTACTGATTTTTGTTTTTTGTTTATTTACATAGATTAAATGTATTCGTTCAGTGTATGTTCACTTTTCTTAATATGTCTTTTGATTGAGTTAAGCCATTTTCATTGGTATCTTATAGTGTGTCTTTTTTATGTTGTGATGTTACACTATTGTTTCTGATAAGGGCTTAGGTTGGTGCCTATTAAACGTTTAAACCCGCTGCTTTGTTTGCCACTGTCCTTAGAAATGAATCTCATATTCAGTAGTTGTCGTTTGTTGAGATGGTTCATAACTGTTTCTCGTTTCTCGTTTTTTTATAAAGATTATACCGTTGCTTTTCCAGTTTAATTGGTTTTACACATGTAATTTTTTAGGGCCTTTATAGCTTGTTGTTCGGTGTGAGCCAAGGCTCCGTTTTGAAGACCGAGCTTTGACCTATAATGGTTTACTTTTACAAATTATGACTTGGATAAGAAGTTGTCTCATTGGCACTCATATCACTTCTTCTTATACCTATATTATAGGCATGTCAAGGAGTACTCGAGTACTCGTGTATCGCTTGGTAGTACCGAGTATCGATTACCAAAATTATACTCGACTAAACGTTTCCCTGTTTAATGGTGTTGCTTTCTTAAGTTAAAACAAATAATTTTTTTATTGAGAGCGCCTCCCAGGAAACTAAATATTAATTATAAAACAATAATAAAAATAAAAATACGATTCGAATGTTTGCGTTTAACTGTTATTTAAAATTCCTCTAAACAGAGGTAGGATATATGACCAAGAACACTTTTCCCAGGCTTACATTTTTTATAATCTAAGTCATCCCCCACTACTGTACCATCAGAGCATATATTTTCATCAGCAGGACTGTAAGATAAACAGTGAGTTACCTTACAAAGTTGAGAAATCGCCTCGTCCCAGAAATAATATTCTTAGATAAGAAAACATTCGTTGCATCCTGTGTCGATCCTCAGTAAATGATCAAATGCATCAGTAAGTTCTAATCATTACCCCTTTGTTGATCAATTGATGTATTTGTTAACATTTCCCAAATACGGTTGTTTGAGTAATAATTTTTCTATAGATATTAATTAATAACTTAATTAGATTATTGCTACATAATTATGGCAAACAATTTCCCATTATCTAGTCCTAGGTAATCAAGTTGAGGATTTTAAGTTCATAAGACAACAACCCTCATTACATAGAAAGTAAGTAAGTAAGTAGTTTATTCAAGTGTCACATATTGATTGATATGAATATAAGCAACATTATACAAATATATACACATAAAACAATCAATATCCAGCCATAAAAACGTCTTATGAGACAATATCAAATTTAAAATTCTATAAAAATTTCATAAAATGGTATAGTTTTGTGTTTCCATTTTGTTAATGTTTTACCGAGCGAGTACTCGAGTATCGCTCGTTAAATCGAACGAGTACTCGATTAGTAAATCTTCACCGAGTTGACATCCCTACGATATTATGAATAGTAAAAATAAAAATTTGCAACAAGAATCGGGACTTATTTCTCGTATATATATATATATATATATATATATATAAAAACACAAAAGGTTTTAAGAAAGGCAAGGAATGCAATAATTCTGATGTGAGCCAACTTAAATGACAGATGATTTTGAAATATCTATCTATTGATCATTATTAAAATGTTGTTATAAAATTTCAAATATTTTAATTATAAACATTGCATGTAAAAGCCCTATACAAGATGGTTTACATTGTCTTTATATAATATGATAAAGTTTTTTAGCCGGTCAAAAATAATTCAAATGTAATTCAAAATTACAATGACAATGTTATTGGGATGCTATTGACTGCATTTGCAAATTAAGGGATATTGTCATTGTAATTACGTTAAATTGATCAGTATGTTCCAAGTCAGAAATATGACAGTTGTTATCAAATAGTCCGTTTCTATGTTTGTTGGCTCTTGTGTTTTGGCTGTTCAGTTTTTCTGTTGTTTCGTTGATTTCCTCTTATGGTTGGTGTGGTTCCCTCGGTTTTGGTTAGTGACCCGGATTTTTTTCTCGCTTAATCAATTTATGACTATTGAACAGCGGTAAACTACTATTGTTTTTCTTGACATGAAATTTATAACTTTGACATGTTATCAATTCTAGTTCTGTTTTTGAAGATACCCATTACTCCTACCTCATAAGATTAAGCAGTCCCAGAAATAAGAGGTAAGTCTTTTGAAAAGTGCCAGTATTTCTCTTACATGTCTTTACAACATGAATATAACCTTGTCAATACAACTGGTGTCATAATGTATCACACAAATATTTAAAAATTACATAAAATGGAGAACGGAAATGGGGAATGTGTCAAAGAGACAACAACCGGACGCAAAGAGCAGATAACAGCCGAAGGCAACCAATGGGTCTTCAACATAGCGAGAAAATCCCGCACCCGGAGGTGGGCCTTAGCTAGCCCCTAAATAAAAATATGTACCAGTTCAGTGAAAATGCACGTCAGACTCACTCGAAAACATATAAATGAACTAAAATTAAAAAACATACAAGACTTACAAAGGCCAGAGGCTCCTGACTTGGAATAGGCGCACAAATGAGTCGGGGTTAAACATGTTTTGTGAGATTTCAACCCTCCACCTGTACCTCTAACCAAGGAAGAATAAAGAAATATACAGCAATGATTATAGGTATGAAGGTTTTAATAATTTTTGATATTATTTTACACTATTTTCTGACTTGAATGTTGATTAATGATATCAACTATATCTTTGTAACCTTTTCTAGTAGCAATATTTAAAGCTGATTGACCCTTAGAGTCACATCTATTATAGTCTACCCCTCTTACCAGCAACAACTTTACTATGTCTTCATGTCCGAGCTCACAAGCCTTCATTAAAAGAGACCCACCCACATCATCAAATAAATTCTGGTCTGCACATCTGTCAAATAACATTGATACTACTTCTGCATGACCATTATCACATGCCTGCAATATATGTGATTGACTTATCTTCTCGCATTTATTATAATCTGTGCCTCTGTCTAACAACAACTTTACTATTTCTATATGTCCCTGTTCACAAGCTATCGTTAACGGCGACTCATTCCAATCATCACAGTCATCATAGTCTGCTCCTCTGTCTAATAGCAACATTACTATTTCTGAATAATCATTTTCACAAGCCACCATTAAAGGTGATTTACCGCACCTGTCACATTTATTGCAGTCTGCTCCCTTGTCTAACAATATCTTTACTATTTCTGAATAACCATGTTCACAGGCCTTCATCATAGGTGACTCAGCCCACATGTCACATTCATTACAGTCTGCTCCTCTGTCTAACAACATCATAACTATTTCTGTTTGGCCATGTTCACATGCCTTAAGTAAGAGTGACTCACCATCATCGTCCCATATATTATGGTCTGCTCCTCTGTCCAATAACATCATTACTATTTCTGTATGACCCTGTTCATATGCTATCATTAAAGGTGATTGACCCAACCTGTCACATTTATCATAGTCTGCTCCTTTGTCTAACAACATTTTGGCTACTTCTGTATAACCATGTTCACAAGCCTTCATTAAAGTTGGCTCTTTCGAACTGTTACATTTATTATAGTCTGCTCCTCTGTCTAACAACATCTTTACTATTTCGGTATGACCATGTTCAAAAGCCTTCTTTATAGGTGAATTATTATCATCATCACATTTATTAAAGTCTGCTCCTCTGTCCAATAGCATCTTAACTATTTCTGTATGACTATGTTCACAAGCCGTCATTACAGGTGACTCGCCATCATTATCACACTTAGTATAGTCTGCTCTTTTATCCAACATTATCTTCACTATTTCTGTATGACCATGTTTGCAAGCTGTCATTAAGGATGACTCGCCATAAAAATTGCATCTTTCACTGTCTGCCCCACTGTCTAACAACATTTGCACTATTTTTGTATGACCATTTTCACAAGCTTTCATTACAAGTGACCGACAATAATCATCATATTTATTATAGTCTGCTCCTCTGTTTAACAACATCTTTGCTATTTCTGTATGACCAAGTTCACACGCCCTCATCAAAGGTGACTGTCCCCAGAAGTAGTATCAATGTCAGACTCACTCGAAAACATATAAATGAACTAAAATTAAAAAACATACAAGACTTACAAAGGCCAGAGGCTCCTGACTTGGAATAGGCGCACAAATGAGTCGGGGTTAAACATGTTTTGTGAGATTTCAACCCTCCACCTGTACCTCTAACCAAGGAAGAATAAAGAAATATACAGCAATGATTATAGGTATGAAGGTTTTAATAATTTTTGATATTATTTTACACTATTTTCTGACTTGAATGTTGATTAATGATATCAACTATATCTTTGTAACCTTTTCTAGTAGCAATATTTAAAGCTGATTGACCCTTAGAGTCACATCTATTATAGTCTACCCCTCTTACCAGCAACAACTTTACTATGTCTTCATGTCCGAGCTCACAAGCCTTCATTAAAAGAGACCCACCCACATCATCAAATAAATTCTGGTCTGCACATCTGTCAAATAACATTGATACTACTTCTGCATGACCATTATCACATGCCTGCAATATATGTGATTGACTTATCTTCTCGCATTTATTATAATCTGTGCCTCTGTCTAACAACAACTTTACTATTTCTATATGTCCCTGTTCACAAGCTATCGTTAACGGCGACTCATTCCAATCATCACAGTCATCATAGTCTGCTCCTCTGTCTAATAGCAACATTACTATTTCTGAATAATCATTTTCACAAGCCACCATTAAAGGTGATTTACCGCACCTGTCACATTTATTGCAGTCTGCTCCCTTGTCTAACAATATCTTTACTATTTCTGAATAACCATGTTCACAGGCCTTCATCATAGGTGACTCAGCCCACATGTCACATTCATTACAGTCTGCTCCTCTGTCTAACAACATCATAACTATTTCTGTTTGGCCATGTTCACATGCCTTAAGTAAGAGTGACTCACCATCATCGTCCCATATATTATGGTCTGCTCCTCTGTCCAATAACATCATTACTATTTCTGTATGACCCTGTTCATATGCTATCATTAAAGGTGATTGACCCAACCTGTCACATTTATCATAGTCTGCTCCTTTGTCTAACAACATTTTGGCTACTTCTGTATAACCATGTTCACAAGCCTTCATTAAAGTTGGCTCTTTCGAACTGTTACATTTATTATAGTCTGCTCCTCTGTCTAACAACATCTTTACTATTTCGGTATGACCATGTTCAAAAGCCTTCTTTATAGGTGAATTATTATCATCATCACATTTATTAAAGTCTGCTCCTCTGTCCAATAGCATCTTAACTATTTCTGTATGACTATGTTCACAAGCCGTCATTACAGGTGACTCGCCATCATTATCACACTTAGTATAGTCTGCTCTTTTATCCAACATTATCTTCACTATTTCTGTATGACCATGTTTGCAAGCTGTCATTAAGGATGACTCGCCATAAAAATTGCATCTTTCACTGTCTGCCCCACTGTCTAACAACATTTGCACTATTTTTGTATGACCATTTTCACAAGCTTTCATTACAAGTGACCGACAATAATCATCATATTTATTATAGTCTGCTCCTCTGTTTAACAACATCTTTGCTATTTCTGTATGACCAAGTTCACACGCCCTCATCAAAGGTGACTGTCCCCATATATTACATGTATTACAGTCAGCTCTTTTGTCTACCAATTTCTTTAATATTTCTGTATGACCAAGTTCACAGGCCATCATTAATGGTGACTGGGCAAAAGTATCACATCTAGTCAAGTCTGCTCCTCTGTCCAACAGTAACTTTACTATTTCTGTATGACCATGCTTACAAGCCTTTATTACAGGTGACTTCCCATAATTGTCACGCTTATTACAGTCTGCTCCTCTGTCTAACAACATCTTTGCTATTTCTGTATGACCAAGTTCACACGCCCTCATCAAAGGTGACTGTCCCCATATATTACGTGTATTACAGTCAGCTCTTTTGTCTACCAATTTCTTTACTATTTCTGTATGACCAAGTTCACAGGCCTTCATTAATGGTGACTGAGCCCATTTATCACATCTAGTAAAGTCTGCTCCTCTGTCCAACAGTAACTTTACTATTTCTGTATGACCATGTCCACAAGCCTTCATTACAGGTGACTGACTATCATCATCACATCTATTAAAGTCTGCTCCTCTTTCTAACAAGATCTTGACTATTTCTGTATGACCATGTTCACATGCCTTCATTAAAGGTGACTCACTATTATCATCACATCTATTTACGTCTGCTCCTCTTTCTAACAAGATCTTGACTATTTCTGTATGACTATGTTCACATGCCTTCATTAAAGGTGACTCACTATCATCATTACATCTATTAAAGTCTGCTCCTCTTTCTAACAAGATCTTGACTATTTCTGTATGACCATGTTCACAAGCCTTCATTAAAGGTGACTCACTATCATCATCACATCTATTAAAGTCTACTCCTCTTTCTAACAAGATCTTTACTATTTCTGTATGACCGTGTTCACAAGCTTTCATTAAAGGTGACTCATCAAAATAAATATAGTTGTTAACATCCACACCCAAATTACAACACCATAGAACCAAAGAAATGTCACCCATTACGCAGCATTTCAAAAGAACATCATCATCATCATAATGAAGAATGTTTTCCATAGGTTTAGGTTGATCTAAGATATGTGCTAGCTGTCTTTGGTGAGATATATCTAATGTATCTAAATGAAGCATAAATTGCCGTCTAAATTGTGGCATCTTCATATTGATGTTACTAAATACATCATGTAATTTTCCCTTTGACCAGTCATCAATCATTCTCTGTATGTACATCTGATGATACGTTGGTGGTATAACAGTAATAAACTGATCCATCTCATCGTTGCTTTCTAATAAAAACCTCTCATGGATCAAACTACTATCTGCATTCTTTATCAAGCATTGTATTATTTTCTGTCCAAAGAAGTAAGCTAGGAAGTCAAATATTTTATTATGTATTATCTTGTACATGTTTCCGTCTTTCCTAATAAATGTATCTTTAAGCGAGTTCAGTTCATTCTGTAATAAAAGTCTTGGTGTTGTCCTATCCACTCTACATGCTTCACATGTGTTCTCAATAATAATCCCAGTTCCTTCATTTACCTCATCTATCAATATTTCATCGTTCAATTTGTTGTTAAATATGACACATAAAGCCAGAGCACAATATTTAGTGTTATGCCCTTTTTTGAGGAGCTTGTCAATATCTGCTTCATAAACTGTAAATGGATTCTGGAAGAAATTTATAATATTAAGGTTAGAATTATCATGGTATAATTTACATAAAAGAGGAAAATAATCATATAAATCACTATAGCCAGTAATCGCAGGGGCTTTCTTTTTCAGATATAACTCTGCTATTGATTGTTTTTCAGTTTTTAACAAACATATGTTCTCAGACAAAAGGTTACATTCACATGACTTGAAAACTGATAAAGATTCAAACTTTTCATCCATATATACATATGAGTGACATGCAGCAATAATTCTTGTTCGTTTGTTTCCAAGAAGCTTTTTTATATCCTCTATAACAGGTTCCCAATGTTTAATGTCACTCTGCTTAACAGAAAAATTTCCGCATAAATCATCCATAACAAACAATGTTTTTGCTTTAGGATTGTAAAACCTTACAATGTCACTTGGCTCTGTAACCAGAAGAACATCAAACTCTTCTTCGGCCATTTGTAAAGCTACATGTCGGAGAGTGGCAGTTTTTCCTACACCAGAACTAGCAGTTATAGTAACACAACTGTTTTCCTGTATACATTTTAGTACATGCTTTGCAGCTCTGGTGTTTATAAACAGCTGATCGTCATTTTTCTTCCAGGCTTTAAGTGTTTCTTTAATTCTTGCTGAAATATAAATAAGAAACATTTTATCATAAATTTCATATATACTAGTAATAGCCCGTGATTAAAATATTCCTATGGTCAGGTGCAAAGAACACTTAAATATTCACTGTAGTTCATCAAAAACAATCTTCAGACAATTTCAAGACATTAACATGATTTCTAAGTTAAAAAAAAACATCTAACATTCAAAATATTAACCTGTTCTATTGTTTTTATGTCTAACATTTTATTCTCTCAGCGTTAAACTCTGACAGTCAAAAGGATTATTACGTTCTACCAAAGTCTATTTCTATAGCTCTCCCATTATTACCCGACTTGGATTTCAAAGAAGTTAATCACCTAAAACTATAAAAAAAATTGACTTGTTGTAAGACTATATAGAACCTGAAAATTCGACCTTGATTGTTCTCTTCTTAATTGGTTTACGAGATTTTAACATGGGTAAACCATTGTAACCTGCAGCGATATCCATACGGCTGATATTCCAAAGAATCAACATATCCTTCTGTTTACTGCTAATATATAAAAAAATATGTCATGAAACTAATCTCAAATTTACCTCTTATATTGCAAGGTACTGTATCATCGTGGGAAGTTTTCAACCTTTTAACTTCATCTGTCATTTCAATATGATCCTCTTGGAGTTCTTCGTAAGATCTTTTCAGTTCACTATGATCCCCTTCGAGTAGTACTTCGTGAAATCTTTTCAAAGTGTTAAGTGACTCTTGTAGATTCTTCATTTCATCTTTAGAACATTTAATATCCTCTATTATTTCTTTGTTTGTCTGGTCTAGTGTTCTGGTTCTTAGTTGATCACAGTCTTGTTTTATTTTCTGTCCACCTAATCTTCCAATGGCCTATAAATTTTCACAAAAATTAAAAACAGTCTTTGAATGTCTAATTACTAATAATAAATTTCATGTCAATAAAAAGATAATTTAAATGCATGTGACAACTCGTTATGTCTTTTTGTTTGTACATCTGTAAATCAAAAGGTCATTGCATTGTTTTTGTATCCAAGAGTATATATAAACACAAAAATGTCTAGTCTGCCTTTCCTTTATGATTAAATTTATAACGGAAGTCTATTAGAAACTGGTTTTAATGCTGGTATCACATAAACTTCACATTATCAATTATCTATGAAAACGAAGTCAAGGTCAAATACTTATGTTTAGAGATAGTAAGTGCATGTTTCTATTTAGATCCCAGCAGATTGCATCATGTTTTAACTGTTTATCCAGTAAAAAAAACTGAAAACCTGTATTTCCAATCAAGAAAAACAAATTTAATCATGAACAAACTGGAAACTTGTCTATAAAGAGCAGATCTGATAGCTTTAATAGCGCTTAATGGAAACAGGTTTCACTGATATTACTTACCCCAGATATAATGTCCCATGCAGTGTTGAAGTCTGTGGTTCCTACTTTCCCACCATCCAGTTGAGCCAGGTAGTTCCGATAGTATTTGATTCTAGCTAAATCTGAACCTGGTGTGGTTGCCGTTGCAGTGGGTAAACAGTCAAATCCACCATGAGGATTGGTTATGTTCTTAAGGTTTCTTAAAAGTGTAATCATTAATGTAATGTCAAATGTCTTGGATTTTGGGTCATCTGAAAAAATCAATAACTTCATCATTGTCTAGTGTTTCTTCTTTGTATTGATCTGATGAATTAAGCCTTTTTCAACTGTTTTTTTTTAAGTTTGTTCTTATGTTGTGCTGTTACTCCACTGTCCCAGGTTAGGGGATGGTTGAGTGCTCCAAAAATGTTTAACCCCACCACGTTCTTTATGTGTCTGTCCCAAGACAAGAGCCTGTAGTTCAGTGGTTGTCGTAGGTTCATGTTTGTCATATTTGATTTTCGTTAACAGCTGTTTTGTTACAAACTAGGCCGTTAGTTTTTTCAATTGAATTAATTCATATTTTTCATGTCGGGGCTTTTTATAGCCGTCTATACAGTATGGGTTTTTCTCATTGTTGAAGGTAGTACGGTTGCCTACAATTGCTTACATCCAATTATTTTGAACTTTGGGGGATATAGTTGTTCATTGGAAATCATATTTCATCTCCTTATCTTTATATCGAAAAGATTAACCAAAGTGAAAACAAAATATATTAAACTTGATATGAACATGATGAAATAATCTCTCTTTTGAGCATACTACCAAGTGGTAATTGTAATTGTATGAGCTTTCATTTTATTTTATTTTTTCATGCTAATACAGTAGGAACCTTATTCATTCGTTGTGCTAAGCATATCCCTCACTTGAAATTCAAAATAATGGAAAACAGGAAGTAGGTTCTAACAGATCTGAAAAGCCGTCATAGTTTCAAATAATCACTGCTAAGCTGCTGACTTAATAAGAATCATTCTGTTCAGTAGTGCTTGGGAAAAGTGTGATAAAAGACTGTATATTCATTCAACATACTAAAAACTTCAAAATTTTAGTTAACAGGAGGTAGTGTATGTAAAAAAAAATCACCAAAGATACCAATATAAATAAGAAGATGTGGTATGAGTGCCAATGAGACAACTCTCCATCCAAGTCACAATGTATAAAAAGTTAACAATTATAAGTCAAAGTACGAGACAATGATCAAATACCACAAGTTCTCAAATATTTTTATTTTCATTTTTTTTTTTATAAATTCTGCACTAAAACTGTAAATAATACTGTTGAATAATGCCCTATTTTTGCAAATATACATTTCATGAAATTGTATATTCTTTTTAAATTTTGAATTTGGGACAAAAACATGTCACATTATTTTTCAATGAGGAATTACTGTTAATAATATATTGCTCATGTGCTTTGTGTTTCTTACACAGGTTCTTAGAAAAGAGATTAATCTGGCTTTGTGAACTTACCAGGATATCGTGGGAACAGGAGGTTCCATTGTGATCGGTTGATTCTGTGTTTCTTTTTTAAGTAGAGCAAGTTGTTGTACTCTTTTCTCAATGAGGCAGATAAACATCTTGGAGCAAATTCACTATCAAAGAATTTTCTAGCTGCACGTTCAGAAATTCCTGTTAGTAATAAACTCATTCTAACATAGTTTTCTTCCTCTGCAGAAAGGGAGGCCATCCTGTTGGATGTGCTAATCAGAGGAATGAACTTATATCAGAGCTATAGACTTTTTCCTTTAGAGCAGTGGATTGTATAAGCAATGGTTAATACTTGGTTAACAGTTACTGATCTATATTTGTCTTTTATGATGACAAAAATTTAAATTACTGCTCCATTCATGATGACATCTGATAAAATCTGGAATATTTCCTAAAAAAGAATGAAATAAATCTAAATAATTGAGGGCTAATATGCACACACCTTTTTTTCATTTACTTTATATGGAAATGGCTTTAGAATCTCAAATATATATATAAAAAGTTTTCACAAAACTAGAAAAATGGAATTCCTTCAAACAACATTTTAATCAAGTTAATCACTAATTTAAATGTTAATGTGAGCTTTATATGGTTACTCTTATAAGTTACATGTAATACAAAGACCTGTTTTTTTACTCTTGGGTCGGGTTGTTGTCTCTTTGACACATTCCCCATTTCCATTCTCTATTTTACCTCTTACAATATTCTCAGAATAATGTCCTTGAAACGTTTAAAATGACTGAATAATATGCAGAAAATATGTGAGAAAAACTACACATATCAAACTAACAAGTGGGTAAGCTAGGGCATATACCAAACAAGAGTAATTAGATTTTTCTGAAAATTTCAAAGCCATCTTTTCCCAAAAAAAAACAACACATTATCAAACAAACAAGGAGGCAAAGGCATTTACCAAACAATAGTAATAAGATCTTAGTGTAAATAATAAAATAGAACTCTGAGTTCTTTGATTCTGTAAATTAAGACTTTTATCAGAAATCTTCTCCTCATCAACTATAATTTTAAGACAAAATTGGTAATTTTGAGAAAATTGATAAACTAACCCGCTGCAATTGTTTGCACCTGTCCTAAGTCAGGAATCTGATGTTCAGTAGTTGTCGTTTGTTGATGTGGTTCATAAGTGTTTCTCGTTTCTCGTTTTTTATATAGATTAGACCGTTGGTTTTCCCGTTTGAATGGTTTTACACTAGTAATTTTTGGGGCCCTTTATCATTGTTTATAGCTTGCTGTTCGGTGTGAGCCAAGGCTCCGTGTTGAAGACAGTACTTTGACCTATAATGGCTTACTTTTAAAAATTTTGACTTGGATGGAGAGTTGTCTCATTGGCACTCATACCACATCTTCTTATATCTAAAACAATTTGAAGCGAATTTCGGAAGTTTGTGAGAAGTTATCTTTGGTCGAGTAATACATGGGTAAATGAAAAAGAGGAGATGATTTTTTTATGAGTTGTCCAAACAGAATCAAAGATTGTCTTTGGAATTCCTGTTTTCCATCCATTAGAAAAAAGAGGACTCTAGATTCTTTATACATACAAAATTTGCTTTAAATTGCCTAATAATTCTCTACGAAGATTTAAATATTAGTTTGAAAGATTTTAATAGGAACTGTGTATGACAAGTCTTATTTTGTTTTTATTCAATTTTCAAGATATCTTATAAACTAATAGTATACTGTTTACTGGTTGAGGACAAGTAAGTAAAAGCTGGCATATTTTGCAACAACTGTGTTTCATCAAAAAGCAATACTGCTTGGGGGAACATGACACCATCACTTTATGACGTATTGATCTTAGAAAATTAATTTATAATTACTGTTTACAGAAAAAATTATTATAATATCAAAGCTTGCTTTAAAAATTGATTGGGAAACTGGGACACAATAAATTTGTTTGGAATAAATGCTATGACATTTTTCTCAAACAGTATCATAATTTTCAAGATACAAACGAAAATGTTAAAATAGGTCAAAATCCTCATGTAATGGCAATATAAAACTCCTAAACGAAATCAGTCTTGGGGAGATCTTGTATTGCTAATAATTTTGACTATAGCCTTTTTACCTTTTCTGTTCCCCTTTTATACTTTCCATGATAAATCTCAAAACAGTTAGATTTTTCATTTTTTGTTTACTCTGCTTATTAAATTACTGCCCACCCACTTGCCCACCCCACCCCTTTTTTCTTCACTTGCAAACAAAGATTTACACTATACGTAAGTATAAATCCTTGTTGCAACGCAACAACAACAACAAAACCCTTGTGTTTTGAATGATTGTCAAAATTTATCAATAAAACTAAATACATACAGATAACTTTGTCTTCAGTTGGTTGTTTTTTTTATATCAAATACATTGCATCTCTGTACACTGCAGTTCACTCAAAGAAAAAATTCCTTCTCGAACGTTTCCATTTGATGCTTTGGTTTGAGATTTAATTTTATTCTGATAATTCCTTGAAAATAAGTGTATTATTAAACTTACAAATATGGAAATATGGTAAGTACAGTGGCTTGAGAAATCCTTTGTTTATCTTAGTTACATAAATTTCCTACTTTCGTTTCTGATGGTCCATTCGCCCCAATTACATGTTCGCCCTAGGTCCGTTCGTCCGTAGAATCCGTTCGCCCTATTTAATAAAAAAAATATATTAATATTTCTGGTATTTAGGTTTTCATATACCTATGCAAACATTTATTTTGTAAATAAAGAAAATACCAATAGTTTTAAGCAAATTGCTTGTTAGCGGGCAATGCATGGCTTCTTTGTTACACTTTTTTTTATTTAGAATTTATTTTGAATACTGTTGATCGCTCCAGGAGAGAAGGGGACTGGATCTTCACCCTTTGCTAGCGAAGATGAAGGAAAACAAGTGATTTTGAGTCTAAATACCGAAAAGGACGCAACGTATCTAGTACTAAACAAATCCTTGGAGTTTCCGCTATGATATAAAAAAAATTAAAACAATGAATATTCAGTGCAAACAATGTAAAATAAAAAATATCAATATCCTGTATCCAAGCGCCTGTGGGTTTTCCAAGCACTGTTTTAATGTCTTATAGTTTCAAGTTTCTCTCCGGCATCTCAATTATATATGTAACCAGAGACATATAATACAATTGTATTATAGGTCTCTGATGTAACTGTATATTGTTTTGCGAGTATTTCATACAATAAACAGGGATGCTCGGCTCCTTCACAAAGTTTCAATTGTAAAATATAATTTTTGAGATTCATTACGTATAAAACTTTATTAAAATCAAACTTAATATGTATGTGACAACAATAGTTTGGTATTTCAGAAAACTAAATAGATCTTAACTTTTCGTTTATTTTACAATATAATATAAACAAACATTCGACTGTTAGCTGTGACCACTTATCCTAATTTTTAAGTGAACTTTTTTTATTTTTCTACATATGAAATTTAGCGGTCTTAAATAATTTGATCTTCTTATATTCTTTAGATAATTAAATGACTGGCATGCCGACAATCACCAATCCTAACAGCTGTGATCACAAGAGTTTCGCAATCAGTGGTGTTAATACGATATGGATACTATAATCGGTCAAACAGATTTTATGGAATGCTTTAATCTATTTAAGACCATTGTGTATAAACAAATTGAAATATAAAAACTCCATTATTTTACTCACTACATACGTCAATCGCTCGGATTGAAACTGTGTAGATATAAAATCAAATTAGAGTTGTCTCTCTTTACACATTTCACCAACCCTTTATCCTTGATGGGTTTTTCTCTCCATTTCAACCCGTTTGTCGCGCAATATATTGTCTTCTGAATAGTTAAATTAGAATAAGATTTGATTTAGATATGTGCAAATTAGTGTGAATCAGTGCTATTTTCCAGGCAACTTAATGGCATGATGAAAAAAGAGACGACATCAAAAACAAAAGTGCACAAACCACCATACAGAAAAACTACATGTATTTATTCATTAGTCAGAAGATGCTCTGACGTCTGACACACTTTTTAAGGACCTGCTTGGGTCGTTTAATTAACCATGTGTTGTTCGTTCACAGTGGTGTTTTTCTTTGTCTAATAAAATTGAGAATTGAAATAGGGAATGTGTCAAAGAGACAACAACCCGACCAAACAGCAGAAAACAGCCGACGGCCTCCAATGGGTCTTCAACACAGCGAGAAAATCCCGCACCAGGAGGCGGGGTTCAGCTGGCCCCTAAACAAAATGTGTACTAGTTCAATGAAAATGGACGTCACACTAAGCTCCAAAACATATAAATGAACTAAAATTAAAAATATACAAGACTAACAAAGGCCAGAGGCTCCTGACTTGGGACAGGCGCAAAAATGCGGCGGGGTTAAGCATATTTTGTGAGATCTCAACCCTCCCCTATGCCTCTAGCAAATGTAGAATAAACAAACACACAGTAATACGCACAGTAAAACTCAGTTTAGAAGAAGTCCGAGTCCGATGTCAGAATAGGTAACAGAAGAAACTAAGCAAAATGACAATGATACATAAATTAACAAGGGACTACTAGCAGTTACTGACATGCCAGCTCCAGACCTCGATTAAACTGATTGAAAGATTATGTCTTCATCATATGAAAATCAAGCACAATCCCTCCCGTTAGGGGTTTAGAATCATACCATCATAAAATATGAGAAGAACATAACCCATATCATGCCAACAACTGGTTTTAGAATAAATGTGTTTATTTCCGATGCAAAGACCCTATGAGTGAATCAATATTAATACCAAAATATGCCATCTTTAATGACATGACAACAGTATCATAACAATATCCCTTCTGAATAAGTCTGTTTAAAGGTTTGGTTAGCTTTTGTGTGAATGTCGACATGTTTGTGCTTTGTATAGAATATTACCTTAAAAAAATGGGATGTGAAATACCTGAACGTATAAGGTGTCTGCATGTTGATTCATATTTACGAATGATGTCCTTGTTCCGATGATAAAATTTAGTAAATGTTTTGACTAGTTTGTGATATCGAAAACCCTTGTGTAATAATTTTTCAGTAATACAGAGATTTCTTTCGTTAAAACCAAATACGTTGTTACATACACGAGCGAATCGAACAAGTTGAGATATATAAACACCATAAGATGGAGACAAGGGCACATCACCACCTAGAAATGGATAATTAACAATAGGAAATGAAAAATCATCTCTTTTATCATAAATGTTGGTATTAAGCTTCCCGTTAAAGATATAGATATCAAGATCCAGGAAAGGGCAATGTTCATTGTTAGTATTAGCTTTATTTTAAGTAAGTTTAGCAGGATATATCTCTTAAGTTTATTTACTTGGAGGAGTCAGAGACATATATACACACATATATGTGTATAATATGTGTGTATATATATATACTCTCTGGATGAGTCGAATGTTTGTGGTTGGTGTGGTCTTTTCACGGTGATGTCAAAATTTTTCGATTATAATGGATATTTTATTTATCTACAATAAGAGGTCAAAAAGTGTTTCACCATTCGCAAATTCTGCTATTATGTTTGATACAAAACACAGTTTTTAATAAAATTGCAATAACTTATTCCAGGTCCGATTTTGATGAAATCTTCACTGTCAAACTTATAAATGTCTTAAGATGTTTATAGTCACGACTAAATATTCTAATGACATTTGATTATACTGAGAAATCATCCTTTTCAAACAAAAAATGAAATAAAATGGGTTTTTTTTTCATCAGGCATATTAATTTGTGCAGAAGTTCTCTAAAGTTAAAATCAAACAAGTATTTAAAAAATATCGGCTAAATGCCATTCAAATCGTGCAAGTAATAACTGAGGGGCCTGATGGGGGGGGGGGGGGGGTCTCATCACGATTCACGAGTTGGTTTTTTTTTGTCAATCACGATTCACAGAAAATAAATTTCCATGATCATGGATCACGAATGTATAAAAAAAAATCTGTAGAAAAACGGATCACGATAGCGAAAATGCGCCGATCACGAAGAACGAAAATAACCCATCAGGCCCCTCATAACTGAAGGAGAACTTTTTTAAAATGTGATTTCATATGAATATATAGCGGAATTTTCAACACTTTTGACCTCTGACTTTTATATATACTACCGAGAAGATTTCATACAGTGATTTTGGATTTTTATATCAATAAAATCTTTTATAGTAATGTAAAAACATCATGTACAGGAACAGTTGATCGGGTTGACCTCTATAGATGTATTTTGATTTTGTTTCGTTTGGTTACTATCTAATTATACATCATATATATTATTCATGTAAATGTATAATAATTGATATTATTCTAATTCTATATAATTATGTTCCACTGTTACCAGCAATAATCATATTAAACCAAATGTTATTTTGCATGTTTGTTTGTTTATTTGTTTGTTTGTTTGTTTTTAAATTTATAACCAATAAATCGTTCACTAAGCACGGTATGTTTTCAGACAAAAACGTGCTTAAATTTTAAAAGCACCATATGGAATAAGCCAATAAACCGATAATTCCACTTTTTAACATAGAGGTTGGATTTCTTTGGATTGTATTCAAATAAAGTTTACGTGTAATAGTTTATTTTAGCTTAAAAGATGGTTCATACAATAGTTTATGTTGATTTGGGTTAATTGCTATATATACAAGTGATGTTCTAAGGTTTTCTTATTAAGAACCTTAGCATGCATGCGCTTGAGTTTTTTCGTGAAATGTTGATATGCTGTTTCCAAGACAGGTTAGTTTCTTATACTTAGTACTAAGCATTTGGTACGTTTATATCTTTTTGTGACTTCTCCCTTGAGGGTGGAACGATACTAAATAGGTCAACGTGATATGGTCTGCTGCATGACTACACAAGCTTTTTCCGATCATTCTCTCTCATCGATGACTTGTTGGCTATGACCAATTGTGTGTATGTCCTGTTACTACATAGTATTGCAGTTTGTTTAGTATTCTCTTATTTCGAATGCAATCAAGGGTCTTGGAAGAGTCGAGGTAGATATCTTCTACACCGTCTAGAGCAAATGCAAGTTATTGGCGTAGCGTGTTGTGTTTCTGAGCTTCCTTGTTGCAATAAAACATGCTGACATTTGGTATGTATTTTGTATTTGTCTACATGTTGCTGGCGATAATATGTTATAAGAAACCACAGCACAGACAACATGGGAATGATACAAGTTGGTGATATAATAATATGGGTTTCCTTTTCTAAATATAGCTGTAACTTTTGCCTGTTTCAAGTCTCCTGGCGAACCAACAAAATGATGCATAGCAAAGCTGCAATAGGTCGTCTGTACATTCCCTTTGAAACCTCGCAGGTATAATATCAGTTTGTCGGTCTTTACAATCATGGCTTTTACTTACGCTTCTACGCGACAGCTCGCTATCTCTGTCATTAGTGTAATTATATTGTTTACTGTTGGCTTTGGTACTTTTTGTTACCTTCTCTAGTGAAGACTTATTGATGTTGTCTCAGTGTTCAAGATGTTAAAAGTGGCTATGAAATTCAAAGCATAGAATCGTCTTCCGTTGAATATTTTAGAGGAGTTTTATCTGTGAAGTCTGTATTTAATCCGTTTATAACTATATTGCACAAGAAGCGTTTCTATTTGTAAGGGGTTTATACTGTTTGTCTCCTAATTCATATCTGGTGCTTATAATATAGAGTGTAGGAAATACATTCCGGCATTTTATTTATCTTACCTCCTATACATTTCTAGGAATATCATTGGTTAGAATATACCGCGTGGAGACCGTGTATATTTCATATGGGGTTAGTAGGCGGGGTTTATTCTAATACACGGTTAGTAGTGGTGTTATGTCCCTTTATAAAAACAATACGGCGTTGATGAAAAATCTGAAACGTTTCTACAAAGAAAGAAATTGATGATGAACGATTGAAATAAATGCAGAAAACATATTAAAAGCTAACAAGTTGTTATTGTTGGCATTTGTTTTTGTATAGACCAATAGAAGTAGGTTCTTTATATTGAAGACTTGATCAGTTTGATAGGTCACTAGTCTAAATGCCACATGTTAAGATAAATTCGAGAGCTTTTTCTCTCATCCCATATGTAATTTACTGACCCCATATATATCGTATTAGGTCACTACCACACTATGTATATAACTGACGTTCATTTCAATCTTGAATCTAAGAATATCAAAAATAACCCAATAAAGGATTTCGAAGTATCAGTGACAATAATATTTCGAGGAATATTTCGCCTTTTTGGATTGCAAATGACCGAAAATGATAGACGAAAATGTTCACTACAAGCAAATTTTCTACCCTTGAAACTTGACTGAATGTGAAATTTTGAAATACAAACACATTTATCATGAAAAGGATAGACAATAGATTTAAGAAGACGTGGTATGAGTGCCAATGAGACAACTCTCCATCCAAGTCACAATTTGTAAAAGTAAACCATTATAGGTCAAAGTACGACCTTCAACACGGGGCCTTGGCTCACACCGAACAGCAAGCTATAACTTGAAGGGCCCCAAAATTACTAGTGTAAAACCATTCAAACAGGAAAACAGACTTTATATCAACGGGGCAAACAAAACAGACATTAAAAAAAATAAAAAGCCGACAAGGAACAACACTTAAAAATAAAGCAAAGCCAACACGAACCACTGTTAAACAAAACTAGGGGTGATCTCAGGCGCTCCGGAACGCATATATGTGGTAAGTAGATAATGCTCCTCATGAGGGCACCTGTCGTGTCTCGTATAAGTACACACCCGGTCAATTGTTTTATTCGGTCGCGTTAAATTTTCAAAAGGTAGTAACAAACGGAGTCCCAAAAGCTGGGACTATTTAAACACTAACATATATTGGACATACTAACATAGTTAATTAGCTAGTATATTAGTCCTAACCAAAAGCGACGCGTCAGCAATAGTTAAAGGAGGATGGTAATGGGGGTACCTTCAGGACGAATAACGGTAAAAAAATCTTGCCAAATGACGTCAACGGTAACTTTTGGTGCATGACGATAAAATGAAGTCTTTCTTCAAGACGATAAAAAAATCGGCTGATTTTGACGAATCACGTTAATTTTTCAGTTCCTACAAAAATAACGCCGGGTAACGCATGATAATTATTTGAGACCTCTAACGAATCACGATAAGGATATTTTGACGAATCACGGTAAAATTTTAATCAATTTGACGCTAACGCCAGTAACGGTAGCCGAAAATGACCGTTTGACGCCTGACGGTAAATTTAGGGCATTCCGATGATACCCTCGTAAAGTGCTATAAGACAATTTCCAACAAAATAACTTAATAAGTTATAATTATTATATAGAATATGTGCGGTTAATAGGGAAAGCTTTCACGTAATCAATTTACAAGAAATCAAATCTAATTGGGCGTCATCAGATTTTTAGTCACAGGCACTTGTCTCTGAAAGCTATTTTTATTTCAGAGACAAACTTCCTGTGTTTTTAGTCCATAAATCAAGGCCGTAACTAGGCATATTATTTTAGTGAGGCAGAATTGTTCGCCGAGTTGAGGGAGTCGAAAAAAATGAGCCGAGCGAAGCGAGGCGAAATATTTTGGCAGGGTATGGGATAAATGGTGCAAAATCCTGCATTCTGGGCATTTCCAGAGAGCTTGACATCGTTTTAATTTTGGACACTTTTTATATATTTTTCATATTTTAAGACATGTACATGTACTAACACCGATTTTTAACAACTTTATTTAAATTTATATGTCAGATAAACATCCATATATCAATTTGAGTCTGCCGCCAGAACATAGAACAAACATCGACTCAGTAGAAATTAACGGTTATTCAAATTGGAGTACGCTAATTTTTTCTATGGCCGGTTTCGTTAAATCGTTTTGGAATATTTGGTCTGCTGACATCCTAATCGCGATGAACATGGAGCATTGCAAGACCGCACATTCTCTCGCCACTCATGCATGCTCTTTCCCAAGTTTTCAGTCATCTCAGGGCAGAAAAAGAACGTTCACAGCAGACGCTTGTCACTTGGAGAGTTAATAAAAGCACAAGAACACGTAATACGTTTGGGTAAAAATCCTGATGTGCGTATACTAGAGCTTGCTGAAGGGAATTGGGAACAGATTCCTTATCTGTGAACTTTGTTTTCAATCTTAAAATCTCCTGCTGCCAGTCTTCAATGTCTGGCAAATCCGTGTTGTATGCTTCTTTTATTTCATCTATGCATTCGTCTGTCAGGTAGTCAAACTTTCCAGGTAAAAGGTATTAACCAATCATCATTTGTCGCTGTTATTGTGGGAATCTTGTGGGAGGAGGGGGAGGGGGGAGGGGTCCGATCCCGAACTCCCGAATAAAAATCACACGAAATTCCGTAGTCCCGAATTAGAAAACACAAAATCCCGTTTTAAAGGTCCTATACTGTCCCTCAATAATGTCAAATTGGATTACGGGATGTTCTTTCAAATTTTAATGTTAAAGAAACATGGATAAAAACTAATCCATAAACCCATAGATTAGGTTTGAAGTTATATTCAATACTTGAACTCTTATCCTCTGTTGTGATCACAAAAAACATCAGTTAGTTTACTAGAATTATTCCTTCCTCACCTTCAGTATCGCTTTTCCTTTTTCTGCAAGAGCCTGTTTTAACCAGAGATCCATGATGATTACCGTTACTAGGTTAATGTTAATCGAAAACATCACCCGTTGAGATGCTGAGTTATAGCCGGGAAGAATAATTGTAAAGGAACGATGACAAGTTATAGAAATTGAGGTTGAGACAGAAAAAACAAATGACTATATTTTGTATTTGATTACCATAATAAAATACAAAAAAAAAAAATTCAGTGTCGAAATTTTAGTGAGGCAATTGCCTCACTTGCCTCAATGGTAGTTACGGCCTTGTAAATATAAACCATTTAAACATGTTAACTAATAAGTTTGTGAGATACTTAATTTTTTTTATTGTGTACATAAATCATCGATAAGAGTAGAAACATTAAAATTCATATTAATATTGAATCACTATCCTACACTGTAAAATTGAATGCCCAGATTGTTGAACAGAGTTCTCTCCCCTATTCAAGAATTGTCGCTGTTGCTTAGGTCAAGATTAGTCACATCGGGACCTACACACTCCACAGTTTACATTGTACACTACCTCAGTGCAAGGGAAGTATATATTTACAAAGTGAAAATGGGTTCTGTTATAAATAATTTATTAGGACTGAAAGACCCATCTCTTGTGGCTAATTTTCAGAAATATTGTCAAATTGAAATTTTACCAGGAACTGAGGAAAAGGATTCTGAGTCTGACTACCTGTCATCCTCATCTCATGTGACCTATGGAGATTTACACCAAAGACTTACTAAAACCAATGGGTTTGTTCAGAATAATAGCAATGGTGTCATTAACAACGAACACTGTAGTCAAAATGGGTCTATACACTCAAATAATGTTGACCACATGGAAAATGTGCAAAAAGACTGTACACAATCCGAGAATAAATCAGAGACCAAGTATATTGTGCATAGCAAATTTCTATATTGGACTTTTCGATTGGGAGCTGGATTTGGGAATGAATTCTTTTATTTGACATTTTTCACATTCTGCTTATGGAATCTCAACAGCTTAGTAATGCGACAAATGGTCATTATTTGGCATGCTGGAATGTATTTAGGGCAAGCGGCAAAAGATATAATTGAGTGGCCTCGTCCTTCTTCACCACCATGTGCCAGGTTAGAGAAAAGGTACTTGGAAGAATATGGAATGCCGTCAACCCATGCCACTGTTGGGGTTATAATTCCCTTTGGACTAATAATTATTGGCCATAGACATTATGAGGTAATTATTTAAATCAGCACTAATTTGATTATTTCACAAAAAATCATGCGATAAAAAATATTTGTAAGTCATGACCATTTTAGTATAACTTTTGATCAGTTTTAGCCGTATGATGTTTTGTGAAAAGAGCCACAGTTCAATAAGTGCAGTGTTGATTAATAGTATACATGTATGTAGTCCAAATAATTATGAGTCGGATGATATAATGACGTCTTGAAAGGCTATTTTAATTTTTTTCTGTGATGCCTTCCATTCAAGACGTCATAATTATTTGGACTACATGTAACATGTATGCACATTCGATTCCAGTTTATCTGCCATCAACCATTAAGAATTATGGGCGCAGCTAGTTTATGAAGATACATGTAACACGGTATTCAGAATTAAGAGTATGGCTAATCCTGATTGGTCGATATGTGCACCCGTTATTTTTTATTATTAGAGACTTCGTGCAATCTGCATTATACCAAATGCAAAATCTATATTTTCCTCAGCCCTAACAGAACTGAGAAATCTTTTCTACGCTAGGATGAGACACATGTTTTTAAGTGCAATATTGATAGGCAAGGGAAAAAAGTACAAATTACGTTAATTTAAGAAGAGCTACTGGAACCTATATTTTCTTTTACCAAAAAATACTGTCCTAATAATTCTAGCAAGTTTTCGTTAAAAAAAAATCAACTTTCTAAAGAAAAGTCTTTACCTCGAAAAAGGCTACCATTGTCGCCTATAGGGAATTTAATTGTTTTTTGCAATCTGTACAGTAAACTTCCTCTATACATGCTATACATGTAGGGAAAAAAGCAATGTACGTGTACTTCTGTTTATTCCATTATTGTTCATACCATAGTTTAGATCAATTTCCAAACATGGAAACAACTCCAAGGGCAATGTAATTTGAATTTATACTATTGTTTGCATGCTATTGAAAATGGTAACAAGGCACTACTGCACCAACATATTTCAACACTCTGTCATAAAAGAAAATTTGGCAAGATCAGAACATTTAGACATGTTGGAGACCAAAACAAATAGCACCTCATATTTTTTTTTATTTTACTTTGATCAGATAAGGTAAGAAAAAATTAACAATTAAATAAAGTTTTAAAAAATAAAACACAAATTTTTATCAAAATTCCTTAAATAAAATAAGCATTACAATATTTGATTGATTAATAAAATAAGCATTACAATATAAAAGTCAATATTTGATTGATTGTTGGTTTCTTAACATCCAGTGGCAAATATTTCATGTATGTTCAGGAGGATACAAAATTTGATTGTGTTTGAATAAACATACATGTATCTTATAATATTAAAAGTTGATTGATGGTTGTCATGGTATACATGTATACATGTATATATAGGTTGAACGTTGTTTTCAATTTAGACTTGTTTATATCATGTACATGTATACATTGTATATCTATAGTTATGCATACAATATTACATGTACTTATAGCATGTGCAACTTAGCAAGCCATATTAAGTAAAACTTTAAAGCCCAGAATATCATTCTTTACTTTGTGAACCAACAACATCAACTACATTTTTGTAATTACACAAACCTTCTAAATCTTGGAAACCTACCAGTCCCAGAGTGTCTAGAGACTAGAATTCATTGAACACATTAATTACCTTCAGGCATTTGTACTAAAATTCATGTCCAAGCACAGATTTGAGTATCATCCAGGTGGGAGAGATTATTTAGGGCTCCAGGAGGACACCCCCTAAGGTCACAAATTCACTTTTAACATTTTAACAAACTATGCTGATCTGATTCTTGGTTTTTTACCTTTTCAAAGGTCACAGGTCCTTTTACATGTAAATTAGACTCAGGTCAGATTTGACCATCATAATAACCATCTTGGAGCTTCGTCATTGTTTGAGGAAAGATTTATTTTTTGTGGTTGAAATTATTTGATTTTCAAATTCAAATCAAGCTTTTGCTAAGCAAAAAATATGAGTGTTTAATTCATGTTACATGTAGTTGATCTGTATGATAAAGATTAACTACATTGTAGTTAGCTAGAAGTAAAAATTATTTATCTTGATATTTTGAAACATTTTAAATATGATTTATGTTGTGAGCTGGTACAATGTACATTGAAAAACCTGATTCTTTTATTTTGTCTAATACAAATTAAAGGAAGATGTATACATAAAATTGAGAATGGAAACCGGGAATGTGTCAAAGAGACAACAACTCAACCAAAGAGCAGAAAACAGCTCAATGGCATCAATGGGTCTTAAACACAGCGAGAAAATCCCGCACCCAGAGCCGGGCTTTAGCTGGCCCCTAAACAAAAATGTATACTGGTTCAGAGAAAATGGACGTCACACTAATCTCCAAAACATATAAATGAACCAAAAAAACAAACATACTAGACTGACAAAGGCCAGAGGTTCCTGACTTGGGACAGACACAAAAATGCGGTGGGGTTAAATATGTTTTGTGAGATCTCAACCCTCCCCCTATACCTCTAGCCAATGTAGAAAAAACAAACACACAGCAATACTCACAGTAAAACTCAGTTTAAATACATGTACATGTACATGTATATATATATATTTGTATAAAGTTTTGTATAAATGTAAATGTTACTTTGTTGAGCATGTTGAATATGCATGTAATATTTATGGTTGGACATTATGCACCTGTCATTCAGCAAGTTCAGTCAGAAAACCATGTTTAATACTTTAGTGTAATTGTTTGGCTATTTTTGTATCATGTGTATTGGGCAATTTGGCCTTGATATCCAATGTATAGTCTTATAATAGGATCAAGGTGAGCTGTATTTGCCACAAGACTCCGAAAACATTCAATTACTATTATAAAATACATCATTCATGTACATGTAAATCATCTACACTAATTATGCAAATTTTATTTATCCGGCAACATGATATACATGTAAGGAACTTGGAAGAATAAATCAGACGTCTAATTACCCATTCTTGTTCTTATAGATTGCATTCTCCTGTTTTAGATTGACAGAAATGAACCAGTGATCAAACTGATCAATGCCAAAAGAATTTTCTTCTGAAAAAAAAACTTTTTCCTTTTCAAATCATAACAAAGTATACACCAAACAGAATTTTAACTTTTTCATGTCATTTAAACATGTTTAAATTTAATTACAAAATTGATACAAAAGCACCAGGGTTCTTACTTATCATGCTAAGTTTTTTTTTATACATGTAGGAGAGTCCAGGGACTCACCATTATTGGCCTTTTTGAGTCCAACAGTTATGACAGTGTGAAGAATACACATGTATGTGTACATGTGCAATGTAGTTGTCTTAGTTTTATTCAAGCCTTCATCATCACAACATACACGTAGAGTAAGGCAATAAAGTCAGAGTAAGATTGTTTTTTTGTCACTTGATAAGAAATGATGATGTAACTGAACTCAGCTGATACAATCTTGATGCATCTTAGGACTCACCAGTTCAAAAAATGCTGAGTCTAGGACTCGTGGACTCATTTAAATGACAAGCCTAAACAATGCAACATTTGCATGTAATTGAGGTATGAGAAATCCCCGTCTGATATCCATTTTACCCCCATAACCATTCATTGTTTCATATTTAGACAGTCAAATATTATTAGATATATTTTGAATATACTGTAAAAAAAAAATTCGTGGATACTAATTTTCGAATTTTTCATGTATTGCTGAAAAATTGTATTTTCATGGATATTTTATTTCATGGCTTTTCCAAATCTCTGCCCACAAGCCTACAGAAAATTTATATTTTCTTTGAACATTTAAATCTGTACATGTAGTTAATTTATACCCACCAAATCCACAAAAATTGATCATATCCCACAAAGAATGAACAGTGGATATACATGGTATAATAAATTTGAAATGGTAGAAAGACTTGAACTAAATGTTGACCACTGTGAACATGATTTCTCACTTCTTGCATGTGGTTTTAACTCTTAATTCTGTCATCCTCTAAACATGCTAAACTATAAGGTTTAAAACCCCCTCCTTTTGTCTGTGGTGCAAACTACATGTAGTTGTCTCATTTGCATCATACCACGTCTCCTTATTTTTATACGCCCGTTTACGGGACGTATTATGGTATACCGTTGTCCGTCTGTCCGTCCGTCTGTCCGTCCGTCTGTCCGTCGTCAACATGTCGGACATTAACTCAAAAACGCTATAACCAATTTGCATGAAACTTTGGTGAATTGTTGATATCTATTGACGTGAGCTCCCTTTCGTTTTTTATAAAATTTAGATTTTACGTTTCCGAGTTATGGGGTTTTATTCATTAAAAAAAGGGGGATTTTCCAGTTTTCGGACAATAAGTCAAGAATGCTTTCACCAACTTGCAAGAAATTGTGGTGAATTGTTTATATCTATTGACATGAGCTCCCTTTCGATTTTTATAAATTTATGATTTTACGTTTCCGAGTTACAGGGTTTTATTCATAAAAAGAGGGGGGATTTTCCAGTTTTCTGACAAAAACTCAAAAATGCTTCTGCAATTTTTATGAAACGTTGGTGAATTGTTTGTATGTATTGATGTAAATTCCCTTTAAAATTTTATAAATTTTACATTTTATATTTCTGAGTTATGGGGTTTTATTCATTAAAAAAAGGGGTGATTTTCGAGTTTTCGGACAATAACTCAAAAATGCTGTCACCAATTCTCATGAAACCTTGGTGAATTGTTTATATCTATTGATGTAAGCTCCCTTTCTATTTTCATAAATTTCTAATATGACATTGAGAATTAATTGAACTTTATTTGTTTATAGTCTGACAACAGATTTACTAAGTATTGCACAACAGCAAGAAATCTTTAATTGAATATAAATTCAATTCATATAACCAATTTCAAGTTCTTTGACTACATTTATTCAGAAACCTATAATATGTCAAATATTTAATTACAATCCAAATTCAGACCTGAATCAAGCTTGAATATTGTGTCCATTTTTGCCCCAACTGTTCAGGGTTGGACCTTTGCGGGCGTATCTAGCTGCGCTCAGCGAAGCAGTTTATTATATTTAAAGAAACCTAAAGCCGAAGTAAAATATCGCTTATTATCAATTCAAAACTGAAAAAGAAATACTGAACTATTCGACCCAAGATTTTAAATGCCTGACAAACACAAATAAAGAAATATGTAGAAGGTAAAACAGTCACACATGTAATGCATGTAGAATATTTTCTTTCATGCAGTATCTGTATGTCCATCATACTAATAATACTAGGTATACATGTTCTTAATGTAAATGTGAAGGATAAACTCTCTCAAGTGTAGCATTCTGTAGGACTACAAAATCTAAGGCAAAACTACATTGTTATGTCACAAAATCTTCATAAATATAAAACACCCACATAGGGGATGATACAATGTACTTGTTTATAAGTACAGCATATGAGTAGTACAAGGAATTAAATGTGAGATAATCGTCAAATTAATTTAAATGCCACAGACAGTATATGAGCATTTTTATTATTGTGATCAATATTGTGAATTTTAAACCGATGATTGATCAAATTTTATTGACAGAAACTTATCAGTGGTCTGCCCTTGGTGGTTCATTATATTTACATACTTTGGAAAAAAGAATTGTATGAATATTTTATTTGGGTCATTGCTACTCTTTTGTGTTAGCACAGTTGATAATAAAGAAATAAAAAGTTAGGAAACTAATGTACATACCCTAGTTTGTAGGCAAATAATATATAGATTTTATACCTGTGCACAGACAGTTGACATAGATTTTATACATACAGACAATTTATATAGATTTTATACCTACAGACAATTTATATAGATTTGACACCAGTTAGCATTAACATGATTTGTAAATCCCTCTCAATCATTGATTAAAACTTGAGTATTAAATATATATATAGGAATCAGCTGGTCTGTGAGTGATGACCAACTTCTTTTCACACAAAATAAATAATGATGTATACATGACATTTGCAAACAGGGTCAAGTATTAAAGTTTTCAATAAGACTATATATAATAACACTATTGTTATATTCCACAGGATAAAGTGATATATTCCACAGGATAACCTGATATATTTATCTCTTCGTGCAGTTGTTGCCACAGGCGTTTGGGTGCATATTATAGATATTGTATTTGTCATTTTTTGCTTAAAATATTCAATTTTCTATATTTCAACCATATATCTATCACTACTACTCATGTCTCTCCTAGTTTCAAGTGAATTTATTCGCACTGATACAACCCCTTATTTTACTATCATACTAAAAACCAATGTTTAGTATGGATACTAAAATAAGGGTTGCATCATAGTTCACTTGAAACTATGTGAGACATGCCCAGTAGTAAGATATACATTTATGTGGTTTGACAAAAACAATATCCATATCATGCACCCAAAGGCCTGTGGTTGTTGCTATTTAACTTTTTTTGTTGTCTGGCTTTATTCTGAGTGGTGTTCTTGCTAAGTATTGGTCACGAGTGGTGCCAGAGGGGTTGTTGTAGAGGGTTCTCTGAATTTAGTGGAGTTTTGACTGAGTATTGGTCCTGAATTATGCCAGATATATGTAGGTTGCTAAAGGAAGTTCCCTGTCTTCCTTAAGGAGAGTTTTTACTGAGTATTGGTCATGAATTATGCCAGATATATGTAGGTTGCTAAAGGAAGTTCCGTGTCTTCCTTAAGGAGAGTTTTTACTGAGTATTGGTCATGAATTATGCCAGATACATGTAGGTTGCTATAGGAAGTTCCCTGTCTTCCTTAAGTAGAATTTGTACCGTGTATTGGTCCTGAATTATGCCAGATACATGTAGGTTGCTATAGGGGGGTCCCTGTCTTTCTTAAGGAGAGTTTTTACTGAGTATTGGTCCTGAATTATGCCAGATATATGTAGGTTGCTATAGGAGGTTCCATGTCTTCCTTAAGTAGAATTTGTACCGTGTATTGGTCCTGAATTATGCCAGATACAATTGTAGGTTGCTTTAGGAGGTTCCCTGTTTTGCTTAAGTAGAGTTTGTACTGAGTATTGGTCCTGAATTATGCCAGATAAAATTGTAGGTTGCTGTAGGAAGTTCCCTGTCTTCCTTAAGGAGAATTTTTACTGAGTATTGGTCCTGAATTATGCCAGATACAATTGTAGGATGCTGTAGGAGGTTCCCTGTTTTTGCTTAAGTAGAGTTTGTACTACGAATTGGTCCTGAATTATGCCAGATACAATTGTAGGTTGCTATAGGAGGTTCCCTGTTTTGCTTAAGTAGAGTTTGTACTGAGTATTGGCCCTGAATTATGCCAGATACAATTGTAGGTTGCTATAGGAAGTTCCCTGTCTTCCTTAAGGAGAATTTTTACTGAGTATTGGCCCTGAATTATGCCAGATACATGTAGGTTGCTATAGGGGGTTCCCTGTCTTGCTTAAGTAGAGTTTTTACTGAGTATTGGTCATGAATTATGCCAGATACATGTAGGTTGCTATAGGAGGTTCCCTGTTTTGCTTAAGTAGAGTTTGTACTAAGTATTGGTCCTGAATTATGCCAGATACAATTGTAGGTTGCTATAGGGGGTTACTTGTCTTGCTTAGGTGGAGTTTTTACTGAGTTTGACATATGAAAAATGCATTAAGCATATACATGTACAATGTATGTAGCTCCATATGGGAGGGGGCCTCCCTCCAACCACTGAATTCACTTCCGGTATATATAAATAAATATATATATATATAAGAAAAATTGATAAAAGATAGTATATATATATGTATACTATACTTGCCACTATACACCATGTACTGTGTTACAACCCTAGTTAAAGCCAACTAAGAAAGGCATTACCCAACTAACGAAAGCTATATTTTTATATAGTCTAGTAGATTGTGTGGTCTAGGGTGCTGGACACAGTGCGGGCGGTGTTGCAACTATATCTTTGCAGATCTAACATTATTGGGCTTTTGAGACGAAGTATATATACATTATGGTGTAAGCCATGTATAACCACAAGTTATCCGATGGAGAACGTCTGTCGTAAAGTTGTAACATATTTAGACGTATATATATATATATTTAAATAATTTCTACAGTTGCCAAAAAAGTAGCAAATTCACAAAAATATAAAATATGAAATAAGTTTTATTAGGTCATAGACTCAAAGTTCATAGGACCCATAATGCTATATCCTATCTTTACTCAAATATAAAGTATGTTTATTTTGAACCAAATTGTTCATTGGAATTCAAAATGAATAAACTGAATTCTTTATAAGTTTATATGTTATCATAGTTTAGTTAAATACACATTAAATTCTAATTGCATGTAATTTTTTTTTATTTTCAGTTTGACTTGACCATTCCTTTAATAGTTGCATTTTTTTGGGCAACAGTTTGTGGACTGAGCAGAATTTATTTGGGAATGCATTCAGTTTTGGTAAGTGTCTAGTCAGATGATTAATATAAAAACAAGGAGATGTGGTATGATTGCCACTGAGACAACTATCCACCAAAGTTCAATGAAGTGGATGTAAGCAATTATAGGCAACTGTACGTCCTTCAACAATGAGAAAAACCCATACTGTATAGTCGGCTATAAAAAGCCCCTACGAGAAAAATATGAAACAATTGAATTGAGAAAACTAACAGCCTAATTTATAACAAAACAATTTACGAAAAACAAATATGACAGACATGAACCAACGAACAACCACTGAACTACAGGCTCCTGACTTGGGACAGGCACATAAAGAATTAACATCATTATTAGTGTTGGGAATCTGCTGAATAATTATGATCTATTAAACAAAATAATTGGACAGCAATTTCTTAGTAATAATAGTGTTTTTTGTATAAGTTAATATCATGATAATGTAGAATTAAGTAACATACTTTCCCTTATGAATAAAAGAAAGAGTTGGGAAAACGTCAATGAGACAGCATATAGTACTTGTGCAAGTCATATATGTAGCTACATACTCTGTCACAGTGTGGTTTTTAGTTCCAACCCTGCACGTGGCAGGTGGGACTGCCATCAATCTTACTTGACAAGGATTGTCAGTTTTCCAGCTGAAAGTTCAGTTGTTCTCTCCGGGCACTCTGGTTTCCTCCACAAACAAAAACTCAAAACGCCACGAAATATCCAAAAGTAGTGTTAAACACCAAAAATCAATCAATCAATCCCTTATGAATAATAGAATGTGTGCGATATATGTCAATGAGACACGTCACAGCATGTTATAATTGTGAACCTGGTGTATGTCGTATAGTTTAAGTGACATATTGAATTAGAATTACCCAAACATATAGAAAAACTAAAACAGTGTATATATGTGCAAAATGGATATTTTATGGGTTATTTATAAGGGGGTGTCAAAAGGCTTCTGTTAAAAAATAACATTTTATTGATTTTTTTAAAACTTTTATCAATAATTGATCATTTAAATTGAAAATTATAATCAATTTATCAAAAAATTTCCATAATTTATCAATTTTTGATTATAATCAATAATCTATATTTCTTTATAAAAATAAGGAAATGTGGTGTGATTTCCTATGAGGCAATCACTGTGTGTATTCACATGCCTGTTTTGGTTTGATGGTGGTGTTGGGTTTCTGCCTTATCATCATAAATCATATCATGACATTACATGCATTTAAAATTATGTTAACAAGTCTTATTACATGTAGGTTCTTGCATAAAACGCATACTTGGACATAGTTTGAAAAATCCCCAGCATCCTGCCATGTCTGACATTACATCGATGTTAGCCATTTATTGGGGGTCATAATCCATGGACCAGGTACTTCTTTGTTTTTAATATGAAAAATCAGTGATGCTGAGATTGGAAAACAAAACTGTTGTATTATTCCAGAATATCACTTTTAAGTATAAATTATAAATTTTCAAAAAAAGTAAAAAGTAAAATGAAATAATGTTATTATATTTCACTTGTTAAATTTCATTTAGATTTTACCTTTTATTTCCTGTCTTAATCTTAGTTGTAACTTTATTACCCTTAATTTATACCTGACAATTTTATTACACATTTGTTATCAACTGTTCCTCTGGTCAAAACAAGTGAAAGTCCAGTATGTCAGACATAGTAAGTGCTGCCACTTTTCAGAAAAAGTCTCTTGATTCTATAACCTGAATAATTCAGTCCCTCCCCGTAATCGATCTCTCCTACTTGCGAGGGCCTGAATTCCTTACACGATAAAAACTCTTCACAAATCCTGGATTTTGATTGGTGCCCTGTAGAAGAGGTGACCAATCAACAATTGGCTCAATTTTATCGAGATAGGTAAATCCCGAGCTAATTCCGAATGATTGATTGAAGATTTTTCATTGTCAATGCATTCAGGCGTTAATGGAGTAATCGTAGATCAGCTGAATATAACGACTGAATTATTCGGGTTATTGATTCTATTGTATTTTTGGAAAGGGGGTGGATCTTGAATGTCATTTCACAAAAAAAAATGTTTTTGGTGATTAGGCCAATATATAATATAGCTCCATTTTATGTCACCCTACCTTCCCTAAATTTCCAGGCATACTCATCATGCCCATACACTTTTTATGGACATTTATTTGAAACCATGTTAAAGTCCAGACATTTTTGGTTGACCACAGTTAAAGTCTAGAACATTTCCTTGTATAGTCGTTGTATTTAAGGAAATAAAATTATTTTACCTAAATACTAACCTATCCTATTTGTCTCTCAGGAGGCAGGAAACAAGAATATATATATATATGAGTTCGAATCCTGGCGAGGGAAGAACAAAAAATTTGCGAAAGCAAATTTACAGATCTAACATTGTTGGGCTGATGTTTAGACGAGTTATATATATATATATATATATAAACAAGTCTAAATTGAAAACAAGGTTCAAACCTATGATTGCGTTGGATAAAAACCGCAATTTTTATACGTGTGCATGCAAAACAAATTTCTTGTTAGAGGAGTCTAAATACAGCACAAACAACAATTTCCAAAAGACAAAAAAAGTGAAAAAGTATATTTTAACAAAACGCATTTGACTAACAGGTCGAACAACAAATGTTCTTAAACCCTGCTGACTGCCATTGGCGATTGCCAAATAAAAGGATCACCGATGTAATAAATGGATCTTAATTATAAATTTAATACTAAACAGAAAACAATAAACTTGCGGAAAAGATGATATACCGCAAACAAAAGGTGCAAAGGTTTTTGTACACCATATCCGGATTTCGACAATTAATGCCTCTTCAGTGATGTTAGGAATCGAAACGGTATTTGGAAAGCCATACAATTTACCTCAATTTAGGATAGACTCTTGAATTTTGAAGAGTCAAAATAGGATGAACGGATCATATATTATTTTGGAATGTAGGACAGAAAGTCACAGACAAAAAGTCATGGACAAAAAGTCACAGGACAAAAAGTCACAATTCAGTTTTGAGATTATTTTTCTTTGAATAAGAAAACACTTATTTTTAAAAACATGAATTGTATTTTTATTGAATTATTATCTAAGCAACTTTGTAAACAAAATGTATTCTGAAAAAACAATAATGATTATATAATTGTTAAGAAAACAAAAAAAGAAATAATTTCAAGAACTTTTTCTTATATATTCAAACAATGTTAAATAAATTATTTGTGACATTTTGTCCTGTGACTTTTGGTCCTATCAAATTTGTGACTTTTTATGTCCTGTGACTTTCTGTCCGTTTACCATATTTTGCATTATTATTGTACATGTTGTATAGTATACCGTTTCTAGATACACACTGTAGGAATAATTGATTTTTAAAGATGCGATAAAAAAATTGGATGAAAAAATACTGTGATGAATTATCAGTACATGAATCCCTTTATAAAACTAAATTATCTAAGTTATCTCCATCGATAATAAAAAATTTAAACAGCTTTTATTCAAACAAAAGCATTATTTGGGTAAAAAAAGATCTTATCATGAGATTTAATTGTTAAAAATTTCTTTATTTTAATGAAAGTCCAAACAAGTAAATTCTTTCTATGCATCAAATGTGCTAATATTAATAAAAATCTGGCCCACTCAATTGAAACTATTTGCAGACAAAGATTAATTATGTACCCCAACCCCTCCTTTTTTATCATGATTTTTTCAAACAAATAAACATGCTTAGAATCTTTGCTCAACAGTCATACACAAATTGTCATACTATTGATCTTTGACTAATTAGAAGTCTGTATACATTTTTATTTGTTTTCAGGATGTCATTGTTGGAGCAGCCATTGGAATAATCCTGATCCCACTCATGTTACCCTATGTTGAAGCCTTGGATTATTTTCAGATTACCAGCATGTATAGCCCTCTGGTTGTGGTGGGAGGCGAAATATTTTTATTGTACATATACCCAAATTCAACAATTTGGAACACAGCCAAGGGTGATACTGCTACGGTGGTAGGCATCGGAGCTGGTATTGCTGTTGCAACATGGTTTAACTATCAGTTAGGTTTTACCATCCCATCAGATGTGGCTAAGCCATATCATATACCATCCCTAATTACATGTATATCAATGATACCTTTAGCTGAAGTAAGACATCTAATAGGTATTCTAGTTCTAGTCATTGTAAGGGCTGTTGCCAAGCCTATCACTCACAAACTGTTTTGTCAATATTATAATGTTGATAGCAAAGATGAAGAAACACAGAGAAAAATAGGAATGGAAAAACCACAAAAGTTTGTTGCCTACTTTTGTGTGGGATTCGCCGCCATATTTATAGTCCCCAATCTGTTGCGGCCTTTAGGATTAATGAGAATGTCATTTTTTACTGAAATGTAAATGTGTATTGAAACAGTGCAATCAATTAGTTTGTATTTTTATTTTTTTATTTGTAGACTAGCTGTTTATAAATATATTTGCATTAATTTTTTAATTTTTTAATGTTTTATAATTATATGAGGGCCCTGATATTAATGCATGATTGTTGGACTAATGTGACAATCCTTGTAGGATTTATCGTACTCTGGATTCATTTGTTGTCGTGGATCAAGTAAAATTGGATATTTGAATTGATTTCATGGTTTTGCTAAAGAAAATTAACTTGGTGGTTCACGTTTACTCGCGAAATCCACAAAAAACTGGTATCCCATGAAAAATAATGAATCCACAGTATTAGATGTAATGACATGCACCTATTGACACTTAAAATCTGACAGAAGGGGTCCATGTAAAAATTTATTTAAGAAATTTTTCTCATCTGCACCAGTTGTGGTTCAAACTTTTTAAGAGTTCATTTAATTTCATATAATGAGGATTATGGCAATAATCAGACTCTTGTTACGATTTTTCATAAATATACTGTGGAATTTTTTCTTGAGGACCAATTTTATGTGGACCGAGGAAAACTTGTATTTTTCGTGGATATTTGATTTCATGGTTTTGCCAAAGTCTGCATATATAATTTTACCTATAGAAAATGTGTACTTCTTTGATCAATTAAATTCGTAGTTCAGCCTTACCCACGATTTCCGTGAAAATTGGTATCTCAGGAATAATAATGAATCCACAGTACTTGTAATAGAAGTATTTACACTTGTATGCGAATGTTGTCCGCCATTACTTAAAATCACACAAGTTCCCGTAAAATTTGACATCACAATTTAAAAAATCTGATGTCATAATTAAAAAGTGATTGTTGCTTGACGTCAGAAGGTTATTAGGAGCAGATCTAAGGTCATTCAGAGACAAAATTCAGCTAAATACCAAAAGTTTAAATATGTTTATTCAAATGGATATTTTATCATTTTGAAAAATTTGGGAAGAGCTAATAAGGAGTTTACTATGTTGAAAACACTTGAATGGTGCATGCCCACTGCCAGTATATACATGTCATGTTTTAAAAGGATTTATGAAAAGGAAATTTTAAATATATTTTAATTAATCAGGATCAAAGATTTCATATAAAGTATCAGTTAATGATCCATTGTACATACGTTATTTTACATGTATATATTCAACACATGAGTAGGAGAGCATTAAACACATTTTACAAGAATATATAAAGACTACATTTTAAATATTTTTTATCATTTCATGATTTCTCCCAGTTTAAAATGCAACCAATATATCATAATAATTATGGTATTTACTATAAAGTCTCTGTGGTGATGCTTTTATATGTTTTGCTTACATGTAAAAAAAAGGGTCTGAATGGTACATATTAACAGAAAAGAGAATATGGCCCCAAAAATACATAACAGAGAAAGATTGGCAAAACAATTAAGAATAGAGAATAATGGGCTGCCAAAATATTACAAATAGAGAATAATGGGCTGCCAAAATATTACAAATAGAGAATAATGGGATTCTAAGATATAAGGAATAGAGAATGATGGACCAAAAAAAGACTTAAGACTACAGAAAAATGGCCTAAAAATCTAAAGAATACAGAATTGTAGACCTATAGAGCCTCCATCCAGACCCTCCTAAAGTAGAATGATAATGGGATACTTTGTATAATTATAAGTAATATTTCAAAAAAGTACTGTAAGGAAAAAAATTAAATTGAAATCCCAAATTCAAAGATCTCATTTAAGAAATTCCTGTTTTAACATTACAACAACAAAGAGCATAAATAAAAATATTTAAATTAGACAGAAAAAGGTTGTTTTCCTGGTAATACTCAACAAGTTCATGGTTACCTACTTGTAGGATGAATTGGAACAGTTAGGTGATATTAATCAATCTGAAATTGTCTAGTTCAAGGACAGTTTAAAAAGTACTACCTGAACCTGAGAGTTTTGATTCATTTGTTGTAGTATAACAAAAACTGTTAAATATCTTCCTGTAATTTGATAACGTTATATAAGACAGTTGGGTAATAACTTTGTACGGGTAGTCCTTACAATAATTAGGCCAAAGTAGCTTGATTTGATAATTCTTTCAACAATAACATAAAACTGTCAAAAACTGTGAAAATTTTATTATTAAAATCATAAAGAAATAAATATATGTATAAAACTGTCATAAACTGTTAAAAATTTTATTATTAAAATTAAAAAGAAATAGATATACATGTATAAAACTGTCATAAACTGTTAATTAAAATTAAAACGGAGATATTAATTATTCAAATATTATAAATAATATAGGAACATTTTATGAAAGATCTTTAGATTACTTTCCGTCAGTTCTGATAGCAATGGATATTCACACATCTCTAGATCAATGTTGGCTTAGATTTTCTTCAATTAATGGGATATATTGTTTCTCATTTGTGTATAATACCATAACTACATGAATTTAATCACTTGCTAAATCAGAAATAAATGTAGAACTATCTGAACATTTTTAAATTGATTTTATGTTGCTTGTATTTATAAGATTATATTCAACACAATACAGTTTAAATTGCAGAGTAAGAAATTTATTCTCCACATGTAATTGTAAGATGTTTTTTTGATTTTTTTGTGTTGTCCGGTTGCTGTCTAATAGATGTATAGTAAATTATACAACTGGTTTACTTTTATTCATCTTGACACTATGGTGCCAATATCTTGACACTATGATGCCAATATATGTTATTGAAAATTATTCATTTATCATCCTTTACTATAATATAAGGTAAAATTGCCAAAAGACTCCCCTCCTAAATTATTCAAATCTATTAGGAGATTGATTTGTAAGTTTTTTTTAGATATATGATTAAAAAATATCCCAAAATTTCAAGGAACTTTTTTATTGGTTCTACCCAGGCCCATATTTGGGATGCCTCTGAGGGGGTAATTAGAGGTCATGACACTCTGACTTTAAAATAGTCCAAATTTCAATCTTTGCTTTGATAGTATTTTTTTACCCCCTTGCTTAGGGTATGCTACATATACCCTAGGTAAGAAAAAAAAAACTTCATATTGAATATTCTTGTGTCATAAACTTGAATGTCACCTTAAATTTTGAAATTGATTTTTGCACCTAATGTACTGATACAACTGATGATGTACCATGGGCCGACTTTATTAACCCATTTCTGTTATCAAAGCTATATCAACTTTGCACATGGTGTCATTATTTAACTTATTGAACTATGAACCTTTGTATTTAAAGCTTTGATTTGCTAAGATCAGGTGACATTTTTAGGACAATGAGCTCGGGTATTTGTCTTACCTTTGACCTTTAGGTTACATAACATGACATCATATTTTTCTGTTATATATTGTTATAGATAATAGGTCAATGGAAAAGTACGAAATAGGAAATTTGATTAAATTTTTTTAACAATTTTGATTTGATTATTGGAAAAATTCATTCATAAGTTCACTTGATAAGACCTATTAGAGAAATGTTTTGTATGTCCACAATTCTTAGATATTCATTAAATAATTATGCAGTTATGATCTTCCGGTGATTATTTCTATTGATAAGCATGTGTACATGAAATTAGGACCATATATTTTTGTCTGATAGATAAGTGTCATAAAAAATGGACAAAAGATTGTATTTGACCAATTAATTATTGATAAAGAAGAGCCAGTGTAAAAATAGTTGTCTGGTCAACTAAGACTGATATCTCTTATTTAAGATATAAGCTCCTTATAGAGATTTTATGTATTGAGGCCATGTGAAATTAATTCCATGATTTTTTATCTATCTTACAAATGTTTTAAAATTTTAAAGTTTGATTATTTTGCAAATTGTAAGAACAAATTTTTTTTTTGAAATATCCATTAGATACAAAAAGTGAATAATTGAAGGATATACAATTTTTTGTTGTTGGGATGACGGTTTGGAGGAAGGATAAGTTCTTATCAATAAATTTTAAAAGAAGGAATTATGAAAAAGACATAAGTAGTGAACTGGATTATTGTTCCATGAAATTATACATGGATTTAAGTCATTATTGAATAGTTTTTAATTCTTTGAAATAACTTTGACCTGAGAACAAATAACAAACATAATCTATCAAAACATATACATATATTATAGAATATATTGATACAAAGTCTTTCAGTCAGCAAATACTCATTATAGATTCAGCATTGACATTTTCATTTTAAACCATGTCTATTTATAGTTTTCTTGAGACTTTTTTACATATGTTAATTTTGCCATACAAAACGTAAAATTGAAAAGAGAAGAATTTCAATTTCAGCAATTATGTTAATCGATAGTTAACCATGTCCTTATAAAGGTGACACCACCATGATAATAGGAGACTAGAGAGTTTTGGGAAGGAAAAGGGGGAGGGTGGACAAAAGCTTACTTTATGGGAGGATGTCTATTGTCTAGCTGCAAAGGTTATACCTGGTTATTTTAAATCAAATCCATTGTTTTCAATTACAGGCCCATGAAGAGCATACAAGGTCCACAGGAAGACCTGTTACCCTACCTGTTCACATTATTTCAAAGCCTACCAGTTTTTGCTCTCTCTTCTAAATACCATGTACTTGGCAACAAAGTGGCTAATTTTAAAGTCTTTGGTGTGACTCTGTAGGTTTGAAAACCACAGCCTACTTGCACTTAAGTTAATCAGTCTGTCACAAAACCTATGAAGCAGTTTGAAGTGAAATCTGCCTTGTTTAATTCTGCATTTGTTGCCAGTATTCCCAAGAAAAATTGTTTGTTGTCAGTTTTACCAAGTTACAATTTTTGTTGCCAGTATTTCCAAGTTAAATTGTTTGTTTCAAGTATTTCCAAGTTAAATTGTTTGTTTCAAGTATTTCCCAGTTAAATTGTTTGTTTCCAGTATTTCCAAGTTAAATTGTTTGTTTCCAGTATTTCCAAGTTAAATATGCTGGTGAGGCATTAAACCACTATCAATCAATTAACTACAGTCAAACCTGTATACAAAGTTTATTCTCGGGACAAGAGAAAACTGACCTTGCAAGAGAGATGACCTTTGGATTGAGATTTAAATGGATCGGTATTACTACAGTGAGACATGGAGAGGGTGACCCGACAAGTCAAGTCTTTGTCTAGATAGAGGGGACCTTTATAGCAGGTTTGATTGTATGTTAAACGAAAATAAAGTGGATTAATCTTTTTTAAAAGAGTTTTCTTTCTTCCCAAGTATGAAAACCCAGTTGATATTGAGTGTGTTTATGATTTGCTTGTAATGATCTTTAACAGATATTATATGTATGTGAAGGTCCTTTGTTTGTAATTTTTTTATTGTATATTCTGGCTATTTACATGATTGTACTTCATATGTTTAATTTACTGTAAATCATTTATTCATTTTTGTCTCTGTCAAAAAAAGTCTCATTGATTTTAAACAATCCCAAATATCCTTGTTTTTATGCCAATTTTTAATGAAAAGAAAATCATATCTTATACTTAGAATTATAAGTAAAACCCAGGAAATAGATACTAGATCATTTTCTCTACGGTTTTTAAGTGTAACAAAGGAAGTAAACATTGATAAGGCCATCCTAAATTAATTCTATGTTTAAAGTCGACCTTGCAAAACCTGCAATAAAGGGATAAAACTAAAAAACTTTAAAAAGAATATAAGGTTGGGAAAGAATGGCAAAATTTACCTTTCAATGACATAACTTTTCATTTGTCATTTTATAAAACAACTTAATTGTTTTTTTTAAAGAGATATGAATATTATGAAATTTTTAAATATTTTGATTATGTGAAGTCTAAAAAGTGAATTATTGAGTGACATTTCAAACTTTTTATGACTGGTGTAAACAAGTAATTAGATAATCAGTTCAATACTGTAAATTCAGAAATTATTGCGAGGTTTTTATTAATGCGAATAATGCGACTAGGTGAGTATCGCAATAATAAAAACTCGCATTTTGATAACTGCAACATAGATCTGTATGTAGATTTTTCTGAATTCGCAATAATTAAAATCGCATTCTTGTGTATTTTTGCAAAATCGCAAAAATAAATGCACGCAATAATTTCTGAATTTACAGTATACTATCTGTTTTTTTCTCTTTTCTGAACCCAATTATAAACAGCTGATGTTAAACATAGAATTATTTTTGGATGATAATAATTGTTAGGTAATAGTATGTGAACCTTTGACCTTTCATTGTTTACATACAACATTAGTACATGTAGCTCTTTATATTTAAATCAACCACGAGACTGACTATAAAAAGGTCATCATAAATTGGTTTATAAGTTTCAGATCAACTGACTTCTTTTCTGTTAGTTAATTTTTTTATCGTTTTATTTTGGTTACATGCAGCAACATGCATATTCAGGATAAATAGTTTCAAAATAATTGAAAAGCAAAAAAAAATGTCTATACTTGGAAAAAAACTTTAGTTTGATTTTGATCTTAATTGACATGGATTGCCTATTCTCCTGCTGAAGGTTGGGGGGTTCTGTACCAGTACTGCAGCATCCTCCAGCAATAAAATATTCACACCATGATAAAGACGAGAGTACTATAAATCGTGTTAAACACCAACAATCAATCAATCAAACAAGTTAACTTCAGTGACCTTTAAATTGTAAACTTTAGTCTTCAAATGGATGTTTTTGATTTTACTGCAAAGCAGGGAAGATAAATGTCTGTGTTAACAATTTTATTATATGTATCATCTTTATAAATTTGGAATGCATATTTTGATGAAATATATAATTTTTTTATATTTCAGAAGCATAATTAAGAAAAAGTTTTAACTTTAGACTTTTCTTATTTTTAAGAATTGTGTGGTTATTATGATGGCATAAAAAAACAACCCAAAGAACATGAAAATGAAACATAAGATCTTGAAAAAAAATGAGATTAAGATCCTAGAGGTGCCCTCTATGATGGGCAAATAACCTTAGGATATTTTTGTGGTGAGAATAGCATGATTGTGAAATAGATGAGGTTCCTGAAAGGGAGTGGCAAGAAGAGAAATAAAAACGTTTATTTTACTATCAATGGAAAATAGTTTTAAGGTTGAATGGTACTTTTGTAATTATTGGCAATCAAAATATGCTGTTAAAAAAATAAGCATTACCATCTTTGTATTAAAATCAGAACATTATTATTGTCTTTTTTCTTTTATGATATATGACAAAGTCAAAGTTCATAATCTTAAATATACATCTGTAGTACATTGTATCGTTTAAAAACAAATATGAATAATTAAGAGCAACAGACTCTATAGAGAGGTTATATATATATAAGAAATCCTATGTAGGTAAAATGCCTTGTACAAGAAAGAAAGATATGTTAATAGTTCTTGCTGTGATATGTGTGACTGGCAATGTATTTAATTCTACTGTGAACAAAGTAAATAAAATTCATATCATTGTTTCTAACTTGATTATTCTTTTCGCCATGAATGATAATATTATATAATAAAATAAGCATGCCTCCGCTCAAGCTTCAAACAAATGAAATTGGACAGACCAACGTACAAGGGTAACACTTAATGCCCCTGTCAACTGCAGGGGCATAATAAAATAGCAAAGATGGTGATGATGTATAAGTGTTCAACGTCCAGTGGCAAATATTATATGTACATCCAGACAAGAACATGTGAATGTGATATGAATATTCTTTGTACTAGACAGACACACAGCTCAGTGTCACTCATCCAGATTTTTAACATGCTAGATTAAAAGATAACAGTCTGTAGGAAGTCTAGTCGCCCTACTAGGAGACATTGGTATGACTGAGCTTAACCAATCCTTGCTCTTACTATTAAATGCTGTGTGCTTAGCTCATAAGCAGCAAATACCAATTTTCAAGTATTAGGTTTAAAAATAACTAATGAGTTCATTATCTGATTTAATTATTGGAAAAATTACCGTATTGAATACTTCGTAATTACGGTACCAACTTTGATGCACATTTGGACAATAAATGTCTCCAGTGATGCTCAATGCTAAAATATTTGAAAGTCCAACACCTGATCAAAACTTTGAAGAGCTGATAAAACTGACAAGGACCCAAAGTAAAGGTAAACTTGGACAAGGAATCGGGGGTGAGGGACTTTCCTTAATTTAAAAGATTTTGAAATTTTATAAAAGCAAATTTATATAGAACACAATATCCTTAGTTTCATGACTACCAAAGTACTTGCTTAATGGGCTGGTGATACCCTTAGGGCCCAATCTCAAGGTAAGACACTGGGTTATTTTCCAGTCAGATTTGTGCTTTGTTTTTGCAGGAGATGGGGCAGATATATCTTTGCTATGTTCAATATTCACATCTCTGGTCTTGTACAATGCTTTCAAATGAACAGTGAAATGTTCACAATAGGAGTAAAGTCTACCTAAAAAAAGGGAAAATTTCTAGATATACAGTATTACAAGTTTTTGTTTTCTGTATTTGAGTAATTGATGTCCATGTAATCAAGCTCAGTACAATATCTGTCCATTATGGACAATGGAAACCAAAAGTGCCATGAAGGAAAACTAAATCTGCCTACGGTCAACTTACCCAAGGTGAGATGAAGCTTAGGGTTTTTGGTTTTCTTATTTCATATCAAGTCTCTTTTTTTTTTGAGAATTTGGTGTTGATGGCAGATCTTTGATTGTTTCTGTTTAATTCATTCACAACTTTTCTAAGAATCTTGACAATTTATAGCTTGACACCTGTGACTGTCTATTGTAGAACACTATATGTTGTCCTCTAGATGTCTTGAAAGTGCTCCAATATGTAGAATTTTTGCCAGATTTTTTTATGAAATTATATGGCAATGTCTCATACACAAGTTCAATCAATGCCTATCAATCCATATGAAATTGCATTGTAAGTGCTCTCAAGCCTACATTCCTTTTCAAATTCTAATGAAATTTATATCCGTTATGTCTTGGACAAATTTGAAGATCAGTCCTAGTCAAATTTTTTTTCAAGAATTATATCCCTTTGAAATGTAATTTATATTAAACATTGCATTGTAAGCATTCTCACAACTACATTTTCTTGTCAGATTTTTAAGAAATTATATCATAGGTTTATATCAGCAAGGTCTTGGAAGAGTTTGATATTCAGCACCAATCAACTATTTTAGCAGTAGATATGTCCCTTGAAAATATAAATCATTGTAAGCAATTATATGCCTACATGTACATTTCTTGTAGGATATTTGTGAAAAGGTATTAAATAGAGTTATTTCCCTTAAACATAAAAAATGTGCATCATTAGGGGACATTGGAATGCTGTTCTTTTATATGTTTCTTGTTATAGATGGCAAAAACAAAAACCCTGAATTTAATTTAAAGACCTTTATAAAGTTTGTGAATTTATCTTCATCAGGAATACATGGAGTCAACATCAAAATATCTTTATGAATGAGTACATGTTGAACTACAGAAGAAATAGTTTAGAAGATCACATTGCCAATAAACTCAATTTGCTCGTCCCCTTAACATGCATGAAATATTTGCCACTGGATGTTAAGCAAGCTACAATCATCAATTAATTTGCAACCATTAGATAGATCATTGATGCTCGCAATTATGCAAATGCAATACAGTCATCATTTTATTATGCAAATGCAATACAGTCATTTTCTTAACCGTTGTTGTCACAATGACACTCATACCTCTTCAACTTTATACTCTATTTGACCTTTTTAACTTTTTAGCTCACCTGGGCCAATGACCCTGTCATCCAACGAACATGGATGCCATGGCTAAAAATAGAACATCGGGGTTAACTATAGAAGTCTAAGGGAAAATTGTAAAAACAACAATTTCAAATGGTCACAACTTGAAAACTAATTTAAATAATGATAAGGGGTCTTCAGTAACTATTGTAAGACTACAATGGGATGACCTGCTTTTAATTTAACTACTGGGCCAAATTAAACTGAACTTGGCCTCAATCATTATTTGGGTATCTAATACTATTAATTATGATTTAAACCTTATTTTACATGATTTAGAAAACAACAGTAGATACAGATGAGAGACACAGGCTCTAGGGAGCCTCTAGTTTGATTCCAGCATCACTGATGAGTCTTTAGAGATGAAAGACACATCTGGCGTACACAATTTTAATACTGGTATCAATGATGAGTTTGTTTAACCACATCGCTTTATTTTTATGTCATGCAATAAAGAAAGTCACATATTTATAATTTTAAATATTTTATTTCAACAAGAACAACTTATTTATTAAAATAAGAATTTAAAATGTGTATTACACAGTAAAACAAGGTCTAGCACCATAAATCAATTATGTTTTGCATGAATAAAGCATATATTTACACATGTGTAAAGCTTAATAAAAAAGTTTATACAAATAAAATAGTATATTGGAATAAAAAATCTATATACAATTACAACCAAATGACAAGTTCTCATATTAACCTTCATTACTGTAAATCTACTGGTCTGAAATAAAAACCTTTATATATTTATTTTGCTTGTCAAGCCAGACATTTCAACCTTTTTCTAAACTTACAAAAATAAATTCTATGTGTGAAGAAAAATAAAATATTTACAATTACTGACCAAAGATAAGCATACAATAAAATTGTACAAGGACTAAAATATATATTGAGTACAATTATTAGTCAAAATTTATACATAATTTATTTTCAAAACCGTTTCACCCTAAAAATAAAGTTAACTGGTGGTATATATTTCATTAGAAAAAATAAACATATATTATATAAATAAACGCATTTTTGTGCCTGTCCCAAGTCAGGAGCCTCTGGCCTTTGTTAGTCTTGTATCATTTTTAATTTTAGTTTCTTGTGTATAATTTGGAGTTTAGTATGACGTCCATTATCACTGAACTAGTATACATATTTGTTTAGGGGCCAGCTGTAGGACGCCTCCGGGTGCGGGAGTTTCTCGCTGCATTGAAGACCCATTGGTGGCCTTCGGCTGTTGTCTGCTCTATGGTCGGGTTGTTGTCTCTTTGACACATTCCCCATTTCCATTTTCAATTTTACTATAAGTAAAGGACTTTTGACACTAAAAGCCATGTACATGTATTTCACTAAATATTACATTAAATCTAATGGACACTATGATGTTGTCTTAAACAAATATAAAGTCCTCATTGGGCTGTGATATTGTCTAGACAACAATCATGTCCTCATTGATGCTTTCATATTGTTTTAAAATTGATTGTCATATTGTCAATAACAAAAATGATGCCTACATGGACAGTGTCACTATTCTTCTCATGACTTCAAAATATTCAGATATTTGACTATTTTTCCACAATACTGGAGGTTTCTAATGGTTGATCTTAATCCAAAAATCTTGTTTATTTGGAAATACACAAAACTGCACTTAACTTGTTAACTTATAAGTCTCATGACAATTTAGAAGTTGACATATTGTAAAGACACCTGTCTTGTGTATGTTGACCTTGAGATGTCTCGGTTATTTTTGTTGTTGGTTTGCTGTCTTATTAATATATACCCCACAACTGTTTTCTGAGTTAACTATACAAAATCAGGTTACAATTGTTATATCAAGGCCAGGTAACTTTCACTTAGAGAATTATGCACAAGATTGTAAAAATCGAAAGGAAATTATGAAAGATACTTTTAAAAAAGCCATCTGACAACACAAGTTTCACTTAACTTTTTATAAATTCAAGATATTGTCTAAACAAAGAGGAAGACTATCACAACACTCTTGACTATCAAAATCTGCCGTGCCCTCAACCCATTTGCCGTCGGTCAACTTTATATCTTATTAAAGGTGAATAAAAAATTTAAATACAAATAAAAAAAAAATTTCAACAAACAAGCAAAGTATAATATTTATCACACTGTTTGCTTGAACATGTATACATAACATTGTTTTCTTACCAAAATAACAATATTTGGGAAACCAATTTTCTATTATTTTGTTTTTTTATATAAATGGGACAAGCATAAATTATACTGCATACATTCTTTTCCTTCAATATTGTTATAATGGCAGAAATGAGTCACAAACTTTTAATGTTGTTAGGTTGCTGTTACTTTACATTCTATCATGCCTGATTAAATCCTATATTAAACATTTTGACAAATTTGGGTTCATATGACACTCACTCAGCGAAGTAAAGTACTGTAAATTCAGAAATATTTATTACCAGTATTATTGCGATTGCTGAGCATTGGACAAGAATGCAAAATAATTAAAGAGATTACAGAAATGATACACTTATAATGGTATCAGCATTTACAATGCAATTTTTTTTTTGAACAACCTATCCAGTAGCAATTTTTCTCAATTATAAGAAAATCATCTCAAAATTTTATAAATTTACAGTATTAAACAAAATATAGATGTTCTATGCCTCTGTTAGTAGTATATGCCACAATACAAGCTGGTTCCCTGATAACTTCATTTCAATAGTAACCAGTAATCGTAAATATAAAGCTGTTTATAAAAGACTTAAATTGAAAATTCAAAATGTTAAAGGGTAAAGGTCAAGTTCATGGGAAAATAAAATGCTCCACTGGGGCACAGCTTGATACGACCGCAGAGGTTGAACCCTGAACAGTTGGGGCAAGTATGGACACAACATTCAAGCTTGATACGACACTGAATTTGGATTGTAATTAAATATTTGACACAGCATAGGTTTCTGACACAGAATGAAAGTGGTCTGAGAACTTAAAAAATTTTAATTTACCTATTCAAACCATATCATTATTATTTGCTTTTATATATAAATCAGAAATAACCAATTTAAAATGGAAAATTCTAAAGAAAAAAAAGGAAAAAAAAATCCCCCCCCCCCAAATGTTTTGAACCCCCTTATGATTCATCACCCCCAAACTCAATCCCAGCCTTCCCTTTGTGGTATGGTACCTTGCAGTACAATTTCAGAGAGATCCATACACTTGAACACAAGTTATTGTCTGAAAACTAGAAAAATGCTTGTTTTTGGCCCCTTTTTGGCCCCATTTTCCTAAAAATTTAGGGCAATTACCCCCAAACTCAAACCCAGCTTTCCCTTTGTGATACGGAACCTTGCAGTACAATTTCATAAAGATCCATACACTTACACACAAGTTATTGTCCTGAAACTAGAAAAATGCTTGTTTTTTTGGCCCCTAATTCCTAAAATTTTGAGGGAATTACCCCCAAAATCAATCCCAGCCTTCCCTTTGTGGTATGGTACCTTGCAGTACAATTTCAGAGAGATCCATACACTTGAACACAAGTTATTGTCTGGAAACTAGAAAAATGCTTATTTTTAGCCCCTTTTTGGCCCCTTCTTCCTAAGCTTTTTGGTCAATTGCCCCAAAACTCAATTCCAGCTTTCCCTTTGTGATATGGAACCTTGCAGTACAATTTCATAAAGATCCATACACTTACACACAAGTTATTGTCCTGAAACTAGAAAAATGCTTGTTTTTTTGGCCCCTAATTCCTAAAATTTTGAGGGAATTACCCCCAAAATCAATCCCAGCCTTCCCTTTGTGGTATGGTACCTTGCAGTACAATTTCAGAGAGATCCATACACTTGAACACAAGTTATTGTCTGGAAACTAGAAAAATGCTTATTTTTAGCCCCTTTTTGGCCCCTTCTTCCTAAGCTTTTTGGTCAATTGCCCCCAAACTCAATTCCAGCTTTCCCTTTGTGATATGGAACCTTGCAGTACAATTTCATAAAGATCCATACACTTACACACAAGTTATTGTCATGAAACTAGAAAAATGCTTGTTTTTTGCCCCTTTTTGGCCCCTAATTCCTAAAATTTGGAGGCAATTACCCCCAAAATCAATCCCAGCATTCCCTTTGTGATATGGAACCTTGTGGTACAATGTCAGAGAGATCCATACACTTACACACAAGTTATGTCTGGAAGTTACAAAAATGCTTATTTTTGGCCCCTTTTTGGCCCCTAATTCCTTAACTGTTGGTACCATAACCCCCAAAATCAATCCCCACTTTCCTTTTGTGGTATTGAACCTTATGATAAAATTTCATTGAGATCCATTCACTTAAACTAAAGTTAGAGTGCGAAAACTAATGTGTCTTTGGACGACGACGACGACGACGCCGACGACGCCAACGTCATACCAATATACGACCACAAAATTTTTTTTGCGGTCGTATAAAAATTCAGTAAGAAAAAATACATTTAAAGATTAGAATAGACATGCACCACATAATCATTGATATATACTAGTAGTAATAACAAATCATTTAAAAATCTAGACAGCTTAGGGATTCAGTCAATAGCATGAATATCTATAATTCTGTAAATTCTGAAATTATTTGGAACTCTTGACCTCTGGCAAAAATGTGAAATATAATTAATGCGATTGCTAAAATTTTATGAAGCAAAATCACTCCTAAAATTATAAATGCAAATTCTTATTATTACGAAACCGATTCTGTCACATTTACTAATAAAATCATCCAAAAATTTCTCAATTTACAGTAAGTGAAAGTAATTCACTAATGTCCTTTCTGTTTGTAACTGCAGCGATTATTTTTTGTGAATGTCTAAATTAATTTTGATTCATTTAAGAGAATATCTAAGATTTTTTGGGACAATTTGTATTTGCGATTCCATTTAATCAACAAACTTTCAAAAATGAATTGCTTGCAAAAGTTAGTTTTTTTACAGTACTTGCTTCTTAATGTGCTAAGTTCCATTGGGTGCTTTTGCATCAATGCTATATAGTTCATGTAAAACAAATCCAAGACTACTTGATTATTTTTCATGAATTGTATTTACCTTTTCCGACAGTATAAAGTTGTCCTTTCTAGTTTAATGTATGGAGTATAAGTTCTATGTATTATCACTGGCTTAGATCAGATGGATGTTTTAATTCATGAAATTTTACTCTTCCATTGTAAACACCTTGTAAATCTTGTTAAATAAATTTCTCAAATCAACCTTGTGTTTTTAAGGTACTGTATTAATGTTTTGTGTATAAAATTGTATTGTCCTAAAGTCTGCACCATAAACATTCTTTGGTTTCGTATTCCTGCCAGAGCTTTTGGTAAATCTATATCCTAAAAAACAAATTATAAAATAAAGTTGAGTATCTTCACCATTTTTTATTTATAAACTACAGTCAGAGTATTAATTTATTAACACAATTTCCCTGCAATAATTAATAAACTATTTTATACATCTTTCAGTAAAACAGATTTTTTTTGGCCATACTATAAATAAGGTTAACCGTTATGTATTTTTATCCTTGTAAAATTACCAATTTAATTCAATTTTTTTCAACAAAATTATTTAAATTCAAATGTATGTCTAACATTCTGCTTTGTTTACATATCTAAAGACATAAGGGGAGTATCGTCGGTCCCCCCATATCCCATTTTATCTCTGTTCACAGATCAACATCAAGTTTGAAGTATGATTTTTTTTTTTTAAATATGGTCTAGATAGTTAAATGATGAGTTTTGTGTGCAGTCAAATCTGGTTTAACCCTACACATTTTGTATCTGTACCAAGTTTTGATTGTAGTTGTTTGTCTTTGTTTGTTTGGTTTTTCTATTTTCTCTAATATAAAGAGTTTTGACCAAACTTGTCTAACTCCTTTTTTCAGCAGTTTACATTTGATTTATTGTTTCTCAAGTGCAAAGGTTAATTTATAAAAACATAAAAAAGATAACAGAAATAACCAAGAATAGTGAACATACCTAGCTTCTTATGTTCACTATTCTTGGTTATTTCTGTTATCTTTTTTATGTTTTTATAAATTAACCTTTGCACTTGAGAAACAATTAATCAAATGTAAACTGCTGAAAAAAGGAGTTAGACAAGTTTGGTCAAAAACTCTTTATATTGGGGAAAATGGAAAAATTACAACAGACACACACACACACACCTTTTTCCCCCCTTTCCTTCATTGAAATTTACTGCATCTATGTGATGCAGAATCTTCCTAACTTATAGCATTTCACTGGACAGAGATCAATTCAACCATTGTTTAGAATTAAGAATGAAAATAGATAAACAAAATTATTTTTTTTTCTGCAAGGCAAAAAATAGAATTTAAATGAGATAGGGGAGATAACCATTACATTTTTCCAGAAATTCTGTTTTAAGATACCTCACCATCTTATGTCCAGGTAATACTCTTTGTTTATAAAATTTTTATTATTCATCTTAAAGAAGGCAAATTAGATATTTCATTTTTAACAATTTTAACAATTTTGAGTGGTTTTACCAAAAAAAAAAAAAATATTGAAAGAAAACTTACATGGTTATGTTCTAAGCACCACTTCATAACCTGTGTGAGTATGACTACACCAGTTCTCCCCACTCCAGCACTACAATGTACCACTATGGGGGATTTCTTCCCACTGCCCTCTTCACTTTCTGCTAATCTTTGAACGGAGTCAACTTCATCTAAGAATCCTGCATTAAAGAAAAAAAAAAGATAAATTTGTTAATTATCTCCCCTGAATTTTACCTGTCAGGATTACACCCAGGGACAAACTACATAAGAGGATAAAAGCAGCCAATTATGCAGTGTTTCTTTAATGATATTCAAAGTAAACAAAGGCAAAGACTTAGTTCATCAACAGAACACGCTTATTTCATGGAATAAATGTTGACATATTTTGCTTCAAATAGGTTAGACTAGATATAGTTTCTAACTTCTATGTCATGTTCTCCGGTGGAGAGTTGTCTTATTGGCTATCATACTACATCTTCTTATGACACTCTTTTGATGCAGCTTTGACATATCAGATTGCATAAAAACAATCAATTTCCCCATAGGCAACAATAGTAGCCTTTTTCAAGAAACAGAATTTAGAAAGTTAATTTTTTTAACAAAACCTTGCTAGAATTAAAGAAAAATTATAAGAACAGTATTTTTAGTCTAAAAATTATAGGTTCCTGTTGCTTTTCTTAACGTAATTTGTACTTGCATCGCTTGTCTATCAATTTTGTACTCAAAAACATGTCTCATCACAGCATAGAAAAGACTTCTCAGTTCTGTTAGGGCCAAGGAAAATCTATTATTTTGCCTTTAGTATAATGCAGAGTGCACGAAGTGTCTAGTAGTAAAAAATACCAGCTGCACACATTGACCAATCAGAATTAGCCATTTAAATACGTAATTTATCTCCCTTTATTTTACTTCCAAAATAATTCCTACTTATCATCTGGACAACTATCATCTGGCCAATCAATGTACAACAAATATCATAATTGTACTCGTCCCATACATCTTTGCCACAAAAACCCATTATTTGGCCAATTAGTTTAATAAACATGTAAAATTTGTCTCCCCTTACTTCACTTACCCAGAAATCCATACATATCGTCAGGACAACCATGATCTGGCCAATCAGTGTACTGTAAATGCCATATCTGCCTTTCCTTTTTAGAATTAGTATGGACTACAGAAATTCTGTTTGTGATGTAACACAAGGAATCATTGCAAAACAACAATGTCACCTCAAACTGAAAAAATTAAAACAGCACATAATTAGTTTTGTTTTCAAATATTGTTGAAACCTTTTCATCATGTATTGTAAAAACCAATCCTATAAAACCATTTTAATTTGTTTGTTTGATTGTAAAAGTTTAATGCAATATTTTATCCATTTGGAATTTTTTATATCAATTTAATTTGTGAGAAAATCAAATTACCACCATTTCACATTAAATAGTTGACAAATCCGTCCAAAGTAAAGAAACTTAGCAGTGGTTGTCATGTGACATCCTTATAGTTTTTTCGTTATTTGAAGAATTTGGTGTTCATTACAGATCTTGCTTCTATTTATTTTATTCCCAATTTCTAAATACTTGTGACGATTAAGGGCTTGACATATAGCATAACTTATTAGTATCAGTAAACATAAACTGAAATATTGAACTGTATATCATAACTTATATCACATCAAAATTGACAACCAACAATAGCATGGTTGGAAGCGAAGCCTTGTGAGCTGGTAGAAACCATGGGAAGTTCTTCCATCTAGATACCAAGCATTTAGAACAATGTCATGTATCATATAAAAGTAAAACGAACTCAAGTTACATTGTTAACAAACTATGTTTTTCTATATTTATCTTATCTTTTTTACTGTATAACCCTTTATTGCTACTTTTACTTTTCATTGTTTCTCTCAACTTGACAACACAAATTGTGACCTCAAATTCAAGATACCAGTTTGGGTACTTCAGTAAATAATTTCCGTATTTAAATTGTCCTGATGATGCCTGCCTTGCAGACCATTTGAAGTGTTGTTGTCAATTTTGATTATTATTTAAGTGTTGCATTCATTTGCATTATTTGACAACCTGGCATACAAAGGTATCCACTTCATGGAGTTTAATTTATATCACATCAGTATTAGTATTCACAAACTTACAGGTCCAAATGTAATTCTATGCTCTGGTCCAACCTCTTGTGGCCAGTAAGGATAACATTTCTGTCTACCCATCTCCTGAAAAAGTTATAAGTACTTATATTCATATATGTAGAGGCAGAACATTGTTTCTGGAGTATTGATTACAGTAATAATGACCTTAGGGCAGTTCCAGAATTAAATGCATTTGGGAAGGGGGGGCACTTTTTTTTTACCCTTACCACCCATTATATAAAATTACTTACTATTTTTACAAAATTTGATGGAAGTTGCAACCATCAACAATTAATCTATTTAACTGCAAGACATTAGTATTCCACACATCAAATTTTTTGTGAGAGATGAAATTCATATAAAAGGTTTAAAGTTTTCTTTTTTTCAACTATATAAGATCAGAAAAAAAAATCAACATACCACCAAATCTGTAAGCATGGCTATTACATCAACTTCTTGTTCCCAAATCAGCTGCCAAAAATCTATACATGTGTTCTGAAGTGGTGCTTGTGTGGCAATATACCACCAAACACGATCTCCGACTGAAAGCTGAAACATAATATATAAAAAAAATTAAACTTATGAGCAGAAATTAATGTAATGATAACTGAAACAGAAATAACATTGTTAACGTCACATGACTTATATTTTACCCACATTTTATTCAACTATGGGTTGAACAGTCTTTGACAGATTAATTGAGCCAAAAAAAAAAAAATATTTCAAAACTTAACTGATCTCTGATTGTTGATTTAAACAGAGCTTAACCCTTTCCCTTTCACACCGGTACAGCTTACCGGTGAAGCAAATTTTAAGATATTTTTTGGGCATTTAGTCTTGTTCCATCGTCATTTGCTGACGTACAGATATGGTTAAGGGCTCAAATCAATCCTCAGGATACCAGCAATATGATTGAATGTGCATCAAACTTCTATCATTATCAGTTCATAGTCAATTCGCCTCTTACTGACATGTATTTATTCTGTAAAAACCTTTTTTTTTCTTCGAATTTTAAAGAATATTTTCAAAAAGAAGTGCATAGAAAACTATCCTTTTTGGGGGAATTATGACTTTTTTCAATAACTGTGCAGTGACTTTTTGAAGAATGGTATTAAAATAATAGTTCTAACTTGTACACTAGTTAAAAATGTAATTTCTAGTGTACCAGCGCAAACACAAACTTGAAATGCGCTAAAAATCCGTAGTCCTTTCTTAAAGATTTTATCGTAAAAGAGATAAAAATCACTGAAATGTCCTAAATTTTTTTAGCAAAGTTGAAATAGATGTAACAAAACATGGTTTCGTAAGTGTTTGGGTATGATAAAGTTGAAAACACTTTTGTTTAAATGAAGGAAAATGTATATGTCAATGGAAACAAGACAGATGAAGAACTGGATTCCTGCTATATTTGCGCAAAAAACCATGCATTTGGCCATTTGGCATCAAACATATATTATCTGAACACATAATTTCTAATAGAAAACAAGCTGGGTGAGGATCTTCATATGTTTTTTTTTTTCACGTCTTGAGTAGTAGACTTAAGTACTTAAATTTCAATATATTCCTAACGATGCCAGTGGTGCAGGGGAATGCTGAACAAACCCAAGGCGGAAAGATCGCGTGTTCGATTCTCACTGCCGGAGGTTGAAAAATTATTTCCTATATTAAATGTAACTTAACTTAACTTTACTTTCAATTTCAAAAAGAAAAACCAACGAAATACTTATGTTTGTTTTTAAAAGAATGTGTGTGCCAAATTGCCCCCCCCCTTTTGCCCCCATTTACTTCCTCGGGTTCGGTCCAGGGTACGCCACATCAAGTTATCATTAGTAATTAAATGAAATTTCCCTTAGAAAAACAAAATTTAGGTTACTGCTTGACTGAAATCGATTTAGACAAAAAACTAGTGTCCGAGTTTGAAATTGGACGAAAAGAGCGTCTGAAATCAGTTATTTTGAATGTTACGGACATCGAGATTTCAAGGCATATAGCACGCATTTCCTCTTTTAATACCAATATGATAACTTGTATGTCTTTAACAGACTTGGGGCATTGTGTTTCCACCAAAACCTTACCCTATTAGCGCAACAATATGTCTCTACACGACTTTTGTCCCAAGGATTTCGTATTTTTTCACATTTTCTCCAAAAGTCACGTGACATTTCGAAACATCCCACGTGACCAAAAAAGGACGAATTATCTTTAAACGTAATTTTCTGAAATATTTGATCAATTATCTTTCATATGAGCCCAACATGGCATGTGCATGACCATTGGTGCGAATGCAGTATTCAATTGAACTTTGATAGTGTCTTTTCGATAAGTAAAGGTCTAAAATGCCTGAAAGGGAAAGGGTTAAGCCAATTAACCCTTTCCCTTTCACACCGGTACAGCTTACCGGTGAAGCAAATTTTAAGATATTTTTTGGGCATTTAGTCTTGTTCCATCGTCATTTGCTGACGTACAGATATGGTTAAGGGCTCAAATCAATCCTCAGGATACCAGCAATATGATTGAATGTGCATCAAACTTCTATCATTATCAGTTCATAGTCAATTCGCCTCTTACTGACATGTATTTATTCTGTAAAAACCTTTTTTTTTCTTCGAATTTTAAAGAATATTTTCAAAAAGAAGTGCATAGAAAACTATCCTTTTTGGGGGAATTATGACTTTTTTCAATAACTGTGCAGTGACTTTTTGAAGAATGGTATTAAAATAATAGTTCTAACTTGTACACTAGTTAAAAATGTAATTTCTAGTGTACCAGCGCAAACACAAACTTGAAATGCGCTAAAAATCCGTAGTCCTTTCTTAAAGATTTTATCGTAAAAGAGATAAAAATCACTGAAATGTCCTGAATTTTTTTAGCAAAGTTGAAATAGATGTAACAAAACATGGTTTCGTAAGTGTTTGGGTATGATAAAGTTGAAAACACTTTTGTTTAAATGAAGGAAAATGTATATGTCAATGGAAACAAGACAGATGAAGAACTGGATTCCTGCTATATTTGCGCAAAAAACCATGCATTTGGCCATTTGGCATCAAACATATATTATCTGAACACATAATTTCTAATAGAAAACAAGCTGGGTGAGGATCTTCATATGTTTTTTTTTTTCACGTCTTGAGTAGTAGACTTAAGTACTTAAATTTCAATATATTCCTAACGATGCCAGTGGTGCAGGGGAATGCTGAACAAACCCAAGGCGGAAAGATCGCGTGTTCGATTCTCACTGCCGGAGGTTGAAAAATTATTTCCTATATTAAATGTAACTTAACTTAACTTTACTTTCAATTTCAAAAAGAAAAACCAACGAAATACTTATGTTTGTTTTTAAAAGAATGTGTGTGCCAAATTGCCCCCCCCCCCCCCTTTTGCCCCCATTTACTTCCTCGGGTTCGGTCCAGGGTACGCCACATCAAGTTATCATTAGTAATTAAATGAAATTTCCCTTAGAAAAACAAAATTTAGGTTACTGCTTGACTGAAATCGATTTAGACAAAAAACTAGTGTCCGAGTTTGAAATTGGACGAAAAGAGCGTCTGAAATCAGTTATTTTGAATGTTACGGACATCGAGATTTCAAGGCATATAGCACGCATTTCCTCTTTTAATACCAATATGATAACTTGTATGTCTTTAACAGACTTGGGGCATTGTGTTTCCACCAAAACCTTACCCTATTAGCGCAACAATATGTCTCTACACGACTTTTGTCCCAAGGATTTCGTATTTTTTCACATTTTCTCCAAAAGTCACGTGACATTTCGAAACATCCCACGTGACCAAAAAAGGACGAATTATCTTTAAACGTAATTTTCTGAAATATTTGATCAATTATCTTTCATATGAGCCCAACATGGCATGTGCATGACCATTGGTGCGAATGCAGTATTCAATTGAACTTTGATAGTGTCTTTTCGATAAGTAAAGGTCTAAAATGCCTGAAAGGGAAAGGGTTAAGCCAATTAACCCTTTCCCTTTCACACCGGTACAGCTTACCGGTGAAGCAAATTTTAAGATATTTTTTGGGCATTTAGTCTTGTTCCATCGTCATTTGCTGACGTACAGATATGGTTAAGGGCTCAAATCAATCCTCAGGATACCAGCAATATGATTGAATGTGCATCAAACTTCTATCATTATCAGTTCATAGTCAATTCGCCTCTTACTGACATGTATTTATTCTGTAAAAACCTTTTTTTTTCTTCGAATTTTAAAGAATATTTTCAAAAAGAAGTGCATAGAAAACTATCCTTTTTGGGGGAATTATGACTTTTTTCAATAACTGTGCAGTGACTTTTTGAAGAATGGTATTAAAATAATAGTTCTAACTTGTACACTAGTTAAAAATGTAATTTCTAGTGTACCAGCGCAAACACAAACTTGAAATGCGCTAAAAATCCGTAGTCCTTTCTTAAAGATTTTATCGTAAAAGAGATAAAAATCACTGAAATGTCCTAAATTTTTTTAGCAAAGTTGAAATAGATGTAACAAAACATGGTTTCGTAAGTGTTTGGGTATGATAAAGTTGAAAACACTTTTGTTTAAATGAAGGAAAATGTATATGTCAATGGAAACAAGACAGATGAAGAACTGGATTCCTGCTATATTTGCGCAAAAAACCATGCATTTGGCCATTTGGCATCAAACATATATTATCTGAACACATAATTTCTAATAGAAAACAAGCTGGGTGAGGATCTTCATATGTTTTTTTTTCACGTCTTGAGTAGTAGACTTAAGTACTTAAATTTCAATATATTCCTAACGATGCCAGTGGTGCAGGGGAATGCTGAACAAACCCAAGGCGGAAAGATCGCGTGTTCGATTCTCACTGCCGGAGGTTGAAAAATTATTTCCTATATTAAATGTAACTTAACTTAACTTTACTTTCAATTTCAAAAAGAAAAACCAACGAAATACTTATGTTTGTTTTTAAAAGAATGTGTGTGCCAAATTGCCCCCCCCCCCTTTTGCCCCCATTTACTTCCTCGGGTTCGGTCCAGGGTACGCCACATCAAGTTATCATTAGTAATTAAATGAAATTTCCCTTAGAAAAACAAAATTTAGGTTACTGCTTGACTGAAATCGATTTAGACAAAAAACTAGTGTCCGAGTTTGAAATTGGACGAAAAGAGCGTCTGAAATCAGTTATTTTGAATGTTACGGACATCGAGATGTCAAGGCATATAGCACGCATTTCCTCTTTTAATACCAATATGATAACTTGTATGTCTTTAACAGACTTGGGGCATTGTGTTTCCACCAAAACCTTACCCTATTAGCGCAACAATATGTCTCTACACGACTTTTGTCCCAAGGATTTCGTATTTTTTCACATTTTCTCCAAAAGTCACGTGACATTTCGAAACATCCCACGTGACCAAAAAAGGACGAATTATCTTTAAACGTAATTTTCTGAAATATTTGATCAATTATCTTTCATATGAGCCCAACATGGCATGTGCATGACCATTGGTGCGAATGCAGTATTCAATTGAACTTTGATAGTGTCTTTTCGATAAGTAAAGGTCTAAAATGCCTGAAAGGGAAAGGGTTAAGCCAATTAACCCTTTCCCTTTCACACCGGTACAGCTTACCGGTGAAGCAAATTTTAAGATATTTTTTGGGCATTTAGTCTTGTTCCATCGTCATTTGCTGACGTACAGATATGGTTAAGGGCTCAAATCAATCCTCAGGATACCAGCAATATGATTGAATGTGCATCAAACTTCTATCATTATCAGTTCATAGTCAATTCGCCTCTTACTGACATGTATTTATTCTGTAAAAACCTTTTTTTTTCTTCGAATTTAAAGAATATTTTCAAAAAGAAGTGCATAGAAAACTATCCTTTTTGGGGGAATTATGACTTTTTTCAATAACTGTGCAGTGACTTTTTGAAGAATGGTATTAAAATAATAGTTCTAACTTGTACACTAGTTAAAAATGTAATTTCTAGTGTACCAGCGCAAACACAAACTTGAAATGCGCTAAAAATCCGTAGTCCTTTCTTAAAGATTTTATCGTAAAAGAGATAAAAATCACTGAAATGTCCTGAATTTTTTTAGCAAAGTTGAAATAGATGTAACAAAACATGGTTTCGTAAGTGTTTGGGTATGATAAAGTTGAAAACACTTTTGTTTAAATGAAGGAAAATGTATATGTCAATGGAAACAAGACAGATGAAGAACTGGATTCCTGCTATATTTGCGCAAAAAACCATGCATTTGGCCATTTGGCATCAAACATATATTATCTGAACACATAATTTCTAATAGAAAACAAGCTGGGTGAGGATCTTCATATGTTTTTTTTTTCACGTCTTGAGTAGTAGACTTAAGTACTTAAATTTCAATATATTCCTAACGATGCCAGTGGTGCAGGGGAATGCTGAACAAACCCAAGGCGGAAAGATCGCGTGTTCGATTCTCACTGCCGGAGGTTGAAAAATTATTTCCTATATTAAATGTAACTTAACTTAACTTTACTTTCAATTTCAAAAAGAAAAACCAACGAAATACTTATGTTTGTTTTTAAAAGAATGTGTGTGCCAAATTGCCCCCCCCCCCTTTTGCCCCCATTTACTTCCTCGGGTTCGGTCCAGGGTACGCCACATCAAGTTATCATTAGTAATTAAATGAAATTTCCCTTAGAAAAACAAAATTTAGGTTACTGCTTGACTGAAATCGATTTAGACAAAAAACTAGTGTCCGAGTTTGAAATTGGACGAAAAGAGCGTCTGAAATCAGTTATTTTGAATGTTACGGACATCGAGATTTCAAGGCATATAGCACGCATTTCCTCTTTTAATACCAATATGATAACTTGTATGTCTTTAACAGACTTGGGGCATTGTGTTTCCACCAAAACCTTACCCTATTAGCGCAACAATATGTCTCTACACGACTTTTGTCCCAAGGATTTCGTATTTTTTCACATTTTCTCCAAAAGTCACGTGACATTTCGAAACATCCCACGTGACCAAAAAAGGACGAATTATCTTTAAACGTAATTTTCTGAAATATTTGATCAATTATCTTTCATATGAGCCCAACATGGCATGTGCATGACCATTGGTGCGAATGCAGTATTCAATTGAACTTTGATAGTGTCTTTTCGATAAGTAAAGGTCTAAAATGCCTGAAAGGGAAAGGGTTAAGCCAATTAACCCTTTCCCTTTCACACCGGTACAGCTTACCGGTGAAGCAAATTTTAAGATATTTTTTGGGCATTTAGTCTTGTTCCATCGTCATTTGCTGACGTACAGATATGGTTAAGGGCTCAAATCAATCCTCAGGATACCAGCAATATGATTGAATGTGCATCAAACTTCTATCATTATCAGTTCATAGTCAATTCGCCTCTTACTGACATGTATTTATTCTGTAAAAACCTTTTTTTTTCTTCGAATTTTAAAGAATATTTTCAAAAAGAAGTGCATAGAAAACTATCCTTTTTGGGGGAATTATGACTTTTTTCAATAACTGTGCAGTGACTTTTTGAAGAATGGTATTAAAATAATAGTTCTAACTTGTACACTAGTTAAAAATGTAATTTCTAGTGTACCAGCGCAAACACAAACTTGAAATGCGCTAAAAATCCGTAGTCCTTTCTTAAAGATTTTATCGTAAAAGAGATAAAAATCACTGAAATGTCCTGAATTTTTTTAGCAAAGTTGAAATAGATGTAACAAAACATGGTTTCGTAAGTGTTTGGGTATGATAAAGTTGAAAACACTTTTGTTTAAATGAAGGAAAATGTATATGTCAATGGAAACAAGACAGATGAAGAACTGGATTCCTGCTATATTTGCGCAAAAAACCATGCATTTGGCCATTTGGCATCAAACATATATTATCTGAACACATAATTTCTAATAGAAAACAAGCTGGGTGAGGATCTTCATATGTTTTTTTTTTTCACGTCTTGAGTAGTAGACTTAAGTACTTAAATTTCAATATATTCCTAACGATGCCAGTGGTGCAGGGGAATGCTGAACAAACCCAAGGCGGAAAGATCGCGTGTTCGATTCTCACTGCCGGAGGTTGAAAAATTACTTAACTTAACTTTACTTTCAATTTCAAAAAGAAAAACCAACGAAATACTTATGTTTGTTTTTAAAAGAATGTGTGTGCCAAATTGCCCCCCCCCCTTTTGCCCCCATTTACTTCCTCGGGTTCGGTCCAGGGTACGCCACATCAAGTTATCATTAGTAATTAAATGAAATTTCCCTTAGAAAAACAAAATTTAGGTTACTGCTTGACTGAAATCGATTTAGACAAAAAACTAGTGTCCGAGTTTGAAATTGGACGAAAAGAGCGTCTGAAATCAGTTATTTTGAATGTTACGGACATCGAGATTTCAAGGCATATAGCACGCATTTCCTCTTTTAATACCAATATGATAACTTGTATGTCTTTAACAGACTTGGGGCATTGTGTTTCCACCAAAACCTTACCCTATTAGCGCAACAATATGTCTCTACACGACTTTTGTCCCAAGGATTTCGTATTTTTTCACATTTTCTCCAAAAGTCACGTGACATTTCGAAACATCCCACGTGACCAAAAAAGGACGAATTATCTATAAACGTAATTTTCTGAAATATTTGATCAATTATCTTTCATATGAGCCCAACATGGCATGTGCATGACCATTGGTGCGAATGCAGTATTCAATTGAACTTTGATAGTGTCTTTTCGATAAGTAAAGGTCTAAAATGCCTGAAAGGGAAAGGGTTAAGACAATTTGCATCCACAAGACTAGTTGTTTTGTTTTATTGTGTCTCTGGGTTGATATCCTATACTTTAATACCCCAAATCATTTATTCATATTTTGTTTACCGTGTAGCGATATTAAAAAGCATATGAATTTCTAAATAACTGCACATTATGAATGAACTATACTCATAAGAAGAAACAGAAATATAAACAAATAGGAAGACACTGGACCTTACCATACCAGTATGGAAAAAGTAATGCATTCTTTGTAAGACAGAATATTATTACCTTGTCATGACCTTCATATTAACATACCACAATAAATTGAACTATGCAGGCAAACAATATACCTATGATTTTTTAGACATCATTGATTATTTTTTTAAGACAAAGACCCATCCTAGCAAATATATTTCTCTTTAAAAACATTAAATCTTTCCATATTTTCTGACAGTGTTTAATGAAAATGGGATTTAAAAGTCTTTTTTATACACATTGATACTATAAAAGCAAGATGAAAAAATAAAAGACAACAAAAACTTGAACAGTTCCTTTTTCCATATCACTATACAATGTACACATATCAATATAGGAAATTTTAAAATGCAATGATCATTTGCAATGCAAAAATATATGTCTCAACTGGATATTAGACCATTAGTGTTGTTTCTTCCATTTTTACCTTTATATGAGAACCATTAACATATCCCGAGTGATTGTCTTTCCTTGGAGCAAGTTTTACTCTGGATGCATCATAAGGTAGAACATCTTTGAATCGATTTCTTTGCTCATTTTCTGGAAGTTTTGACACAGAACAATCAGTATTTGGATTTTTCTTTGGAATTTCCTCAAATTCTTTAAAAACTAAATTTTCAGATAACTTAGTTTCCAAAATTTTTCTCTGCAAAATAAAAAAATATACATGTACATTTAGAAGCACACTGACAGCTAAAATTGTTAATATCATATCATTCTTTTTATCCTTAATGATAATACATTTTATCCCCATCCCTTTCCGTCCAGTATATATGTAAGCTGTCTAATGCATATCTACCCGGTATCTTTTTATCCTTGTATAACTTCAAACTGGCAAAACCCACTCAGTGGTCTTGAGCACGACTACAGTGTGAGAGGTTGTGGGTTTGACCCTGGCAGAGTCAAACCCCAAAGACTTTAAAGTTAGGGGGAAAAACTTCAATAAAGAATTGAAAATACTAAAAATTAATCAAATGTTAATAACATTATGCACTGCACTTTATTGATAAGTTTTCAATTATCTATTACAGCTTAAAGGGGCATTAACTGTCAAATTTGTGGACTGATTTGACTCAAATTCTCATATTTGATTTATATCATACTAAAACATATATCCAAATTACAATAAGTCTAAAATAAACAATTAACAATGCATGGACTCAATAATACAACAATACAGCATTTTGTGTGTATCTAAGTCTAGACGCCGTTTAATTAACCATTGAGATGACCTTCGAAGACTGCTGACAGTCATATAACCCGATATAAACATAAATATAAATATAAATATATAGCGACCATTGCAATTGGATTTTTATAGGTCTGTTTGATTTCATGGGACAGGTTAAAATAAATTGGTTCGCCGAGCGCAGCTGGATACGACCGCAGAGGTCCAACCCTGAACAGTTTGGGCAAAAATAGACACAATATTTGTGCTTGATACAGGTCTGAATTTGGATTGTAATTACAGCTCTTTTCATAATGCTAGCAAGACAAAGGTTTGTTTGACTTGCTTGCTTTGTTTGTATAAATGTTTGTTCAAGCATTGTAATTAAGATTGACATCTGCAAACAATAAAAGTAGGCGGAGTTAAAACCTGTGTTAAGGTAAATTTGCTTAATTGATAATGTCCAATCAAATTTAAATATAATGTATACAAGTTTAAATCCGCCTTTTTATGTTGTTTTCAGATGTCAATCTTAATAAAAATGCTTGAGCAAACATTGATACAAACAAAGCAAGCAAGCCAAACAAAAGTTTGTCTTTCTAGCATTATGAAAAGAGCTGTAAATATTTGACACATAATAGGTTTCTGACACAGAATAACTGTAGTTAAAGAACTTAGAATTGGTTATTCAATTTATATTCAATTTACTGATTTTGTGCAATACACTTTGCTGTTGTGAATTGACATCCACCTCCCCCCAAAAAAAATTACCCCCCTTTTTTTTTGCTTTTGTGCAATACACTATGCTGTTGCGTATTGCTAAAATTAATATTCCTTAATAGTAACTTCTAAAAATAAAATGACAGCTAATCATCTCAACACAATACAACATTTTTTTATACATAATTTAAAAGCAGTGTAAGGGAGGTAATCAAAATGTTGTGTTTGGATTACCTCCCTTACACTGCTTTTTAATTGTCTTAAGTAATTGTCCATTAACCAGGAAACCCTTGTTTTTGCCCCTTATTCCTAAACGGTTTGAGCCATAACCCCCCAAAGCAAATCCTAACCATCCCTTTCTGGTAATGAATTTGTGGTATAATTTCAGAAAGATCCATACATCGTTCCACAAGTTATTGTCTGGAAACTAGGAAAATGCTTATTTGGGCCTCTTTTTGGCCCCTTATTCCTCATCTGTTAGGACCATAACCCCCAAAATCAATCCCAACCTTCCTTTTGTGATTATAAACCCTTGTGTTTAAATTTCATAGATTTCTATTTAATTATACTAAAGTAATTGTCCGGAAACCAACTGTCTTCGGACGATGCTGACGACGACGATGACGTGATACCAATATACAACCGCCAATTTTTTTGCGGTCATATAAAAATAAGTTAATCATAGTTTTTACCTGTATAAGAATAATTTTTTTGTGAATCTAATCAGTAAACGAAATTGTTTACCTTTGTTTCACTTTCAATGTTGACATTCTTTTCCTTCTAATAGCTGAACACGAATGTAGCATAACCCATCTCCAACTAAGGGGTTAAATTGATATTCAAGTTCATATGAATACAGATTCACATGAGGTCAAATTATTCACTTGCAAGTCAATAATACATCAGTAATGTTTTTGAGCTTATTTTGACAAATTTTGGTAAAACTAACTGCTTACAACGAAATATTACTTCAAAATTCTGCTTTTAGTAATACTTGAAATAAAAAGATTCCTATTCTAAATTTTTGTCTAAATCGTAGCTAATGCCCCTTTAATACTTTAGATTTGTTTTTGTTTTTTTTTCATTCAACACATGTAATAAACAAACCCTTTCATCTTTAGGTGCTCTACTTTCATCATTCATCAAAGCTAGAACCATTGGCCTTGACATTGACAAACCATTCATAGCAGCCATCTTTAATGGTCCCATTTTCAGCTTGATAGTACCTTCCTGTTTATACACAATATTCATTTTACACAGATTATACAAAAAAAAACTTTGTTGATTATCAGAAGAATATGACTCACTTAAAAAATACAATATTTATAAACAGCTCTAATGGAGCAGGAACTGCTTACCCTTATGAAACACTCACAATTTTAAGGAGGTTTGATTGACATTTTTCTGTGTAATGTTTCACTGTCTTGTTTTTGGTGTTCTGTCCCTTTTAAGGCATGTTTTTAATTGTTTACTAAGGATTGTCGTTCTTTATTAAGGTTTTTAGGTAATTTTAGCACTCAATTTCATTTTTAAAATAAACTTTCTGATATCTATTTTTGTGCATTGATTTACTGATGCAATTGACTTCCAGAAGATTTTTTTTTTATCTTTCTGTTTCCTTAAATAATTATGAACTGTTCTGTAAATATTTCAAACCATAATACACAATAAGGTGTATTTGTAAACTAGAACTTTTTTTTATTCATACAGTATATATGAAATCATATTTTTATTTCATTCATAAAACAACTTTTTCACAATTTTTGAGAAATCAAAAGACATAAAATAAATTATAAATTACTTGATCAGAATCAGAATCTGTATCCCTTTCAACTTCCTGATCTGGTTCCTGTGTGCTATCACTTTTAACCAGAGCTTCAACTGGATTCTCTAATCCTGCTGCTTTCTCTGTTGTCACTTCAGGTATGACAGATTTATCAGAAGAACCAGTTGCAGGGTTGTCTCCTGAACTCAATGAATTTGGATTAAACTGACCCGACCTATTAGCAATCATTAAACGACGGAAACTCTCCCTCCGTACAACAACCTCTTTAGATGTAGAGGGAGGTGGTGCTTTGTTAGGGGCCACATATTTTATTTGGATGGGTGTGTCCTCTGGAGGTTTATTATGAGCATCTTCTAATTCACTGTCTGTATCTTTCAAATGAAATGTTGTTTCTGAATAATCACTAGAGGCATCATCTGTTTCCACATGACTGATTATTATAGGAGGTGGATTGGTAATTGGTTCACTAGATGGATTTATTTCTTCCACATTCTCTGTAGGAAAGTCATGAACTCTGACCTCTTCAATAGATTCTGTATCAGGGGGAGGTAATCCCATATTTTTGCGAGAAATAAGATCAGGACTATCACTAACATTAGTTCTAGTTGTCTGAACAGCCAGATCTGGTGTACTACTACTTGTCCTGGGATATGGGGGTGGGGGTTTATATTGAAAAGGTAAAGGGTCATGGAATATATTTTCTGTAGGATATTCCTGTGGAAGTCCCGTTAACTCTGGAGAACTATACGTGGGCTGTATTATAAGGTTACTAGTTCGTTCTCTATATTGCATGTAATTCTGTTTTTCCTCTTGAAACACATTTGCATATAATGTATTATTGTTATAGTTGTGTATCGTCTCACTATTTACATAATCACTTTCTTGCCGACTATAATTAGAAACGTCGGACCCAATGTCAGGGTGACTGTACGTTATATTTTCCTGCGGTGCAGAATACATTTGTGAGTTGGAAATATTTCCTTTCTGTTGTTGCACACGGTGTCTCATGACTTGATCATAACTAGGACTTGGCCTATAAGCTGGTAACATTGCCTGTCGGGGATCAGGCTGAGTGGGACTGTTCTGAGATTCAGCACTATTGTATCTACGACTGCCTGTTTCTAAACTTTGCTGTGATTGTCTGAAAAAATCCTCTGCTGATGTAGTTGTTGATTGGGACAATTCTGTAAAAAAAAATTAATGAGTTATTGATATATCAATATGCCAAAGTATAATATGCATTATTGACTTATTGATGGCTACTTAATGTCTAGCAGAAAATATAACATGCATATTCAGAACACAATAATAAAAAAAATTTTATATCCTGAAATGTTTCAGACTGACAAGCTGAAGCTTTGTTTATTACATAAGGTCATAAGGTCAAAGTCTGTTTGAAGCATGTTACCCTTTTTAAGTAATTTATATTATATTTCCTGCAAATCAATTGTAGCTCTTATTTAAATGCTGCATGCTTGGTAGAGAGGCAGCGATTAACCATTTAAAAATTTTAACCAATTAGGGACTGTGCCCAAGACCTTTAGCACTAATGGCAAGCATGCTACTATGAGATTACTGATTGAGTTGCTCAACATTTTAAATCATAAAGCTATAAAGTTTGAAAACATATCCTGAATTGGTGACAAAATACTTCTTCCTTAAACTTAAACATATATACAATCATTAATCGTCTTACTTTAAAACTGCAATAAATCTTTCACAAAAGATTGGCACATTTACAAATATGAATAAAATGTTGTCACCGAAAATCCACTTCTTAATGTCAGGTAATGCTTAGTGTCTATCTAATGGATGGAGTACAAGACAAATTTACCCAATTAAGATGATAGGAATGGCCTTTATCAATAAAAACCAACATTTTAGATACCTCTAGCATCAAATGATCTAAAAATATGTATTGTCTTTGTTTGTTTAACTTCCATTATGAGTCAAAGAATTTTTTTATTAACAAGAATGAAGAATGTTATTTTAACAAAATTTTTACTGTCAATTGTCATGTAGGGTATCCCACTCCCACCTCAGTAAACATACCTTGATCAAACCTTTGGTCCTGTGATTGATACGAAAGCTGTGAATATGTTAATGAAGTCTGTGATTGTGTCTGGAATGAAAACGTCATATTTTATTTACAAACAATATAGAGAAAATTGGTACAACATAAGTAAGCAAAATACTAATGTCCTTGAGTTATCATCGTATCCCATTTGTAAATAACAGATTTTTAAAACTAAGTTCAACACAGCGATTAAATCAAAATATTCATTTCTTCTCCCATCCTTCCTTTTTTTCTTTAATGGTTGTATAAAAATAAGGAGATATGGTATGATGGCTTATGTGATGACAACTGTCTATCATAGAATATAGATGAAAATGTAAAGTTATCAAACTTGTTCATGATGGTTAATAATATATTCTGCCCCTGATTGACTACTGCTGTATTATTTGGGGTGAATGTAAAAATGAAGGGATAGCAAGAATTTTAAAACTCCAAAAAAGGGCAGCAAGATTAATTCTAGATGCAGTTCCTTTATCCCCCTCAGCCCCCTTATTTAAAGAACTTGGGTGGATGACAGTTGACAATAGAATAAAATACCACAAATATTTACTTCTATATAAATGTATGCGTATGGAAGCACCAATGTACCTAGTTCAAAAGTTTAAACTGAAATCAGATAATAATCCTTACTCCCTGAGAGGCGTCACTCAAGGTAATCTGATAGTTCCTAAGCCAAAAGCTGAGCTATTTAAGAAATCTTTTGTTTATTCTGGATCAGTGTTATGGAATGGACTACCAAACAAAATGCGTAAAGCTCAAAACACTTATACTTTTAAACAAAGTATCAAGAAGTACTTGACTACATGTACATCTTGAACAGCCTTATATCTTATCATGTTAGTAATATTACATTGAACTAATTGACTGTAAATTAACTATGTGTAAATATCTGTTTTTTGATTGTATTGTAATTTGTATGTGAGGGCCTCAGGGAAGATTAGTTTATTGTAACTAACTGAGTTTACCCTCTTTAAATAAAGAATTTATTATATATTATTATTATTAATAAGACAACTATCTATCATAGAATATAGACAAAAATGTAAAGTTATCAAACTGTCAAAGATCTAAAAGTATTGGTTTAAATATCCTACTATCATGTTGTCCACAAAGGGATGTGTAAAAATTTAGCAATTTATTTATTTAATCAAAGTTCTATAAATCATAATTATAAATATAACACAAATCTTACCAGAGGGTCCATTGGAGGTAAATCTCTGAAAAGATAAAAAGAAAAAATTAAAACGGGACAAAATTTATATTTATGAAGACTTAAAATCTTATCTAATTTGAATCTTCACATAAAAAAATCTCAAATATGAAAACAACGATGTTTAAGTACTATTGATCAAAACAAATACAGCAATAATCATAGAATGTACCCTGATGCATAATTTTCCACATTTCCTACTATTGTTCTATCTATACACATTGGTTTAATATGTATACACTACTGTGTCTTATACCATTTTTTATTATTTACACTTTCTATAATAATTAAAATTTCATTTGCTGTTTACAGTTTACATCTGATTAGATCATAGTTTTCAAGTGATCCACAAAAATTTTAATACTTTATTTTTATTATATAATCTTCCTTATGTAGGTGCAAGGTATGAAAAGCCTTCCTGTCAGTGAGGACCTGAAGTAACCTGACAAAGCATTTTACTATTCTTAAATTGCTCTGCATGATGTTAACATCTAATCTCAATCTTAAGAAATTTCCTGTAAATAACAAAATAATCACAAGCTTGGCATACAATTGACTAATTGATTGATGGTCCTGCTAAACGTCAGCGACAAATATCACATAAAAATTCAAGGTAATAACATGTTTAAAAGGTCATATTCATTCCCTGTTTAAGACCAGACAGACACACTTATTCAGATTTTTAATCTCCTACTTTACAATTTATCAGGCACCAGGAAAATATGTCATTCTACCTGAACACATTATTTTAACTCATAGATGACCAGTCTTTGCTTTAGTTCTTAAATCCTGTGTAATTGGTAGAGAAGCAAACTACCAGTTTTAAGTCCAAAGTTTAACCTGTCAAGGATTAAAACCACCACCTTCCTCACTCTAGGTATGCAATCTACAAGAAGACCATGGAGGCAGTTGCTCTCTTCATGAAAATTTACTATTCAACCATGATCATTTAATAAAACTATGCTTTTAACTGAATCATTGATAATTAAAGATAATTCCTAGATACATAACCAACATCAAAATTTGTATACTCCTCTGAAACTACATATCAAAAAATTTTGAAACTTTGTGGGTAATGCTAGCAGATCCAAAATCTAGTGCTAAGATGATTCTGAGAACTCTTTAAGGAAATCACATTTGTGCAACTTTCTTTCATAATAATCTATTTCTTCAAAAATTTATAAAACTATATACCGGTAAGCATCTAATCAAAAAACCTGTAAATAAAAACTACTAGAAAGTTAAATAAATGTGACAACGACATATGAATGTTAACATTCCCCATGAATACAAATGAATTATAAATGTTCCTGTGTTCCTGTTCAACATGGTTATAATTTGTTTTGTACCTGACAACACCAAACCTATCGATTTAGCAATTGCATTACAATTTAAATATCAATATATTTTCCTGTAAAAATTTGAGAGATTCAGATTAAACAAGAGTGCAAATGTTGAAATGTCTTGTCTGCTTAATTAATGATAACTGAATAATATGTTGACAGTCTTTAAGATAAGGGTCTTACTACATGTATCAAAAACACTGAAGCTTAATGAACTATGCAGTATTGGTTTTGCTCATTGTTAAAGGTTGTGGTACCTGAGTCAATGATCTAAGTTAGAAAACTAAATATTGACTTTATGATAAGGTCAGTCATTGAACTATGAAATAAGATCAAACATATGCCTCACAGAAACTTCACAACATTTTAACAAGTGAAATTTGCCATTGTCAACACTTTTGTTGCAGTCCCCACTGCTGGAATAACATCAATTATCATTTTATGCCAGGCCTGACAAAAATATATTTCACTTATCATCTCCCCTAACATGTGTGGTTGAAATATAATATTGAAGAGAACAGAATCAGAAAGAAGAAATATGGAGGAATATAAAAGAAGAAATATGTTATAAACATTATGTAGCAGTTGTAAGTATATTTAGGTTTCAATAAGAAATATTTAGATTTAAGTATATATTAGATTGGTAAATTGAAGATATATAGACATGATATATATGAATGTGGAAGCCTGAAGACATTCTATAAAGTCATTTTCAGGAGCCAAAATTTTACTCTTAAATTTTAAGATATGAGTGATTCCCCTTTCAATGAAGTAATACTATTTTACCTGAAATGTAGGTAATGGTAATAAACAGCTATTCCCTGCTAATTTTCATCATAAATATATTTATATAAATAACTTAACTACCATGGGATATGTATTGCAAACAAACTTATAGCAAAGCTGTCATTAACATGAAGATACTAACATATTAAAGTCATAAACAATTTTTTAATAATTTACATTTACTAAAGTTATTGTCCGGAAACCAAATGTCTTCGGACGACGACGACGACGTGATACCAATATACAACGGCAAAAATTTTTGCGGTCGTATAAAAAGGACCAGTATTACTTGATGACGAAGGGGAATATCTAAATTCAAAATTTTATAAGAGTCAAATTTAGACTTTGGTAAATGACTTTCTTCAAAAAGCTTTTTGGAATCACATTGGGAGAAATGATTTAGAAATCAGAATTGTAAGTTAAAAGAATAGTTAAAACCCTGACCTACATATCAGATTTACAAGCACAACCTTACAGCAAAATTTATCCTAATTTATACACAATATGGATTCCTTAATGGTAACATTTTTTTTAGAACAGAGCTACAGGAATATTGAGTTGAAGAATGCCTTACTTACTTTACTGTTAAGATTAAGAAAATAGGAGTAATGACTTTTGTGACTAACATTTTTGGTTACAAACACAAATATATAATGCATTTTGGAAGGGGAAAGTGTAAGGGTGCTTGGGTAAGTTTTCTCTGCTATATTTTAAAAAAAGTGAGGGAAAAAAAGTGACAATAATAATTCTTTAATAATTTAAAAGCTTTTTTCAACTCAGACATTTAAGATTAATAAAATTTAAATTAGTAGGAAGTCCTTTTCACTCATAAAATCAAAAATAATTAGAGAGAATTTTTGTTACCTTCCTCTATTATTCAAAATTGATTTAATGATAACAACCCCCCACCGTTAAAAATACTAAGTGTTGAAATTCTAGTGTTCCATAGTAAAGGAGATCTTATTACTAGTATGTATATCAAGCCAGATGATAATATAGATGTTAGTCTTGTCACCTGTTGAATCATGCATGAAATATGCTTACGATATATACATGTTGCCCGTCTCAGGAAATTCGTTCAAATCTACAACACTTGAACTGCAATCATAAACCATGCACAAGCAGTGAATAGGTGTTTTCTTAAAACTCAGCAAATAAATGATGGAGAAAAATAATTTTGTTGTTTGAGTAAAATTGTCGTATTTTAATTTGTCAGTTATGTACAAATTAAACCATTGTTATAATAATCTTTTACAACAAAAAATAGACTTTCATTTAGGTTGATAATTTTGTTATAATGGCAGCCCATCACAAACCAATACTTATTCAAAAATAAATTTTCCAAATTTGTGCATATTTAAAGTGTACTTCTCCTTTGATATACAACCACCCTTATCTTTTGCTACAATTTCACTTGTTTAAAAGGAGGCTGTATATAGAGGGTACACCATATACAAAAATTGCACACAAAAAAAAAAACCGAAAAGAATAAGCTGTGAATAGTAGATATTTTGACTACTCCTTACAAAATGAAAACAAAATACTATCCTCGGCCCAGATTTCTTTTTTTGACATAGTGGATTGGAAACACTCAAATATGTACATTTTTTAATATGAAAATAGAACTTTTGCAATAATTCAACAATCTGCATTGGAGTAGTTACAGTTACATGTATTTTTGATTTAATTTTCTTGGTAATCATCAACATTCATTCTATTCACTAAAATTGATGTGAGCATAAATAAAGTATTACCTTAATTGCAAATGAATAAATCTTTTAGTGCAAATGCATGTCTCCAATTGAACATTCAGGTGGGATGAGCTAAAGCCAATCAAAATGTGGGAGGAGCTAAAGCCAATCAAAAGGTGGAAGGAACTTAAGTCAATCAAACTTTTATTACCTTGGAGTTGTTTTATTCATCCTGTAAAACTTTTGTTGTAACAAACCGAATCTTCTCACATATTTTGCTGTATCACTATCTTCCTGTAAAAAGTTGAAGGTATACAAAATCTTAGTATTTCTTCCATTAAAAGTTGAAAGTACACATTTTTAGTATTTCTTTCTGTAAAAAGTCTTACATAAACAGAATTTTTCTCATTTCTTTCTGTTAAAAGTTGAAAGTATATAGTTTTTTTAGTACATTTAACTCTCGTTGTCTCGAACTGTTAAATGTTGTAAGTATATTGTTTTTTTAGTACATTTAACTCTCATTGTCTCGAACTCAGTTGACTTGAAATATGGATGAGTGGAAGTCTTCCCGTGTTCCTAAACATTGTTCCAAATAAAATATATGTATTTCGACTCCTGATGAGTCGAAATTTCAGTTGACTCAAACCAAATTTATGGTCCCAATATTAACAAAGGCATTCAAATTGTATTATTTATCTCAAACTAATACACATATGTCTAAACATGACTGTTGGGGATTTAAATGGATTGAAGAGTTCACATGACAATACACATGTAACTAAATTTCCGGTCACTGACCTCTGTATTGATTTATGACATTCTTTTCCCCGAGTTTTTACCTATGATTATTTTTCATCTCCATGATAACAAGTGAAACTGCGAGCTACTGCTCACTGATGATACCCCCAGCCAAAATACTTGACAGTAAACAGGAAGTTGTTGAGTGATGAATTTGAAAACGCATCACACGCTATAACTGACTTATATAAACACTGAAACCAAATCTCAGAAATCCTTGTAATGTAGTTCCTGAGAAAAATGTGACGAAAATTTTCAACTTGGATGTGTTGTGTTAAATGATGTAAGTTTTCGGTAAACAGGAAGTTGTTGAGTGATCAATCTGAAAACGCATCACACGGTATAGCTGACTTATATAAACCCTGAAACCAAATTTCAGAAATCCTTGTATTGTAGTTCCTGAGAAAGATGTGACGAAAAATTTTCATGGGATGGATGGACGGACTGACAGACTGACGGATTGACGGATGGATGGATGGACTGACGGATGGATGGACAGACAGACAGAGGTAAAACAGTATACCCCCACTTTTTTAAAGCGGGGTATAACTAATTAGTGATACATAGTTTATGAAAACTTATTTATAATGTTTGAAAAACAATTAACCGTAATCATACACTTATGAGCTTGGTTGTGCAGAGTAGTGATTAAGACTTAGTGATCAACTCAAATCTTTAATCTTTTTGTACTTTATCTTGCACAAAAAGATTGAAATAAAAAAAAATGGAAAGAAATCTAAATTTTCTAAAATCTCTTTTATACGAGAATGAACAATTTTGTCAACTTTGAATCACGCTAAGATCAATTGAACAAGTGAAACTGCTAGCTACTGCTCACTGATGATACCCCGCCCAAATATTTTGGTAAACAGAAAGTTGTTCGAGTCATGAATCTGAAAACGCATCACACGGTATAGCTGACTTATATAAACCCTGAAACCAAATTTCAGAAATCCTTGTATTGTAATTCCTGAGAAAGATGCGACAAAAAATATTCATGGGATGGACGGACGGATGGATGGACGGACTGAAGGATAGACAGAGGTAAAACAGTATAACCCCACTTTTTTAAAGCGGGGGTATAACTAATCTTTCGGCTTAAAACTACAGGAAAAAAATGTAACTGTTCATGTAAGAGACGCGAAATCATATAATTTTATTATAACAATTAAAGAACTTTACATACAGATACATTGATCTCAGACCAGAATATCAATCCCCTTCCCATATTCAACAGGATTTTTTTTAGCCTTATCAAGCTAAGCAAGAGTTGTAAGCAAGAGTTGTATCCCTTGTTTTGTCAAATTTCCAGTATTGAGTTTGAGTTGAACTACTGTTATCTTGAAATATTTCTCTGGTCCAACTGACTTTGAGATAACGAGAGTCTACAGTATTTCTTTATGTTATAAATTGAAGGTATTTTTTTTCAATGCAATACTAATGACATTAAAAATATGCTTTTTTCCTTTACTGATGGTACTTATTATACTAAGATAAGTATCTCATGAAGTATTACTTAATAATTATATAACACAAAATCTACATAAGAATTATAACATTACCATATGGTACTGAGATGAACTTTTGGATGTGTCTATTTCTAACGTTTTCTTACTCTGGTTAAGACGAGCTATTTCATTCCACCTGAAATAGTAAACATAATTACTATAATTAAACAAGCATTCTCAGAGTATTGCATGGCAATACATAGTCCACTACCGGTTAAAAATTCATTGTATTGAAACAAAATGCTAACTTGATCTATAACTTGTCATGGTGTAAACTATATAACAAATATCAAGTAAAAATTGTGGAAAACTGATTATTTAAGTAAATTTTTTAAGTCTAAGGACCATAACTCTGCACACAAATTCATCATACCGGAACAAAATTCAAATTTGATCTGTAACTTGTCATGATAAAACAATACACCAAATATCAAATCAATATCTTCAAGCATGCAGAAAAAAATTCAGCAATTTTTCCATTTGTAAAGGGGCATTACTCTAGAACGGTAAAAGTGACGCCACCAAAATTCAAACTTGATCTGTGTTTTGTGGTAATAAGCATTGTGTATAAGTTTCATAACATTATATTGAGGCAAACTAAAGTTAGAGAACGGACACGAAAAATTCACCAATTTTTCCATTTGTAAAGGGGCATAACTCTAGAACGGTAAAAGTAACGCCACCAAAATTCAAACTTGATCTGTGTTTTGTGGTAATAAGCATCGTGTATAAGTTTCATAACATTTGGTTGAGGCAAACTAAAGTTAGAGAACGGAAACGATAAATTCAGCAATTTTCCATTTGTAAAGGGGCATAACTCTAGAACGGTAAAAGTGATGCCACCAAAATTCAAACTTGATCTGTGTTTTGTGGTAATAAGCATTGTGTATAAGTTTCATAACATTTGGTTGAGACAAACTAAAGTTAGAGAATGGAAACCAATTTTGGGATGTACGTACGTACGTACAGACGGACAAGGGTAAAACTTAATGCCCCCTCCGCTACAGCGGGGGCATAAAAAGTGTGGAAAACTGATTTGCCGGACTGACGGATGGACAGACAGACAGACGGAGTGCAAACCTAAAGTCCCCTTCGACTTGTCGGTAGGGGACTAATAAAGTTTGATTAGTAGGAAATATGTGGGGAATACATCAATGAAAATGCAACCTGACTATACAAATAACCAAAAGATATGCTCATCTTGGATATACTTTATTCTCACAACTTTCCTGGAATAGCAATCACACAAATCTCTCTCTCTCTCTCTTCTCTTTAATTAATGCAAAGTTAATTGGACGAAATGCAGACTTTCTTTCAATAGCTAGCACATTTGTATAAAAACCTGTTTCTTGAGTTGTATAAAAACATAATATAAAATAATCAATTTTTCTTTATAAAGTTTGTTCACTTTCTAATTTTGTGCCATTAAACATTCATTAGAAACCAAAATGGTCAAGATGTAAGTTAACTCAAGTTAATGAAACATGATCTATATTTGGCATAAAGATGGCAGACTCTCCCAGAAGCACCTTTTAACCTCATATACATCAAGACAGCAACCAGACTACACAATCAAAGCATTTGTGAGCACGGAAGGGTAACCATTGCTTTCATTTTTGGAATATGAACTTAACATTGTATCTAGCAGTGAATCACAGTTAGACCAATTATATTTTTTTAATTGGAGTTATCTTTCCTTTGATCATAATTATGCATTTGCAGCTGAACCTATTTTTATATCTGACAGATAGATTCAAAACTTCATAGGGAAAGAATATACTTTTCTGTTTCAACCAATTTTTAATCTCATGCATTGGAATATTAATATCAAGTATTATAGTTGTCTATCGAAATTCTACATGAAAACTTCAATGGTAATAGATCTTTTTACCTAACAAATCACTAATAAATACTGTATAGTGGGTTATTTTTTCATGGGGTGTTAATGTTCTCTTATTTTGGCGGTAAAATGAAAATCGCGCACGAAAATTTAGACATACATTCAGTACTTCCAAATAGGTAAAGCGTTTTGTCAACGATCTATATTTTCCTGTAGGCAGGTCGATAATGGTAATCTTGTTTTAACAACATAAATATCAAAGGGCATTGTACATACATGTATTTTATAAAATGAGTTTTGAGTTAAAATATATACCCTCATTAATTAGTGTCAAATAATTAAAGAGTGTAAGGTACTCTGTGAGGTATTTTAACCTTATTAATTAGTGTCAAATTATATAAGAGTTGAAAGTTCACTCTTGATATTTTTATAACCTAATAAGTCAAAGGTCCGGTTAATTTTGTAATTAATCAAGTGTAACATTTACAAGTAGCTTATACACCTGTGACAAATATCTGAATTGCCAGTATTCTTTTGATTAACTGTATCAGAATATAATCAATAAATAACAGGTCAATCGGATAGAAAAATTATTTAATCATTTCAATAGACACTAGTTTGATTGACCTTTTATTTACTGCAACCATTTCAGTATCCACCAAAATATATAATTGGGAATTGAGAATTCGCCAAAATAAAAACCTCCAAAATATTTCGTATATTTGCCCCTAAATCACGAAATTTTACACTCGTGAAAAAACGCCACTATACATTAGTAACAATTTATAGGGAATCTTACCTGAAAAATACTGTAGCCTCTCCATGAAGATATCGGGCAAACATTCCCTGATAAAATGTTCCTAGATAAAGTTCCCTCCCTTTCTCATCCTACAAAAAACACAGCAAAACATAGTATACATAGTAACTTGTCATTTGATTTCCAGTTTACATTTGAGAATTTCTCTTAGAATTTTGTTGGACATTTTCTTGCTTTTTCATTGCAATTTCTTATAGAACATCAATAAATAAAAGAACATGCTATAGTACAATTAAGAATCTCCTGTAGGGAACCCTCCTTAGGTAACACGGTCACATCTAAAAATTGCCTCAGGGAATCCGGTCTCTTCTTAGGCATGTTGTTTGAAAACAACAGCAATCCATATAACAAATTTAAAAAAAATATTTTTAAAGGTCACAGGTCCTCTTACATGAGGCATTAGGTTGCAAGGTTGCCTGCCAAAGCCCAAGTTTGCAGGTCGGATTTGACCATGTTGGAGTCATAAATTTTCAACAGTTAAAAATGGTAAATGCAAAACAGTTTATTGATTGTTGAAGAAATTTTAAAAAAAGTTGTCGGTTCCATAGTACATAAATGCCGAATACATAAGAAAATCTGCAATAAATTCACAATTTTAAAGGTTAATCAAAATCTGATTTGAAATATTTCATGGATCAGTTTTCCTGTATGTGAAATGTATAATGACTAAAATTGAATAATTAAGCCTGTATAAGGACTCAAGCAAAAATGTTTGGCAATTTTTCTCTGAGTGCTAACTATGTACTTTAGTTATAAATTAGGAAGTAAAAATGCTAACATGCTAAAACTGCTGACAACAAAGGGACAGAATCTATAACCTTATAGCAGTACTTTTGTGTCAAACCCTTTAATGTTTGTAACTTTTTTCCATGGCATTTTATTTGATGTCTGATGAATATCCTCCTTAAATCCCATCTTTTTCAATCAGGAAAAAAGATTAGCAGGGCCCCAGCAGCAAATTATTTGTGCCCCTAAATTTTATCTGAAATTGACAGTGCTAATGTTTATCTTTTAAATTGTGGGCAGTTGTTCCTCTTGATGGAAAATGTTAGTTTTTTTCCTGTCAAATCAGTACTTAGCCTATTTGCAATTACCTTAGCAGCATAGTAATCCATTCCATACCCATCCATCATCTGTATATCCTTGATGTAATTGATTTCAGCTTTAACATGATGTACACCATGTAAATTTATGTAACAATTCAAGGCTTCATGCATCATTTCTGTAACTGTGGTCTCATCCTTACACATGGTCTGTTAAAAACAAACTTTTATTTAGGGCTGTTCGAGGAATAGTTGTATGGGGGCTTGGAAGGCACTTTTATTAAAATAATATGGATGGTGATTATTTCAAAAAGATGGCCTGAACCAATATAGGAAATAAACAATTTAAAATGTTATTCATCATGGAGTAAAATAAAAATTGCCTTTCAACCCCCCTATACATCTATTTCTGGAATTACCCTTATACAAAAATTACGAAAAGATTAAGTTCAGTGGCCAAAGAAGCAATTTTGTTCATATTTCATTAAATTTGAAAACTAAGACTATACTGTGATACTGTTTGAACTTGTGAAAAAAACCTAAAAAAAAAAAGATACTACATAATGCATTGATAATAAAAATGTTTTTTTTTATGGACAAGAGATAACCCACTGCTGATGTTATGTACAAAAATGCTTTCCTTCAAAAGTAAATTATGCTGATTTAAAATAATAACACAGCATAAAGATATTCTAAGGAGAATAATTTATTCTAATCCATTTTACAGGAGTCATTTTTTTCACCCATTTTTCTCTTTTTATAAAGATAAAAAAAAAAACAACATCCTAAGCTTTTTACCAGATAAATATGACAGCGCAGAAATTTGTGACTTAGAATAGTAGTAACACAAAAATTACCTTAGGAAACAAAGCGTTATCTTTGAAGTAATCTTGAGCATTCTTATCTTCTTGATAGTCATCAAACTCAGCTGGAAAGATAAAAAATAACATTATAGGTAAATAAAAATGAAATAACTTTAGTGAGCAAGTTCACAACACCCCATGCCATACACTTATTCAAACAAGCACCAGCTCTATAGTCGTTTTACATCAAACTTAAATTCTTGTTAGAATAAATCCTGTAATATTATGTATATAAAATTTTTTTCTCTATTTCAATGCAGTGTAAAAGAGATCTCTCTGTCACTGAATGTAATTTTTATTTGTTTACAAATTTCATTCCATTTTCAATTAATTGTGAGCACTTGGGAAGAAATGAGCTCAAAATCAATAGTGATCCCCCGTTTTGAGTCAATCCGATGGAATGGTACTGCGATCAATTTCAGAAGAAAAAAATTTGTCAGGAAAAATAACTTGTAAGTCAAGAACATTTCAGTATAACTTACAATCAATGTTTGAAAGTAATAAGTTTTTTTGTGAAAAGAGCTACTGAAGTTTTTCTCAGTGACAATGACCTTTGAATTAATAGGGATCTTCCTCTCATTATATATGAGGTATATTTATTGAAAGCTGATAAGAAGTACCAAAAAAAAATAATTTATCAATGTAGAAATGTTTGACTATATATCATGTATATTATATTAAGGTTTTTTTATAACACATCGTCAAGTGGACTTTACCTTGTAAACTAAGAGCAGAAAGACGAACAGCCTGATCTACAGACAAAGGAATTCTTCCATCCACAATATCATTTTTCAGTTGGAGGAAATATTGAAATCTACAAATGTAAAAATATACAAATAAAATTGAGAATGGAAATGGGGAATATGTCAAAGAGACAACAACCCAACCAAAGAGCAGAAAACAGCCAAAAGAACTTTTAATACTATTGTTTTCATTTTAACATGTATGAATAACCTTAAATTAGGGAAGCAGAAGTCATTTTACAAAATCATCAAAATCAAATATAACATTACTTTAGCTAATAGCAGGTCAAACATGTCTTGGCTTATTTTCTAGAACATATAACTCAAGAAAGTAAAAAGTAAGGAATTAAAGATCAAGTATTAGTTTTTCTATCTTTCAGATACATTGTACAGACATTATTAAGTTGATTAAGGTTCTGCCACTGTATATATGATGGTAGTGGATAATAAAATTGTCATAATGAATTGTAACCATCTGCTTATATATTTTTGTCAAGGGAAATAGCTTCTAGGTAGGAAAACTGCCTATACAAATCAAGTGGAATGAGCCTGGTGTACTGGGAGTAGGAAAGCTGCCTATACATTCAAGTGGAATTAGCCTGGTGTACTGGGAGTAGGAAAACTGCCTATACAAATCAAGTGGAATGAGCCTGGTGTACTGGGAGTAGGAAAGCTGCCTATACATTCAAGTGGAATTAGCCTGGTGTACTGGGAGTAGGAAAACTGCCTGTACAAATCAAGTGGAATTAGCCTGGTGTACTGGGAGTAGGAAAGCTGCCTGTACAAATCAAGTGGAATGAGCCTGGTGAACTGGGAGTAGGAAAGCTGCCTATACATTCAAGTGGAATTAGCCTGGTGTACTGGGAGTAGGAAAATTGCCTATACAAATCAAGTGGAATGAGCCTGGTGTACTGGGAGTAGGAAAGCTGCCTATACATTCAAGTGGAATTAGCCTGGTGAACTGGGAGTAGGAAAATTGCCTATACAAATCAAGTGGAATGAGCCTGGTGTACTGGGAGTAGGAAAGCTGCCTATACATTCAAGTGGAATTAGCCTGGTGTACTGGGAGTAGGAAAATTGCCTATACAAATCAAGTGGAATGAGCCTGGTGTACTGGGAGTAGGAAAACTGCCTATACAAATCAAGTGGAATGAGCCTGGTGTACTGGGAGTAGAAAAACTGCCTATACAAATCAAGTGGAATGAGCCTGGTGTACATGGTGTACTGGGAGTAGGAAAGCTGCCTATACATTCAAGTGGAATTAGCCTGGTGTACTGGGAGTAGGAAAACTGCCTATACAAATCAAGTGGAATGAGCCTGGTGTACTGGGAGAAGGAAAGCTGCCTATACATTCAAGTGGAATTAGCCTGGTGTACTGGGAGTAGGAAAACTGCCTGTACAAATCAAGTGGAATTAGCCTGGTGTACTGGGAGTAGGAAAGCTGCCTGTACAAATCAAGTGGAATGAGCCTGGTGAACTGGGAGTAGGAAAGCTGCCTATACATTCAAGTGGAATTAGCCTGGTGTACTGGGAGTAGGAAAATTGCCTATACAAATCAAGTGGAATGAGCCTGGTGTACTGGGAGTAGGAAAGCTGCCTATACATTCAAGTGGAATTAGCCTGGTGTACTGGGAGTAGGAAAATTGCCTATACAAATCAAGTGGAATTAGCCTGGTGTACTGGGAGTAGGAAAGCTGCCTATACATTCAAGTGGAATTAGCCTGGTGTACTGGGAGTAGGAAAACTGCCTGTACAAATCAAGTGGAATTAGCCTGGTGTACTGGGAGTAGGAAAGCTGCCTGTACAAATCAAGTGGAATGAGCCTGGTGAACTGGGAGTAGGAAAGCTGCCTATACATTCAAGTGGAATTAGCCTGGTGTACTGGGAGTAGGAAAATTGCCTATACAAATCAAGTGGAATGAGCCTGGTGTACTGGGAGTAGGAAAGCTGCCTATACATTCAAGTGGAATTAGCCTGGTGAACTGGGAGTAGGAAAATTGCCTATACAAATCAAGTGGAATGAGCCTGGTGTACTGGGAGTAGGAAAGCTGCCTATACATTCAAGTGGAATTAGCCTGGTGTACTGGGAGTAGGAAAATTGCCTATACAAATCAAGTGGAATGAGCCTGGTGTACTGGGAGTAGGAAAACTGCCTATACAAATCAAGTGGAATGAGCCTGGTGTACTGGGAGTAGAAAAACTGCCTATACAAATCAAGTGGAATGAGCCTGGTGTACATGGTGTACTGGGAGTAGGAAAGCTGCCTATACATTCAAGTGGAATTAGCCTGGTGTACTGGGAGTAGGAAAACTGCCTATACAAATCAAGTGGAATGAGCCTGGTGTACTGGGAGAAGGAAAGCTGCCTATACATTCAAGTGGAATTAGCCTGGTGTACTGGGAGTAGGAAAACTGCCTGTACAAATCAAGTGGAATTAGCCTGGTGTACTGGGAGTAGGAAAGCTGCCTGTACAAATCAAGTGGAATGAGCCTGGTGAACTGGGAGTAGGAAAGCTGCCTATACATTCAAGTGGAATTAGCCTGGTGTACTGGGAGTAGGAAAATTGCCTATACAAATCAAGTGGAATGAGCCTGGTGTACTGGGAGTAGGAAAGCTGCCTATACATTCAAGTGGAATTAGCCTGGTGTACTGGGAGTAGGAAAATTGCCTATACAAATCAAGTGGAATTAGCCTGGTGTACTGGGAGTAGGAAAGCTGCCTAAACATTCAAGTGGAATTAGCCTGGTGTACTGGGAGTAGGAAAATTGCCTATACAAATCAAGTGGAATGAGCCTGGTGTACTGGGAGTAGGAAAACTGCCTATACAAATCAAGTGGAATGAGCCTGGTGTATTGGGGGTAGGAAAACTGCCTATACAAATCAAGTGGAATAAGCCTGGTGTACTAGGAGTGGGAAAGCTGCCTGTACAAATCAAGTGGAATGAGCCTGGTGTACTGGGAGTAGGAAAGCTGCCAATACAAATCAAGTGGAATGAGCCTGGTGTACTGGGAGTAGGAAAGCTGCCTTTACAAATCAAGTGGAATGAGCCTGGTGTACTGGGAGTGGGAGTAGGAAAACTGCCTGTACAAATCAAGTGGAATGAACCTGGTGTACTGGGAGTAGGAAAGCTGCCTTTACAAATCAAGTGGAATGAGCCTGGTGTACTGGGAGTAGGAAAACTGCCTATACAAATCAAGTGGAATGAGCCTGGTGTACATGGTGTACTGGGAGTAGGAAAATTGCCTATACAAATCAAGTGGAATGAGCCTGGTGAACTGGGAGTAGGAAAGCTGCCTATACATTCAAGTGGAATTAGCCTGGTGAATTTGGAGAAGGAAAACTGCCTATACAAATCAAGTGGAATGAGCCTGGTGTACTGGGAGTAGGAAAGCTGCCTGTACAAATCAAGTGGAATGAGCCTGGTGTACTGGGAGTAGGAATACTGCCTTTACAAATCAAGTGGAATGAGCCTGGTGTACATGGTGTACTGGGAGTAGGAAAGCTGCCTATACAAATCAAGTGAAATGAGCCTGGTGTACTGGGAGAAGGAAAACTGCCTATACAAATCAAGTGGAATGAGCCTGGTGTACTGGGAGAGATTGACAATAAAATTTACTTCATAAGTGCATAACAAAACACTATGGGAAAATCTGAATTATGGTATAGGTTGTTATGCAGGGAAAATTCATAACAGCTTACATACATGAAAACATGTTCTTTCCATAGGATTGTAAAGGCAGGTATACAGGTTGTCAAACCAAGGAGTTGTTTCCCTTTGCAAAATTCTAAAATTGGCTAAAAGTCAGTTATTTTGAAAATAGTCTATTCAGGCTTTTAGATTGATTGCTGGAGTGTTGATCCATTATGTCCAGTTGATGGCTTCTGAAAGGTCTTTTCTTGCCAGGCTAAAAACTGCAACTTAAAATAGAATTTTTGTTTATGATTACCTTGCTACTTCATCCGCCAGTTTATGAGCTCCAGGTATATAAAACATAACTCCAAAATATAACCTGGGTGAATTGGAGGCTTGGGCATGTTTGTCTAACTGTTTCTTCAAAGGTCGATCTAATTCTATCCAGTGAAACTGTAATTTTTTAGTCACATAACGTAATCCAAAATACTGAGTCTGGAAGAAATATAAACTATGTTAACAAGGAAAATATCATGACAATTTGATAATTCCAATGCCCTTTAGTGTACATGTATTCTTTAATAGTAATATTATATATATTGATTTATATAAAAGTAAGAGAGAGTTTGCTGCATGTTGATCTCATAATAACTTTCAGATGAAAACAGCAACAAAAGTGTTGTTCCTTTGTTTTTGTATTTTTTTATGTGTGTGTAGTGATTTTGGTTTCAAGAATTGATACACCCTATCCTTCCTTTTCCATTATGTATAATTAAGACAATTTTGCAAAATTTTTAGCTTAAAAATAGGAAAATATAGCCATTTAACTTTTTGAAGTCAACATCACAGATATTAAAATAAAATATGTATGTCCATGAAGACTAGGGCATACTAGCAATATGTTAAGATACATGCTGTTGTAAATTATATATCTGCTATTACATGTATTACTGCAGACCTTATTATAGTAAAAGAAAATTTAAAATTTAGCCATTGCAACTGTTTCAATAATTTGTTAAATCAACATTCAAAGGGAAGCATTAATTTTTTACTGTTGTATTTTTTTTAAATAAATAACAATTTTCAAGGTCCAGGTCCTTTGTCAAATATGCTGTAAATTTCTATACAGGAACATTCAGAAATGATATCCTTATTGTACACAAAAATAAAAAAAATCTTCAATAACAATGCTATTGATACTTTTGTATGTTGAATATAATTTGTTTATCATTTATATCTCCAATCATGATAAAAACATAATGTATAGTTGTCTTTGTAATCTCATCCTTATTTACACATAACTTCTTTGTCTGAATTATTTACAGATAACGAACAATCAGATAATTCTGATAAGACAATCATGTTAGATAACGTGTGGTAAACATTTTAAACAGATTTAAAACCAATCAAAGGTAAAAAAAATGTAAGAAAGGTCTTTTGAAGTCATCAATAAAACAACAAACAAATGAGTCAATGATGAATAATAAAATTTGTCTTTTTTAAAAATGTTATATATATCACTGACCACGCATACATGTAATAAATTTAAAAACATGCAATAAAAAATAAAAAAAAATAATAGAACTTCATTTCTGATTAAGTAGAAAAACAGCATATTTCTTCATAAAATCTGTCATCACAATAATGACACTTATACATGTATCAGAATTTTAAGAAATGTATTGTCACCAAAAAAATCTAAAAAAATATTTTCACCACAATCTTTTCACCAACCTAATGTTGTAACTGCTTATTATTTTGAAATATGCAACACTATGATACATTTTAATCATTGTCATTTAATTCATAGACAAATGAATTGATACGACCGCAGAGGTCGAACCCTGAACAGTTGGGGCAAGTATGGACACAACATTCAAGCTTGATACAGCACTGAATTTGGATTGTAATTAAATATTTGACACAGCATAGGTTTCTCACACAGAATGAAAGTAGTCTAAGAACTTAAAAATTTTTAATTTACCTATTCAAACCATATCATTATTATTTGCTTTTATATATAAATCAGAAATAACCAATTTAAAATGGAAAATTTTAAAGAAAAAAAAGGAAAAAAAAATCCCCCCCCAAATTTTTTGAAACCCCCTTATGATTCATCACCCCCAAACTCAATCCCAGCCTTCCCTTTGTGGTATGGTACCTTGCAGTACAATTTCAGAGAGATCCATACACTTGAACACAAATTATTGTCTGGAAACTAGAAAAATGCTTGGGTTTTTTGCACCTTTTTGGCCCCAAATTCCTAAAAGTTTAGGGCAATTACCCCCAAACTCAAACCAAGCTTTCCCTTTGTGATATGGAACCTTGCAGTACAATGTCATAAAGATCCATACACTTACACACAAGTTATTGTCATGAAACTAGAAAAATGCATGTTTTTTTCCCCTTTATGGCCCCTAATTCCTAACATTTTGAGACAATTACCCCCAAAAACAATCCCAGCCTTCCCTTTGTGGTATGGTACCTTGCAGTACAATTTCAGAGAGATCCATACACTTGAACACAAGTTATTGTCTGGAAACTAGAAAAATGCTTATTTTCGGCCCCTTATTCCTAAACGTTTTGGGCAAGTACACCCAAACTCAATTCCAGCTTTCCCTTTGTGATATGGAACCTTGTAGTACAATTTCATAAATATCCATACACTTACACACAAGTTATTGTCATGAAACTAGAAAAATGCTTGTTTTTTGCCCCCTAATTCCTAAAATTTGGAGGCAATTACCCCCAAAATCAATCCCAGCATTCAAACCCTCAATCAGCATCATTTAACAGTAATATCTAAAAATGGAAATTACATAATAAAGGTATTAAAATAGAAAATGACATCATAGTCATGGCTAAAAATAAACAAAATCCTTAATCAGCAACATTTTACAGTAATATCTAAAAATAAAATTCCTTTGTAACCATAAAAGCCCATTTAAATACATCATGACAGATATTAAAATAGAAAATGACATCATAGTCATGGCTAAACATAGCAAAAACCTTAATCAGCATCATTTAACAGTAATATCTAAAAATAAAAATTTCTTTGCAACCATAAAAGTAAAATAGAAAATGACATCATAATCATAGCTAAAAATAAACAAAAATTTTTTTTATTACCAAATTTTAAATGGAGTTTATTAAACTAAAACAATAAATTTGCAACCATAAAACCCCATTTAAACACATCATAAAAGTATTAAATAATTCAACTACATCATAAGGCTATAAAAATAGAAAATGACTTCATAGTCAAGGCTAAAGGTAAACAAAAAACCTTCATCAGCAAAATTTTATATTGGCAAATTTCCAATGAAGTTTATTATACTAAAATTGTTGGCAAATTTCCAATGCATTTATTAACAATAAAGTTATTGGCAAATTTCCAATTTACATAATTTAAAAGCAGTGTAAGTGAGATATTTAAATGAGTTTGAATTACCAACCTTACACTGTTTTTAAATAATGTTTTGTACTTATTTATCTATTAACCTGGAAACCCTTGTTTTTTTCACCTTTTTTTCCCCTTATTATTTAAAGGTTTGAGCCATAACCCTACCCCAAAGCCAATTCTTAAATTCCAATGTAACCTAAATTTACAATATACATAACTTCAATTTAAGTTTTTGATAAAATCAAACCACATCATTATTATTTGCTTTTATATCTAAATCAGAAATAATTAACCAACTTTAAGTGGAAAATTTTCACACATCACGCCCCCCCAAACTCAATCCCAGCCTTCAGTTTGTGGTATGGTACCTTGCAGTACAATTTCACAGAGATCCAATTACTTAAACACAATTAATTGTTGGAAACTAAAAAAAAATGCTTATTTTTAACCCCTTTTTTAGCCCCTTATTCCTAAACATTTGAGCAATTATCCCCCAAACTCAATTCCAACTTTCTCTTTGTGATCAGAATTAACCAACTTAAAATGGAAAATTTTAAAGAAAAAAAAAAGGAAAAAAAATCCCCCCCCCCCCCACAAAAATTTTTTGACCCACTTCCCTAAGTGGTATGGTACCTTTAAGTACAATTTCAGAGAAATCCATACACTTGAACACAAGTTAATGTCTGGAAACTAAAAAAATGCTTATTTTTGCCCCCTTTTTTGGCCACTTATTAATAAATGTTTTGGGCAAACATTTTACAATAATATTTAAAACTGAAATTAATTTGTAACCTTAAAATTAAATAGAAAATGACATCATAGTCATAGCTAAAAATAAACAAACTATTGGTAAATTTCCAATGGAGTTTATTATATTAAAACAATAAATTTGCAACCATAAAAGCGCATTAAAATACATCATAAAAGTATTAAAAAAAATTTAACTACATCATAAGGCTATTAAAATAGAAAATGACATCATAGTCAGACTAAAGGTAAACAAAAAACCTTCATCAGCAAAATTTTATATTGGCAAATTTCCAATGAAGTTTATTATACTAAAATAATTGGCAAATTTCCAATTTACATAATTCAAACATAGTGCAGGTGAGATATTTAAATGAGTTTGAATTACCAACCTTACACTGCTTTTAAATAATGTTCTTTACTCAATTATTTGTCTATTAAAATGGAAACCCTAGTTTTTTAACCTTTTTTCCCCTTATTCCTTAAACGAAAAAAAAATAATTACCCCTTTTTTGACCCCCCCCCTATGATTCATCACCCCCCCTTCCCCCCAAACCAAGCTCAATAACAGCCTTGCCTTTGTGGTATGGTACCTTGTAATACAATTTTAGAGAGATCCATACACTTGAACACAAGTTATTGTCTAGAAACTAAAAAATGCTTATTTTTCACCCCTTTTTAGGCCCCTTATTACTAAACGTTTTGGGCAATTACCACAAAACTCAATTCCAGCTTTCCCTTTGCGAAATTGAACCTTGTAGTAAAATTTCAGAAAGATCCATACACTTACACACAAGTTATTGTCATGAAACTAGAAAAATGCTTGTTTTTTGCCCCCTTTTGGCCCCTTATTCCTAAAATTTCGAGGAAATTAACCCCAAAATCAATCCCATCATCGACCCTTTGTGATATGGAATCTTGTAGTACAATGTCAAAGAGATCCATACAATAACACACAAGTTATGTCTGGAAGTTACAAAAATGCTTATTTTCGGCCCCTTTTTGGCCCCTAATTATTTAACTGTTGGTACCATAACCCCCAAAATCAATCCCCACCTTCCTATTGTGGTATTGAACCTTATGGTAAAATTTCATAGAGATCCATTCACTTAAACTAAAGTTAGAGTGCGAAAACCATTGTGTATTCGGACGACGACGCCGCCGACGACGCCAACGTCATACCAATATACGACCACAAAATTTTTTTGCGGTCGTATAAAAACTGTAAAATATCTGTAAAATTACTAACTCAGGGGCAGCAACCCAACAACGGGTTGTCGGATTCGTCTGAAAATTTCAGGGCAGATAAATCTAAATCTGATGAACATTTTTGCCACCTGTCAGATTTGGTCTAAATGCTTTAGTTTCAGAGATATAAACCAAAAACTGTATTTTACCCCTATGTTCTATTTTTAACTAAGTCGGCCATGATGGTTGGAAGGCGGGGTCATCGGACAAATTTTTTAAACTATATACCCTAATAATCAGTCAGGGGTACTACTTGTACAAGTAATTTTTATTTACTTGAAGAAGTAAATATTAATATACTTATATAAGTAAATTTGTAGGATACTTATACAAGTGTATTTTATTTACTTGTATAGGTAAAAAAAAATTGGGCTTAGTTATGTCCCTTAGACATTCAGATTTTTTACCTATACAAGTGAAAAAGTCATCCTATCTTCTTTTCTTGAATTCTTAGGACTTCTTTGCTCAAATAGAATTTTTAATTGTGTCCTTTGCAGATGTCTTTACTAATCGTTTAAGTGTAATTTCATGGACAATGAAAATCTCATTTGTCTGTTATCTTCAGAACACTGCTCATTTACAAGCCCCCCAAGGGGCAATTTTTGAATTTTTTTTTGAAAGATTACAAAAATTTACGAAAAAATTGTTTAAAATTGACTATAAAGGGCAATAACTCGTAAAGGGGTCGACTGACAATTTTGGTCATGACAACTTATTTGTAGATCTTACTTTGCTGAACATTATTGCTGTTTACAGTTTATCTCTATCTATAATAATATTCAAGATAATAACCAAAAACTGCAAAATTTCCTTAAAATTACCAATTCAAGGGCAGCAACCCAACAACAGGTTGTCAGATTTGTCTGAAAATTTCAGGGCAGATAGATCTTGACCTGATAATCAGTTTTACCCTATGTCAGATTTACTCTAAATGCTTTAAATTTGGTTTCAGAGATATAAGCCAAAATCTACATTTTACCCCTATGTTCTATTTTTAGCCATGGCCGCCATCTTGGTTGGTTGGCGGGGTCATCTGACACACTTTTTAAACTAGATACCCTAATGATGATTGTAGCCAAGTTTGGTTAAATTTGGCCCAGTGGTTTCAGAGGAGAAGATTTTTGTAAAAAGCTAACGACGACGGACGACGGACGCCAAGTGATGAGAAAAGCTCACTTGGCCCTTCGGGCCAGGTGAGCTAAAAACATAAAAATCCTGACCAACTCTACAAGAAACCCTAACTTACATATTTTTTTATTCAAACCATTTCCCTATGAAAGTAGGATGAACTATTGCAAAGGTATATCTATGACCTGTATGAAACAAACTTTATCATTTCAAGGAAAATATTTTGTAATGTTATTTCTAACTAAAAGGGCATTAGCTCCTATATATTTAGACAAACAAATTAAATATGATATTTTTATTCAAACATTAATAAAATGGAAATATTCAAATAATAAATCACTATTACATGTAGTTGCCGGTTTGAATCAATTTTGTAAAAAAAAGGCTATAAAAATGGCTGATATACATGATATAATGGTATTGCAAGATTTCAAAAGAAACATAAACAAACACTGAAGGGTTTTATTCATATCTGTGTCATTGGGTTGCTGTCTACTGATGTATATACCACTGGGGTCCGCATCTCTTGATGTTTACCACAGGGGTTCACATCCCTTGATGTTTAACACTTGGGTCCACATCTCTTGATGTTTACCACTGGGGTCCACATCTCTTGATGTTTACCACTGGGGTCCACATCTCTTGATGTTTACCACTGGGGTCCACATCTCTTGATGTTTACCACTAGGGTCCACATCTCTTGATGTTTATCACTGGGGTCCGCATCTCTTGATGTTTACCACTGGGGTCCACATCTCTTGATGTTTACCACTGGGGTCCACATCTCTTGATGTTTACCACTGGGGTCCACATCTCTTGATCATACCACTTAGGTCCACATCTCCTTTTATTTCTATTGATCTGCACACATAATAAAAAGAAATGATAAAAGGTCCATTTACCTCCTCAAGTTCAATCCTTTGAGCTATACTGTCCAAACATTGTTGACCTGTACTCTCGGAGGTTAGTGTACATTCTAAATAGGAATTGTCCAGCATGTGTACACCAACAACCAACGCATTCTTTGATGATATTTCATAACGTCTTGTTCTTTTAAATTTTATACCAAATGGCATTTTTTCAAGTAATCATTAGTTATCTTGTCTTCAAAATAATACACCACAAAATCTGAATATAAAACAAACAGGAAATAATGAGTAAATACATGAAATACAATGTATATCAAACTCCAAGGTTTTTTTTAATAAAACACACTCCAAGGTTTTTTGGAATCATTTCCAAAGTCAAAGTCTAAATACTTAGAAAACAAACATGTCATTGTGATAGACAAAGGAAATAAACTCAGGAAAATGAAATAGAAATATTGTCAGATCTATTACAGTTGTTTAACATTAATAAATTGCAGTTTACAAAAATATTTTGGTCAAGTCTTCACATTTAGTTACCTTTGGTCCAGTGATTGACAGTCATAAAGTGCATCAACATTAAAATACAAGAATGCACATGCTAAATGTCTCGCCTTCTTTACTAATATGTGATTAAATTATGATGAAATATTGAACTAAAAATTGAAACGAAACGCACAAATTAAAGTCTACAATAAATTTTAAAATAAAATCAACTGGCCTCCAAATTTTAAAATAAGTTTAAAAAATATACTAGACTGGCCCTTCAAATTTTAATGGTCAAGGGATGAAGGTTTTTTGTTACCACCCTGCGGCTCTTTTCATAAAAAATCTTACGATTAAAATTGACAGTAAGTTATACTGAAATATGAATGACTATTGAGTATTTTAATTCTTAATATTTTTTGTGAAAAGAGCTGCAGGATAGGCCTGTAATACAGGCTGAATCAGCCAGTGAAAATTTTGAATGGAATACATAAAAGTTGATAAGGGGGCCCTGGGTGATATGAGAAAAAAGGTTTACTGGCCACAAGGGCTAGAATTCACTGTAAATCTATCAGCCTGAAAGGCTAGCTATCTCAAATCAAAATCTACTGGCATTCCAAATTTTATTATATATTGAAAATTTGTTACCATCCAGGTGAGGTCTGCAAAGAAGGCTGAATCAGCTAGGGAATATTTTTGAAATTTTAGAGCCTAAATTTTCCTTTCTGAGCATACCTGAATGCGCTGTTATTCAGATGTAAAATCAATTCATCTGCAAGTTTAAAAACTTTTGTAACACTATTCAAATCATTAAAGTTTAAGTCAACCGACTGATGATAAGCCCTCATCACAATTACAAGTATCAACATGCTTAGAAATTACCGGTATGTCTCCAGTTCGAATATTGATTTCATCAGAAGATTTGTCATGTTCAACATGGACTGGAGTACAGCATGTCTGACACAAATAATTTTCCAAGAGCTGACTATGACTCTTGAGAGAATACTCAGAATAGACCTATGAAAGGGATTAGAAAGTGAAACAAAACTACATGCCATTTCACTTAGACATTTTTTTTTAAAAACAAATGGATCGATTTGGCAGTTCATCTTTCATTGGGATGAGTTGAAATTAACTGACTCAGAAAAACTCTCCTTAATCAATTATCATGATAATCCCGTTTTCTTATTTGTATGCATTTTTATTGGAATTGATGCTGTTTTCTTTTACAAAAAAAAATAATTAATAATTTATTTCAACCTGTTTCCATACAAGAAACTGCTTATCACAGTGTTCTGCCCAGGCCCTTTTAGCATCATGGCCAAATGATGCTATATTGGTTTAATGTGGTGCTATCTGGAAGGATATTCTAAAAGATTGTATTATGAATTTGATGCTGTAATTTCAAGAAACAATATACTATGTAGAATTATTTTTGTCAAGAACAGAATTAAATCTGAAAAGTCTAGGGAGATCACTGGAAACCATGGAAACCAGTCAGGTTATGATATATATCTAAATACCACAAAATACAAACGTTTGGATCAAGAATCACGAGGCGACATTGTCTGAGGAATTTTACTGAAAATCGAGGGCGACATAAACTTCTCGCTGGAGCTTATCTAAGAGCGAAGTGGGGAGTCCTATGGCGACTTTCACTTCGCCTGGTGTTGTGACCCCTGAGAATAGTGACATAAATTTGTACAATGTAGGAAATATATGGGAAAGTGAACGAATTTGAAAGTTGTGTATTAAAACATTTGGAAACTTTCTTCGTGTTCTTGAATCTTAGATTACTTTCTGAGAATCTGTATTTTCCCACCTTTTAAAAATATATACATAAATGTATTGCAACCAAAAATTAAAGAATTAAATTTGTTACATCCCTGAATATGCATTTGAAATATGAACTGCCAGTTAGGCAATGATACATGTACAAGGAGCCTTTTGTAGGTTAAAACTACAGTATATTTTAACTATTTGTGTCAGAGCGGACCAAATACTGAACTTTGAAACATGTAGAATACAATTTCAAGTTCTGACACTTTACTAGAACTTATTACACATTTTTTTTTCATGTAGCTGTGTGTGGTTTTATCTAATGTCATTTGATGAAATATCACTGAAGTTTTCTATAAAATGATTAAAATGCAATGAAAGACAAATTAATCAAAATGTGTGTATTCCTGGTTCTATTTGACGGACTATTGATGTGATAACCTGAATAGCAGACGAAGCCTTATAGTGAGATAGAATTAAGAAATTCGTTTAGTAATTAGTTACATGTATAATAATATCTGCAAATAATTTTTACCAACACCTTCGTGTTCTTCAGGATACAGTATACGTTTCTATGAGTAAAATAAACAGCTTACCTATGTTCACTTAGGTGTGAAATAGATGTTTTTCAAATTACGCATCTTTTGTAATCTATAACTAAATAATCGAATGCAAATCAATGTATCATTGATGCAGGTGTGTCCAGGTAGAAACATTTGTCAACATTTCAAAATGTCGTAAATCGTTTCGTGCCACGGATGTCGTAATGTCGATGTTATCAATTCATTAAATTATGCTAAATTCAAAGATTTACAAAATAAAAAAGAATTGTTAAAAATAAAAGTTTATACGTTTAAAGTACGAAAATAGTTTTTAAATGATATTTGATTTTATACGATAATGTATTTTTGGCATATTTGCGCACGCGCACTTAATTAATGAGGGAAATTTGAAAATATAAACAGCAACTTGTTGAGTACCTAGGTATTTGAAAGGTTTCTTCCATGTTTTATTCTTTTACATTACTAGAAAACAACCCTATGCGAATCTTTTCATTTTAAACCAATCGAAAGAAAATTAATTCATATCAAAACAGATGCTTATATTACAATAGAATAGATTATTAGAATATATTTCCCAAATAATTTTACAGGGTCTATAATTTCTAAAAGGGCATAAAAATCAGTTACAATTGATTGACATAATTGATAATTACAACAAAATACATCACAGTGTACATGTATATTTGGTATATTAGCATCGGTCAGAATCCGAGGTTCAACCATATGAAAATGAATGCACAATTAAACAATAAAATTATCGTCGATGATTGCAAGTTCGTGCTTTTGGGGATTCCCACTTATTTTGTGACGTCATGCATAAGTATTTATCATCGGCAACGTGCTACTTCAAAAAAACTTAATCGGATATTTTGCATTGCATTTTTACTAATATCGGCTTGAAAAAGAGAAGTTGTGTATGTTCTTGAATATTATTTGTTTAAACGTCTATTTCCACTATGACTGTTTTACTCCTATCCTAGAATTTCGTTGAATTCTTGGGAAAATCCTTTCAGCAATGTTTTGGACATCTCAACAATGAGTCATCATCTATATTTAGGTTATGTGGCGCTCTTTTTCTTTTTTTAAGGTCAAGGGTATTATTTTTCAAAGTTTGTATGTGAGCGGATTTTTTAAGATCAGAAAATGATTTGATTTATTTTGATAAAACAAAACCTATGGAATATTGGCTCGTAAAATAAATTTAATCTTATGGTATTGAGTGCAAATTGAATGAAAAAATACTTTGATGCATTAATCACATTGTGACATCGTTGTAGTTATCTTAAATGTGTTTCAATTGTTTAATTCTGGACTTTCTAATTGACCATTGAAGGTCACGTGTAAAAATTAGAATATTTGTTGTAGGGAGAATACAAAAGTTAGTATGCCCCAATTTCTCTTTTTTTCGAGATATTCATTTGTTATTTGATCTCAAATTTATTATGTAATGCTCAAATACATAATACAATAGGCCTGACTTATATATTGTTGCACATGCGCAAAAGCCAACGTCCAAGACAAAGGTTACGAACTTACAAGCATGTCTACTTATTTTACGGAATCGGGTCAAAATACGAAACATAGAAAGATTGACCATGTTTCTGAAGCTATTCATCAATAAAGTGTATCAGACTGTTTGCAAATAAGTAAAGAATATTTACATTCACAGTGGATAATAGTTGCTCCAAGGTTGTGATTTTTTTCTTCTGTTTCGAGTTAGGGTAACGAACTTCCAATCATCGAGGATACACAAATTGTATTCTAACTCATTTTTCGTTAAAACAGTGATTGATTGGAACCACCTTGAAGACACTAGTGCGCGCACCAAGCATTGAGATCTTCAGAATTGTTCTCTAAGCCTTGTCAATAAATTGACGGCACTCTCTCTACTGTTGTATTAAAGCCAGTGTTGCCTATTGGTATCCACAATGTATTCATACAGATACAGATATGCATTCTTATGAAATTATTTACTAGTATCAATATTCAAACAGGATCTCCTTAATTCAAAACACTCGCCAATATAACAGCCCATTTTTTCCATAAGAGATACTTTTTTTTACATGTATGTCAAGAGCCATAAAAATTTGGAAGATTTATTTAAGTTTTTAAAATTATAACAAATATTAGAAATGTATTGAAACAATTCTTCTCTTTTGATATCATAAAGTGGACATTCTAATAAAAATGAAGCTCATCCTACCAAGTGAACAATTTAAACAACAGTCAGGGGACTTATTGAATGAGTGATTTTCTAAATCACTGATTCAAGTAACATTATGTCCATAAAGGTTGGAAGTAAGAGTTGTCTTTCTTTAATAATCACCTATTTAAGTATTACAAATTAATCATAAGACTAAGTGATTTAATTTTATTGTAGCTTTAAATATAGAATACTAATGATCCAGTGACTAATTGTGTTGCTAAAATTATCAGAACCAACATCTGTGTTGATAGGATGACCGGGTCATGTCAGGTGATGACCTTGTACTAAATCTAGGATGATGACATAAAAATCACTTGTTTAAGTATCATACCTCAATTTCCTTCCAAAAAATCACTTCTTTAAGTATCATTATTTTAATAACCCCCACTAATTTCAACACCCCACAACAGTGAAATTTTGATTGCGAACAGTAGAATTTTATTACACAATCTATAAGATGAAACCTTGAATTTTACAGGAAAAATACTCCCACTGCTGGGAAAAATCTGTTAAGAAAGTATCAGTTCATTATGTAAAGCCATTTTTATAGCATTTTTTCAACTAAAATAGAATTTGCAGCTAAATGATTGTATCAAAGGCATAAACCTTGATGCTTAAAAGAAGCAAAAAGTTCATTTTTTTCATTTTACTAATGAAAATATATTATCTAAACCTACAAATGTATGTGTTTAAAATTTTGGTAAAACTACAAATACACAATTTGTGACAAAACTTCGAAATTTTCTACTTAAATAAGTGATCTAAAAATCACTTATTTCAATAAGTCCCCTGACTGAACAAAGACGTTCGGATCTATCAATACTTTTTTTATGCCCCTGCCGTAGCGGAGGGGGCATTAAGTTTTACCCTTGTCCTTCTGTACGTACGTCCGTACGTCCCAAAATTGGTTTCCGTTTTCTAACTTAAGTTTGCCTCAACCAAATGTTATGAAATTTATACACAATGCTTATTACCACAAAACACAGATCAAGATTGAATTTTGGTGGCGTCACCTATACCGTTCTAGAGTTATGCCCCTTTATAAATGGAAAAATTGCAAAATTTTTAGTTTCCGTTCTCTGACTTAAGTTTGCCTCAACCAAATGTTATGAAACTTATACACAATGCTTATTATCACAAAACGCAGATCAAGTTTGAATTTTGGTGGCGTCACTTTAACCGTTCTAGAGTTATGCCCCTTTATAAATGGAAAAATTGCAAAATTTTTATTTTCTTCTAAATATCAAGTAATTTTTAAAATTGGAGTTATCTTCCTTTGTCCATGATTATAGTTGAATCAAATACAATCAATGCTATATACAATGCAATGTTTAATTTTGACTTCCACTGATAAAACACAGATCAAGTTGAATTTGGCTAGTGTCACTTTAACCATTATTGAGTTATGCCCTTTTATAAATCGAAATATTTCAAAATTTTTAGTTTCCATTCTGTAACTTAAGTTTGCCCCAACCAAACATGTACCCTATACACAATATTCATTACCACAAAACTAAGATCAAGTACAAATATTTTGTTTCCGTTTTCTAACTTTAGTTTGCCTCAACCAAATGTTATGAAACTTATACACAATGCTTATTACTACATAATACAGATTAAGTACGAAATTTGGTGGCGACACTTTTACCATTCTTGAGTTATGTCCCTTTATAAACATAAAAATTGCTGAATTTTTTAGTTTGTCTCAACCAATTGTTATAAAACTTATAAACAAACGTTCTAGAGTTATGCGTGTTTATAAATAGAAAATTTGCTGAATTTTTAGTTTTTGTTTTCTTCTTAAGTTAGCCTCAACCAAATGTTATGAGACTTACACACAATGCTTATTACCACAAAACTCAGATCAAGTTCAAATTTGGGTAGCATCACTTTTACCATTCTTCAGTTCAGAGTTCGCGAAAATGGTCGGTCCTGCCGGTCAAAATAAGGCTCGGACCAGTATTTTGAAGGCTAGTGCCGGTCCCGATGACCGATGTAAAAACGGCCAATGTCTGGTACTGGTTTACAGATTTATTATAAACAAACCAAAGCGGCGATCTACACGTGGCCTACTAAATTTGTTCATAGAGCCATCCCTGGCAAACAATCGGCGATTGAACCCTACAATGGAGCAAACAAATACTGTAACAGCCGAGAAAGTGATTCAGATGATGAAATGGATAGTGAAGATGACTTTAAATAAGAACAATCAGAAGACCTGAACTGGTCCTTCATTGTTAATTTGCCTGTGGGTGAATAATATTAATAAAGTTATTTTTCGATAAAATATGTTATTAATTTTATTTCAGGATAAAATTGACAGATTTTGTAGGACTGGCTAAAATTTTGTAGGACTGACAAATAATCGTGCTTTGTCGGTCCCATGACCGACGGGTCAAAATAAGTTTTTGCCAACTCTGTCAGTTATGTCCCTTTATAATTATATGATAGGCAAGCTGGGGCATCATCTGTGTCCACATGTGGACACTATCCACATTTATTTGAATATCCATGATATCTGTCCGTCTCAATTTTTAAAGAGTGAGCGCATATTCTTAATTAAAAAATTGACTGTCTTTTTTTATAATCCTGTGGTTCTAAGTATGAGTTAATTGTTTGATACTTCAGTGTATTCCAAAATGTTAAATAACTTTCACATAGTTTATTTTTAGCATACTTACATAAAGAACCAATTGGTTGGTCAAAATTAGGTAATTTAATCCCTTTGTGAATGTAATCTATACTAGAGTACTATGTACATGATGTATTAACATTATAAATTATGTTATTGTTAACAACATATAAATGCATCATATAATAATCCTTCTTTCAAACCTTCCAGTCTATGACAATATTTTAACATTGATAAAATTATAGTAAAATAAATAGGAAATCTACCAAGCTCTGACATCACAGCTATGTTACTGGCCTTTCTATGAACACCAAGAATATATTTTGTAAATTTATGAGATTTTAGGAAGAATCCTGACCAAAAACTTTTTCTAATATTATATAACCATTATTATCTTCTTTAATTTACATGCAGCTGAATCAGTAGGAAACATTCCCCATATTTCACTGCCATATAATAGTATAGGTTTAATTGTATGATTATAAAGATGTAAAAATGTGGCAATACTAGGGTTAGATGATGACAAGCACATAAATACATGTTTAAATAGTTCACATGTCACTGTTAGTTTCCTAGGCAGGTGTCTCCCCCAGCATATTATTATTTAAGCCTAAACACAAACTGGTTGTTCAGATGCATTTAGAATCGTACAGGTGTGACTCTTAAACATGGCCTACATCATAATCAATTTGTCCATCTCCATACCTGCCAACTTTCATAATTTTGGTGAAAACTACACGATTTTTATCCCTCATCCCAATTGCAGGATTGTGATTGTGAAAAAGCCCTAAAACCAGACTTGTGAAAATCGCACTGAAAATGTTGGTTCCTAAATCTGAACTTTTCCTAATGGAGACAATCGTGATCAGCCGATCAAAATATGTGTTTCTCGTGATAACGTTAATTAGCCTATCAAAATTGGTGTTTCTCGTGATTGCATTAATAAGACCATCCAAATCAGTGATTTTATGATTACATGCCTTTTGCAAAGTCTGCTATAGACTGATTGAGACCTGAACATTCACCACAGTGGCCTGAATGACGTTTCAAAGCACATATCGTCTGTCAACTTCATCAGAAGTCCATCATAGCTCAGAACACTACCAAGTCTGTCAGTAACTTCTTTATACGACCAGATGATGAGCAACTCAAGATGGTCAAGCAAGCATGTCCTTATTTTTATAAATAATTTTTAAATATATACATGTATGTACAGTTAATACCAAAGGTTTTTCCATATAAGACATTGTCAGCAATGTGAGCATGTTGAGTTAAATCAGACTATTAAAATATGAGACAAGTTTCATACAAGTCAATGAAGTGGGATTTCTTTGATACAAATTTTTCATCATCATTATACCATAAGAAGAAAAAAAATATGACACTATTTCCAGAGTACAAAACGGTGAACACTAAAAAACGCCTGGACAATTTATAACCTTTGAAAATGCTGCTGTGCAATAGTTGGCAGGTATGCAGCTCGAGTTTCAATGGAATCTTCTTAATTTGACCTTTTGATTTTACCAGAAATGTGTAACTCTGAATCAACCCTGGCAAAATGGCAACAAACAAGAACAGCGAAGAACATGAAGAAGAGTATTATCAAAATAACTGACATTTTACAAAATATATCTGAAGAAAGCGGGCTGATGAGGGGAATTTATTTTTGGCTTTATTTTCCAAGTGTAAATAAAGTCAGTGATATTTATCAATAGAACAGAAAAAAATATAATTTCTGTAAAATTAGTTACTAAGAGTTAAAGGTGAATTTATAACAAAAATCCATTCCCTTCACTAATCAAGGCTTTTCCAGAATTGTCTGGCACTACACGAACACAGGGGTGTTGGCTATTGATAAAAAATGATAAAAGAAACTCTATAGGACAGTCCATAAGCTGATAAGGAGAGAAGATAAAGGAATTACTTTGCAATAAGATGCAATGCCTATATCTAATTTGTCCCTATGGTGCTATCCAAAAATCTTAGGAAGAACACTTTAATCAGACCCATACCATGCATACAAACAAATGATTTGGAGGTCTTACATCAATTTTGTCTGTCAGGTCCATCTGCCGACCACATTTGGCATAGACTGATTTCTCCCATATACAGTTGAATCAAAGTGAAGCAAACATGTATTTATTAGTTTCAGTTAGGGATTTCATTAAGATACACAGCAATGGATTTCAAAAATTTTGGAGAGAAAAAGAAACAGAAAATGAAAACATTTTGTTTCTATTTTTAGCAAGTGCTGTTTGGATTCAGACTCAGAGCTATTAAATGTTTTGAAATCAGTAATTTAAAAAATCACAATTCTAAAAACTTTAAAAATTGACCTATTATTGCACGATGTGCATAAAAATGAAAGATAGAATAGTTAAAAATATTAATGGTGGTCTACATTGTGCATAACACTGTTTCCACATGCATGTAAATAAGCTGTCTCTTTGACATATTCCCCATTTCCATTCTCAATTTTATGTGTTTGATGAACATTGAATATTGGTATTATTTATTTTTAATTGAAGCTGTATAAACAGCATGATTTAAAGTATCTGTTTAAATTAAAATGTAAAAATCTCAGGCCAGGCCAGCACATCTTTCAATCCCTGTCATCAGAGGACAAACTGTTTCCACATACACCATGAAATGGGTTTCAGTTTACAATAATTTTAATTTTGTCGTTACAGGGGGGAGCTTGTACCCACATACGCCATGAGTTGGGTTCAGGATGAATGGAAGGAGGGTTTGCCTTATAAGGCATTGCAGAAAGTAAATCAACTTGAACAACAGTTTGAAAGACTGAAAAAAGAAAGAGATCAAAAACAGTTTCAGCTTGAAAGCTTAGAACAGGTATGTTTTACATATAATGATGAGGAGATGTGGTATGATTGCTAATGAGACATTGATCCACCAGAGTTATGATTTTTAATATGTTATTGAATAAAGGTTTTCTTATACATACATGACATAAGAAGGATAACAAGAATTACAAAAAATATTAAACATTACATCAGTTCACATTTACATTCGACGACTCAAGAATAAAATGTAAAAAGACAAACAGAACAAAGTACGATATCCTAACTTGGTAAACACAAAAAATGTGATGGGGGTTAAACCAGCTTTTATTTCTAGCTTTAATTAAGGAATGACTGTAATATTTTTTCTTTCTATGAAGAAATAACATCAACAATGTGGTGTACAGTGAATTTACATGCATCATGTGCATAGCAGGTTACTTTAAAGTGTGCACCACATCTTTTAGGTCATTTCGAATAGACAGAAAAAAATATTAGTCTTTCCTTATAATTTAATTCTAAGTTCCATATTTAAGGAGTAAATCATGAAAAAACGTTGAAATCAGTAATTTAAACACATGACAAAATTATGTCTATGAGCTGATGGACAAAAATCTTTCAGCCAATCAGTAGACTGTTTTCCCTAAACAAAGAGAATGAAAAAAAAATGATAACATTGAATAACTGACCCTGTTATTTCCATGATCTAACCATTAACATTTAGAATCTTTTTTTTTGTCTCCTCGTTTTGTGCTTAAAAATCTACAGAACTATTTTGAAATATGACAACAGTATTTTCTGTGCTAATCTTGTTGGATTAATATAGTTAAATTGTTTACCATTGTTGTCCAACACAAAATACAAAATAAAACTTCGATCAGATAAATTTCTGTTTAAATACCTTATTTGGCAGCACTAATCAGTCAGGGGTACTACTTAAACAAGTGATTTCAGAATCACTTCCTTGAGTGATTTTGGCTGTGAAATATTAAAAATTTTCACACAGACTTTTTAAAATCACTGAAACAAGTAATTTTAGAAGTTAAAATATAATCACTTTAATAAATGTTTATAACATTTTCTTGATATTTTTCCCACAAGCTTGATTTTTTTATTGGTAAAAAGACAACAATTCCATTGAAAAAACAACTATGTACATGTAGAAATTGTCTTTTGCTTGATAAGCCTGAAACTTTCACAGTTTTTTTAACATATGCAAAAACTGGAATAGTTTGTAGATCAGGTCATAACCTTGAAGTAGATCATTCTAACTCTAAAGAAAACCAATCAGGTTACCTAATATTGTTGATCTTTGTCTGATAGTAAGAGTAGTTAATGAATTTTTGATTACAGAAAAATTCCCAAGGGTGCTTTTAAAAGCTTTAGCGCACTAACTTACTGCCCAAGCGCACTGGTGAAATTAAAATACAAAGAAAAAGGGATAATTGATTTATGTAGGAAAATTATAGAAAAGATTGTAAAAATATGGAAAATCAATGAAATTAGCATTTGAAGATCAAAGAAAACACTAAAATCACTTAAATAGGTGATAACTGAATTTATCAAATCACTGAAATAAGTGATGATGAAATCACTTGTTTAAGTAGCACCCCTGACTGCTAATTATTTACAAAAACTCTTAAGCACATGATGGAAATAAAAGTTACGTATAAAGAGAAACTTATGGTCCTGTGCTGTTGAGTTGAAATGATTTCAAAGATAAATTCAAAAGTCATGTGCCTGTGGATTCATCCTTATTTGTCAGTCAGGGGTAATACTTATACAAAGTTATGTATATTTACTTGAAGATGTACAAATAAGTTGGAATAATCTCCCCTTAATCTCCAAAAACATCTGTTAAGTAACTGGGCAAGGCCTTCAAAAATTGTTCCCAAGAGGCTGGTAAATAAGCGTATTTTGAAGATAACAAACAAATTAGATTTTCTTTGTCCTTGGAATTTTATTTTATGAATAGTAAAGACAACTTTAAATGAAAAACAAGAAAACACTTAAATTACAGCAATGTAGGCAAGGGAAATTCAGGAATAGAAGAAAATATGACTTTTTTACATTTTATCAGAATATCTAAGGGATATAACTCTACCTCCAAAACAATTTACCTGTACAAGTAAATAGAAATGACTTGTGTAAGTATAACTTCTCACTGTTTGTGGGATACTATATGTCGTTGATTATGTGGGCAATGGTTAACCACAAATTTAAGTTTTCAATTACATGTAAATACAAATTTTCTATAGTAGCTGGAATGCAGAGTTTGTTAAAACCACAAAAACCTCAGGACAAAATCATGTAAAGCAAAATACAATTTTCCTCAAAGACAAAATATTAAATGAATTGTTTTCTCTTTAGTTTTTATTGTCTCATGACCATGATGACAATTTGCACACATTGTTATTAATTTACATTACTTACAGACATCAGGTATTGAATAAAAAGATTTAATCTATTTTTTGTATTTCAGGCTCTTCAAATTCAGAAAAGAAAAGTAGATGAAGAGAAAAATCAGTATTCAGGACTTAAAAGGGAAAATCAGAATTTGTCTGAGACATGTCAGGAAATAGAGAAAAAGAGAGAGAAGTTAGCCCATGATTTGCAACAGAAAGAGAATCAGTTGTCTTGCCTGGATGGGAAACTGTCTCATACAAAGTCACAGTTAGATGCTGAAACTAAAAAAGTATTTAAATATAGACCAAATTATTTGCTGGAATTCTCTGATATTGCTGTTTTGTTAATATCAATATTTAATTGAAGTAAAAAACATTATTTAAAAATGAAGATTGAAGGAACATGTCATATTTAAGTAATAGAATGAAGTGATTTAGTGATGATGATCATGAGAAAATATTACAAATAAATATATTCTAACAAGTTGATTGATGGACATAGAAATGAGAAAATAATACCTGGTTGTGGGGGGGGGGGGGAGAGCAAAAACTTAAGTGGAAGAAAGACATTTACACTGTATGGCTTAAGAAAAAAACTCACCCTGTTTGGAAACTTTAGGTTTATAAAGTCATGGCAAAAATACTATCTTTTATAAACAAAATATGAAAGAAGGAACAAAACAACAATAAACATAATAAGTTTGCCTGTGTAAAAGGGTCAGGACTTTTTGTACTAAAATTTCATATCTTAATAATGTTTTCTCAGTCAGGACAGACACAGACAGAGTTGGAAAGAATACAGAGAGATCACCAAGAGACAGAAAAGAAACTAGAGAAGTTAACTAGTGACCACAATAAGTTACAGGAGTACAGTAACCAACAAAGGGCTCAGATAGATCAGCAGGCAGACAAAATTAAACACCTGGAAAATGACTTGAAAAAAATAGCAGATAGTGCTTGCAGTGTATCTACATCAGGTAAACAGCTCAACTGTATATAACATGTACAACTGAAGCAAATGTATTTATTTTTTCTCAATCATTCGTTAAGGGTAAACTGTTAGCCTTTTGTACAGCTAAAGTGAAATTTGCTCTTTCAACTCATCAGATTAAAGGTCAACTATGCATTAAATATACAACTGAAGCAAATTTTGTTTATTCCTCTAACCAGGTTAAGAGTTAGCTATACATGTACTGCTTCAGTGAATTTTGCTTTCCAACTCATCATAGATTGCTCTGACAGTTTTTTGGGAGTGTGGGATACCATTGTGAAGTAGATAAATTATACACAATTTGTTTCCTTATTCATTTTTCTTCATACATAATGAATAATTAAAGTTTTTATATTTAATGAAAAGATAAACAAAATATATATTCAAAAAAGATGTATTTACCTCAAATTACCAGATAACACACTATTTCAAAATGAATCGTTCAAGGGCACCAAGAATCACCAATTATGTACCTTGTATTACAGTGACCATGATAGCTATCTGAAGTTCATCATTTGAATATATATTTTAGTAGAAAGAGATTGTACATGTACATGAATAAAACCTTCACATATTAAAACAACTTATTTCCAGGTGGGAATAGTGGGTCTGATTCAGGACTTCAAGAAAAACTACAGCAGATAAATGTACTACGTGAAAGGGATGCTCAAGAACTGAAGCAATTAAAGGAGGAGTACAATCACCTAGAAAAGAAGGTAAATGTTTTGTGAAAAATGCCTTTTTGTTAACAGCTAACCCTGAAAGACTTTTAATCCATTACAATGCAGCAGTTGGATTTTAGTTTTGAAGATTGACTCATATCAATATTTTGCAGATAAAGTGTTTATGAAAAAATTAATTTCAATCTATTGTAAGGCAAAACATTGAATAATTGAAAATAGTGTACTCCTGTTAACATTTTTGAAATCTGAAACTTTTTTCAATAATGAATAAGGTTTACTTTGAAATACCAAAATGTAACATTTTTGTTTTGCCAACAGACAGCACAAGAGATTGAGAGATACCAGACTGAGTTGGCCAAATTGAAATCAGAAACAACAGAACAGCTGATCAAGATAGACAACTTTAATGCAGCTAATACTAAAAAAGAACAAAGCAGCTTTCCAGGCCAAGGAACTACTACACAAAGCATGGTTCAGAATAGGAACCATGTTGATAATGATCCATTTGGATTTGGTATTGGAAGTACAGGCAATAATAGAAATAAGACTAAAGATAATGATGCCTCAGGGTTTGGACTTGGATTTGGAAACACATCAGCAACCAGAAATCGATTTGGACAAGGAAATAACCAGAATTCAGCTCCTCCTGGTTTTGGCAGTACAAATGGTACAAATAAACATGGACAGAAGCCATTTTCATCTTAAATTGTAAAAAATGTGAAGATATAAGTTTTGATAAAGACTGTCATTTACGAGTCTTTTTCTAAGCAAGCTTCAAATCATTCAGAATTGATAATTTTTTTAAACAGTTACTTTTTCAGTGACTTAAGATATTTGAACATCGAACTTTTGAAGGCTGTGTTACCATGAAATTTTCCTATCACCCCATCTTAATTATGGCTAGCAAGGTAAAAATGAAATTTAAAGAAGGATCAAAAAGTGAAAGCCGAATGTTTTTTTTGTTTTCATAGATAAAAGAAAATTGTGTGAATCATTATTTAATGTGTAGGGTATCGAATGACTACTTTTAAAACTTCAGACCACCAAAAAAGTTTATTTTGTTCTTATTTACAACCTCCAAATGTTTGTTTCATTAGTGTGTCTTTTAATCCCCCCTCCAGCCCAATATTTTTTTGTATTAGTCTTTACCTGCATTCTTTCTTAGTAGGTTCAGATACCAGCAGTTGGTCGTCCGGAAACTGGCAAGATGGGTTATCATCTGCAGCTTCAAAGCATATATCACAGTTGGAGACCCAGGCTGATAGATTAAAGAAAGAGAAGGATCAAAAACAATTCCAACTAGAAAGTTTAGAACAGGTATGTATTAGGACTGTTACATAAAAACATACATGGGACCCAGGGAAGGCACTTCCAAAGCTCAACTATGGGTTGGTGTCATCTATGTTTTTGCATAGTGGAAATGTAAGTGAAATTTTAATTTGCCTCTTTAGGTGGTTACCCCATTTTTAAAGTGCCTTCCCTCGGTACCATATATGTTTTAATGGAGCAGCCCTTATAGAAAACGATCAGAAACGTTCTGAATTGAAAGGTTAGACCCGGGTCAAGGAAGTTCAGAGACTTATCCACCTACTAGTTACTTCTGGATATGTGGTAGAAAGAAAGTCAGTAATAGTTCCAGCTACCTGGATTTTTTTACATTAATTAGGATAAAACTAGGGATGCCAACTAGGTGAAGAATTACTCATCAAGTACTTATTGGTTTTACAGACCAATACTTGAGTACTAGCTCTGGTAAATATTTACAAAGTGGGAAAACAAACAGTGCCAACAGTGTGTGAGGAACAACTCAATGGATTAAAATAGATTATAATTTACCAGCTTCCTCTTGATGTGAATGTTGGCAATTTATGTGAGCAGACAAAGACAAGAAATGAAATTTGAATCAATTTTGTAGAACATGTGTAAACATTCGCTATGTTACTACCCTGATGAACGTAACCATAGAACATTTAAAGCTTGTTTTGGTGACAAGAAAATGTTACTGGGTCAAATGGATGTTAATACTCTACACAATTATCTGTGATTAGATAATGTATATAGTCCTAGGAAATATATACCAAAATTAATAGCTTATTTACAACATGTGCTAATTAAGAAAATAGTACCATAGTCATTAATTTAGTGAACACCTATCTATTGAATATAAATGATATCAAATTTAAACAAAATCATTCAACAGTTACATTTTGTAATCGTTAAGAAAGCCCATTTTATAATACAAAGGCAGTATGTGTGAGAGTCACAGGATGTGATAGCAAATTTTTTTGTATTTTGGAATATTTTCTTACATGTAATTGTCACCGTTTTCGTAAGGCCAGACTTTTTAGCTCATCGGGCCCAAAGGGCCCCATGTGAGCTTATGCCATCACTTGGCGTCCGTCGTCGTCGTCGTCTGTCGTCGTAAACTATTTAAAAAATCTTCTCCTCTGAAACTACTGGGCCAATTACTTTCAAACTTTAACTAAATGTTTCTTAGGGTATCTAGTTTATAAATTGTATCCGAAGTTTTGATCCATTGCCAAACATGGCCGCCATGGCTAAAAATAAAACATAGGGGTCAAATGCAGTTTTTGGCTTATATCTCAAAAACTACAGCTTTTAGAGCAAATCTGACATGGGATAAAATTGTTCAATTGGTCAAGATCTATCAGCTCTGAAATTTTCAGATGAATCGAACAACCCATTGTTGGGTTGCTGCCTCCAAATTGGTAGTTTTAACAAAATTTTGCAGTTTTTTGTTATTATTTTGAATATTATTATAGATATATATAAACTGTAAGCAGCAATAATGTTCAGCAAAGTAAGATCTACAAAAAAGTTAATATGACCATAATTGTCAATTGACCCCTTAAGGAGTTATTGCCCTTTAAAGACAATTTTACACAATTTGTTCATCAAGTTTGCTAACATTTAAAAATCTTCTCTGAAATACAGGTGAGTGATTCAGGCTCTTGAGAGCCTCTTGTTTTATTATCTGTTTAACGAGATCCACCGACTCCAATTTCAGGATTTCAGAATAAAAATAAAAGAAGTGCTTTTTACTTTTATTTTTATTTTTCCGGCCGACTGTTACGAAACCCTCAGAACAAAAATAAAATCTGTGGTTAACGATACCCACTTTCGTCATCGGTAATATTTAATTTTTACCAAGTCGATGCCACAGCAATTTCAAAGTAAAGAAATAAAAGGCATAAACGATTTATGACTTCAAAAAAGAGGTTAAAGCATTGATTTTTTAAGCTGGTGGCATGTTTTTTCATAAAAACAATTTTTTAAAACCACTTTCGCCGGTACTTGTTACACGAGAGAGTACATCAAATCATTCTAACTTTCGGCTAAATAAGTTATTACTTCATTTGAACTTGATGAAATTAGCCTGAAGTAAATTTGTAATCCATGTATAGCATTAAAAACGTCATATTCCTTTCCAAAAAGCGTATCAAACATCGTTTATTTTTGTAAAGTTTTTTCCGACATTTAAATTATTGGGTATATTTTTGAACAACTCCGGATCGGAGTCGGGATTTCATCGGAAGCAGACCCACTATGACCAAAATCCAGATTCTTGCGATAATGACTACAGACAAATGAATGGCACTGCTGACAGACAAAAATTGATCCCAAAAGGAAAAATTACGCATTCCACACGCATTAACGTACTTTTGGTCAGATATTTTTTATTAATGTTTATATTTCCTTTTTAATGCATTTTTTCAATTTATAAGTTAATGTTGCTCAACCACGTCTATTACACCAGAGACATATATACACATGTGTATATAATGTGTATATATGTCTCTGATCACACTAATATAACATAATTTTATTTCCAAGCTTAACAGTTAATTGAATATATCTTCTTAATGAAAAATAATTAATTTCATGAACATGATAACAGAGTAGTTTTTTTAATTGAATTGTATATACAGTATAAACATGTAACATACACTAAGAGGTTCCTGACTGGTAATATACATATATATAGTGTATATGCAGGGAGGTTGATATATTTGCCTGGTGCATATGCATGGATCTATAATTAGATGACATACAGAATCAAAAGATATTTTTTATGTTCATATTAATAGAAGGGTTAATAATATACTTGTCTGTTTTCATTTCATTGTTCTTGTATTTTGATAAATTCTTTAAAAAAAAAAAAAAATGGTCACTTATAATGGTTTTATTTTTATTTTTAGTGTCGACTGGACCAACTTTGCACTTTTATTTATATTTTTTTTCGTCCCCTCGACCCTAATTTTTTACAAATTTTCTCGATAAACAGATTAAAAAAAAAAGTCTGGCCTAACAGATATAGAAATATGAAGTTTTGGTATGATTGCCACCAGAGTTAAAAAATGAAGTGGTAGTAAGCGATTATAGGCCACTGTACAGCCTTCAACAATGAGAAAAACCCATACCATATAGTTGGCTATGAAAGTCTGTAAAAATATTCACTCTAATGTTACCAATATTGCAGGAAGGGCCAAAGGCATGTAAGCCGAAATTGTCGGCCCAGAAAAGCTTCTGTGTAGCCCACCACTTTAAAAGACATGTCTCCATCATAATTTCTAAGCAGAAAATTTTGGTGGCATTTTAAACAATAATTTGGAACAATACACGAAACATATTATAACTACAATTAATTAGTGATAACTATTTAATTTTCTGTTTGGCATTCACAAGAAAATCAATTTTATGAAAACGAGGACAATGTCCTAGCAGGAAACTGTTTAGTTGAGTATCATTTTGATAGTCATTACTCAGTCCAACAGGGCGATACTCGAGTATTTGAGTTCTCGTTGACATCCCTAGATAAAACTGAGAGATGACATGAACTAAAGAATACAGTTGATCATTCTTAAAAAAATTCATCAGTAAAATTTCCTTAATGGTGTACTTCAAAAGACATGCTTACAGTATACCTGTTAAAATATTTTATTTTTATGACCCACAGTTTTTTCTATTTTGTTAATCACAAATCTTTGTGAATATGTATTTATATGGATCAGAAGTAGCAGTTCAAGTTTTCATGCTAGGCATCTCTGCCATTTTGTACCCTTCTTCCTTCCTAATCAATTATGGCATAAGCAAACACCACCAATCAATCAAATCCTAATCAATTAATTGGTTTGTTTTTTTTTTGTTGGCCAGAATATGTATGAATAATGGACACTGCAAGCATTAATCAACAGTTATTATTATTCATGTCATAAAGGGTACTATATCGATGATAATTACTTTACTTTTATTACAGGCACTGGCTAACCAGAAGAAGAAAGTAGAAGAAGAGAAGAATTTAGGAGCCTCACTACAAAGAGAGATCCAGAATATGTCTGAGTCATGTGAAGATGTAGAGAAGAAAAGACAAAAAATAGCACAAGAACTTCAGATTAAAGATAATAAATTATCTATAGTGGAAGGGCAGCTCAGTCATGCAAAAGCACAGCTAGATACAGAGTTGCAAAAGGTAAAACAAAAGCATATCACATAATTATAGGTAATCCCTATGCCAATTTTGTGAATGGGCTATCTAGCATTCCTAGACTCAGTCAGTGTTGCAAACATTCAGGTTCAGTCTCTTGTTAATTTTTTATTTAAATTAACTACTTTGTTAAACCTTCATGGAATTTTACAAAATTTTGATAGAAACTAGTCATGAACAAGAGAGAGCATCTAAAGTATTTTTTTTTTCATGTACATGATGTATGCATATATTTAATTCTGACAAGTCATTAATATTTTTTTTTTTTTTTTTGCAATTTACATAGTCAGGATTTATACAAGGATATAGGGTTCTGATTTGGAGTTTCAGACAGTTGCAGGTCTTTTCTTTTAGCTTTAGAGTCCTTCAAATATTAAAGTGTTGAACAAATTAAACAGTATAATTTATGATTTCTGCTATCCAGTGATGTTAAAATGCATTATTGCTTGAAGATGTACTCTGAAGTTTTAGAATAGTATTTTCACCATACAATCAATTTGATGTCCAGAGAAACACAGGTTTTTTTAAGTTGTGGGTACAGTTGCCTAAAGCCAAAACAAAACATTTGATATTGATTTCTTTTTTTGACAGACTGGTAAGCTACAGATAGAACTAGATAAAACCCAGAGAGAACACCAGGATTACATGAGAAAGATGGAGCAGACTGCTGCAGAACAGAGTAAACTACAACAGAGAGCACAGATGGCTCAACAAGAATTACAACATACCCAGGAAGCTATCACGTAAGTACTGGTGGAATGCCTAAAAGTCAATAATATCTTCATTGGTTGTTGTTGTATATATGATTGCCAATGAGACAACTCTCCACAAGAGACCAAATGACACAGAAATTAACAGCTATAGGTCACCGTACAGCCTTCAACTATGAGCAAAGCCCATACCGCATAGTCAGCTCTAAAAGGCCCCAAAATCACAAATGTAAAACAATTAAAACGAGAAAACTAACGGCTGTGTTTATTTTATTGGTTATGTTGTTCTTGTCTTTGTTTTTCCTTATACAGTAAATTTACGCCAAGGGGATATTTTTGGTTGACTTGTGTTGTTGTGTTGCTGTCTTTGAGCTTTTAATAAACGCATGTTAGAATCAGCATCTGAGTTGTTGCTTTTATTTAACGTTTAAAAATATTAAATAAAAAGAAGCTTTGAAAATAACTGATTGATCCATAATTTTAATTTCAATATTTTGTTGATAGTACAAAATTGAGATTAAAATTTTTGTTATTCTATCAATAAAATTGCGTATTTTAATTAAAATGATATATTTTTCAGTGCACTGAAAAAGTCAGAAACGGATCATCAAAAGAAGTTGGAGTTAAAAACAGAAGAGCTAGAAAAATTAAGGGATGAACAGAAAACTATAAAAGATTCAATTACAGAGAAAGACAGAATGATGCAAGGTACTATAAAGGGAAATATTATTTTGTTTAAAACTTAAACACCACTCAACCTGAAAATTATGAAAAAGGTGAAACATGGGTTGAAAGCCTACATGTATACTCAACCATAAAAGAAATGCACCACCATTTATTTCATTGAAGAGAACATTCTCTGTTGTACATAAGTTTTACATAAGGGATTGAAATGAGTATTGATTTTGACTTCATATTCCTGGAGTCATCAACATCTATTACAGTAGCTGAAAATGAACATTTCTGAATTTTCATTTTTGACTAAGAAAAAACATTAAACAAAACGTTTTGCCAAAAAATGGGAAACCAAAGTTGTGTGTATCTTTTCACCTGAAAGCAATGAAAATAACTGATGTTTATTTCTTAGTCTATTTTTTTTTTTGCAATTCCCAATTTTAAATTGACTTATCTCTGACAATTTTTTGTGGACTCTTTGTTATTGTAGACGAAATGTCCATTTTTACCATTTAAATAAAAAATTCCCAATGAAAATTGAAAACTAAAAACGAACCTTTAAGGACACTAAATGGTCTGTAACTATTTTTTCCAATTCAGAGATTGAACTGTAGCATATTTTTTAGTGTTCAATTTCATTCACAGTCGAATGACGAATTCATACTATAAAATTCAACAAAATAAATATTTTTGGTGCATTTTAATTATAGCTATTGTGATGAATACTAGCATAACAATTTCTCGTTCTGCTTAAATGCTGTGACATACTAAACCATTGAGATAATGTTACATTTTCTTCCTTTGTATTAAATTTTTTTCATAATTTGATTACAGAGGCTAAGAAAAACTGGCAGCAGACAGAACAGTGCTTGAAAGGAAACCTCCAGGAGAGGGAAAATGAGGCAAAGACTGCTACAGAGAAAATGTTATCAATGGAAAAGGAGTATAAACAAATGCAGAACGAGTATCAAGGATTAAAGAACCAGATCAGTGATAACAAAGCTACAATCGATAAAAAGGATAAAGAATTACAAAATGTTAATCATCAGTTAAACCAATGCCAGGAAGAGTTGAATACACTACAGTCTAAACTGACAAAAAGTTCTGAGGATTATCACTGTCTTACGACAAAACATGATCAACTACATTCTAGTCACCTGACCATGACCAGTCAGATTCAGGACTTCAAGAAACTGATGGAGAGTAAAGACCAGACCATCGAGGAGCTGCAGGGTAATATGGATAAACTAGAGAAAGAGAAGGAAGACAGAGAAAACGAACTGCAGACAGAGATCACAGACATCCATCATAAACTTCAACAGGCACACACAGCAACAGAAGAGAAAATCAAAGAAACAACTTCACTAGAAATGCAGATTCTTTCTGTTCAGATGCAGGCAGATAGTTGTACATACGAGAGCATGGAGAAAGTCAAACAGATGGAAACTGAACTGAATCAGCTGACAACAGACTTAGAAAAGAAGCAGGATGTACTAGTTTGTAAAGAAAAAGAATTGTCTGAGTTTGGTGAAAAGTTTAACGACATGAAAAAAGACCATGATGAAAAATGTCAACAAAATGGAATTCTGCAAGAGAGTGTTGACTCCCTGACTGGAAAAGTTAGTGATTTAACTGCTCAAATTGATCAGATAAAGAATGCATTGACACAGAAGGACAGTGAATTAACAGATTTAAAGCAACAGGTGGCCTCAGTTGAGGACAAGGCTTCACAAGATTTGCAGATCATGTCTACTGAGCTAGAAACAGTCAGATCACAGGCCAAGGAGGTTTCTGATGAGAAGGAAAAGATTGCTGATATACTCACACAGAAGCAAACCCAGATTGACGAATTAGACAAAGTACTTTCTGAGTTAAGAAGCGAAAAAGATGAACTTCATCGAAAATCAGTTCAATTGACTGAATCATACTTGGACCTTACGGAGCAAATACATACCAAGGCTACACAGTTAGAACAAGCAAATGATGCTCTGTCTCAATCAAACTCACAACTGGAGATAAAGAAGGAAGAAGTTCTGCAATTACAGACGGAAGTGGACAGTCAAATTTCTAAGAAAGACGAGATTATTAAAGAAATGGAGAATCATGTTAAAGAACTAAATGAAAAATTAGAATTGTCAGAAAATACTGTTGCTATTAAAGAAGATGAAATCAAATCCTTGAAGGAAGAAGCGATTGAATTGCAGTCTCAGACTACCAGCTTTGGGAAACAGCTCCAGAGCCTTAGTGAGGAAGTTGTTAGTTTGAAATCTCATGTGGAAAATTTGAAAGAAAAGCTTTCCAATGCATCTGAAACTGTAGATGCAAAAAATTGTGAAATGGAATTGGTGATGAATGAACTGTCTCAAATTAAAGAAGAAAGTGGGAACCTTGTTAAAGGACTGGAAGAGCGAAATGGTGAAATTTCTGAACAGTTAAATAGATTGTTAGAGGATAAGGACAAGCTTTCAGAAATTGTAAGCTCAAAAGAGAAACAGATTGAAGACTTGGTGAAAAGAGACATTGAAGGAAAAACAAACATTGAAAAGATGATGAAAGATTGTTCAGCATTACAAGAAAAGAATGAGGCACTAAATACATCAGTGTCTGATCTGACTGCAAAACTTCAACAGGCAGATGAAACGGTAACAAGGATGTCAAGTGAACTTCAGGAAAGTTGTAAACAGTTGGAAGAGATCAAAGGACAAGCAGCTGAGGGACATTTATCATTGAACAAGAAAGTCTCAGAACTAAAACAGGAATTACAGGATGAAAATGTTAACAAAAATAAACTTGATGACGTTCTAAGAATAAAAATGGAGCATATTTCGTCATTGGAAAGTGAGTTGCAGGAGGCTAAAAATGAAAATAAAAGTAGCTCAATTCAATGTAGTGAACTGACAGAAAAAGTGTCAGCTTTACACGATGAATGTGACAAAGTGCAAGAGCAGCTTCAACAAGCCAGTGATGCTTTAGATTCAAAAACTAGTGAACTTCTGAAGCTTACATCTGAAATGGAGGATCTAGGTAGGGAATCTGGAGAATTGAACATGAAGCACGATAATGATAAAACAAATCTTTGTCAACAAATCTCATGTTTGACAGAGGAGAAAGACAAACTACAGCATCTACTGGAATGTAAGGAGGAATCCTACATGGCTTTGGACAAGACTTTGTCAGAACTTAGAACAGAACATGAACAGTTAAATGAGAAAGCTGGAAATCTTCTGAGCGAACTGACTGATTTACAGCAAGTTCACAGCAATAGCCTGTCTCGCATGCAACAGGCAGAGGAAACTGTTACCCAGAAAAATCAGGAATTGTCCAATATGAAAAACCATCTTGACAAGTTACAAGAGGAAACTGCATTGACATTGGGAAACATTTCATCTGAAAATTCAAAACTAACGGAAGATGTTGAGAAGATGAAGGTTGAAAAAGAGAAACAGGGAGATTTAATCAGAGCATTACAGGAGGAGAAATCATCATTAATTAAAGAAAAGGAAACTTTGAATGAGAAGTGTCAGCAAATGCAAACAAAACTTGACATGTTACAAATGGATTTGGAGGACCAAGAGGAAGGCATAAATGGAGTTCAAGAAAAGGCTGAAAAATTAGAAGAGATTGTCAACAACCTTAAAGATACATTACAAAGTAAAGACACAGATTTGAAAGCTGCTAAAGAAGAATTGAATAATGCAATGTCAAAGATAGATAATCTTACCCAAGAACATGAAGATCTTACAGAGAAACATCAAACCATTTCAGAACAATTTGATCAGCAGACAACAGCTATGTTAGAACAGACGTCATGTCTCCAGCAAGAGAAAGATAAACTGAAATGTCTCCAGGAAGAATGTCAGACAATAAAAAATCAAATGGAAACCCAGAATGTTTCATATGGAGAGAAAGAGCAGGAACTATCAGAATTGACAACAAAATGTCAAGGTCTTGATGGAACCGTGAATAATTTGAAACACGACCTTGAAACAAAAAGTCAAGTTTTACAAGACATGGAATTGAAATGCATGCAGCTGCAGGAAAAACTAGAATCTCATCAGGACAAATTGAATGAAGGAGAAGAGAGAACCAGTCAGATGTCAAAACACATGGCTGAATTAGAAAGTCAGCTTACAAGTACTAGGGCACAATTGTCAATTAGGGTAGAAGAAACTGAGTCACTCAATAATAAATTTTCTAGTCTGATGGAAGAACTTGATGATAAAAACAAGGCAATGAATGAATTAGAGTCCACCCTGGCCAAACATCGTGAGGCTATACAACATTTAGAGAACAATGTGATGAATGTAACATCGGAGAAGGAGTCACTGTCTGTCAGTACGTGTAAGGATATTGAAAACATGAGAATCAAACTTGAATTCAAACAGGATACCCTGGAACGTAAAGTTAGTGAACTACAGAAATTACAGATAAACATAGTTGATATGGAGAAAACAGTACAGAAATATAAAACAGATTTGGAACAGAGAAATACAGATTATAAAAATCTTTCTGATAAGTGTGCTCAGCTTCGAGAGTCCTTGGACAATTTAACGCAAGAAATGTTAGAAAAGAATGAACTAAGTCAAAGAATGCAAGATTCTTCAGACATGATGGAAAGTAAGTTGAAAGAAGTCTTACAGAAATGTAACGACAAAGAAAATGAATATTCTACTGAATCTAGTGCACTCAAAGGAAAGTTGGAAAAGATGGAATTGGAGATGGATGAAAAGCAAACACACATTAAAGAACTTAATGACAGAATTCGAAATATGCAACAAAGCTTTGATGTTAGTAAAGCAACATGTGAAAAACTGACACCAGAAAATGAGTCTCTGAAGCACGAACTCAATCAGTCTAAATCAGAAAATATTCATTTGAAAGAAAGACTGGAGGAATTTAGTGAAACTCTGAACATTCATAAAACGAAAGGCGTCGACATGGAAAATGAATTAAAACAAAAAATTGACCAGTTATTGAAGGAGAAAACTGATCTGAAAGATGAAATGAGTAAACTTAGTACAGAACTAGACAGTGCTAGTAATTTGTGCTCAGAAAGACAAGATGAAATAGACACATGTAAGAACACTGTAGCAAATCTAGAATACCAACTAGAACAATTTGTATGTAAAGCGGAAGTTCAAAACAAGGAAATACTTGAAAATTCTGGTGAACTAAAATCACTGCAAAATCAGTTCACAGCATTGAATGAGGAGAAGGACAATTTGATGAATTTAAAAGATCAACTTGAAAATGACCTCAGTGTCTGTAGGAATAAACTTGGTCAGCAGGATGAATTGTTGGGAGAGAAAACTTCTGAAATTGAAAAATTGAAGAATTTAGTTGGAATGATTGAAAAATCTAAAGAAGACTTAGAGACTGACATTGCCAGACAAAATGAACAGTCAGGCATGCAGGAAAAATCTTACAATGAAATGATTCATGAACTTAATTTAAAGGTCGATTCACTCCAAGGTCAGCTACAAAATTCTAAAAGTGAGATGTTAGAAACAGAAGGTCACATTAAGGAGTTGAATAGGGAGAAAGATGACCTGGAGATAGCAATGTCATACAAACTGGAGACCATCCAAAACAGACTGAAGAAGACAGAAAATGAAAAGTGGGAACTGCAACAAGAATTGAACATATCCAAAACAAAGGAGGCAGAACTTGGTCTAGGAATAACTAGTAGTCAATCAGAATCAGACTCACTACAACATCAGTTAGCAGAGATGGAAGAAAGTCTTACAAAGGCCAGGTCAGATGCGGAAAACCAAGATCACAAGTTCCAGGAAGAGACTAAACAGTTAAATGATCAGCTCAATACAGTCAGGTGGGAGCTGAAGCACAAAGAGGAACACTTGTTTGAAGTTGAAACAAAACTGGAAGAGATGACAACAGAAATTGCCAGTAAAGAAAAACTGTTTAATGATACCAAAAATAAATCAGAATACAAAAGATCTTGTATGGCAGATAAAATTACCAAGTTGGAAAATAATCTGAAGGAAAAGCAGGACGAACTTGAAAAATTACAGAAAGAGATTCATAACTTCTCCATTCAAAAAGAAATTAATGACTCCGAACAGAAACAGATGCTGGACATGCACCAGAAGGAAAAGAACGGCATGATGACTGAATTTGAAAATCAGATGAGTATAACAAAGAACAAATTTGAAGAGGAGAAGGATGAACTTAGATTAATGTTGTCTCAGGTGGAAGATGTATGTTCACATTCAGAAAAGGAGTTAGAGTCTGTCAGATTGGAGTTAAATGACTTGAAAAATATATCTAATGTCAAGAGTGTTGAGGAGTCACAAATGGTGGCTGGTCTGAGAAATGAAGTTGGTGAACATCAGAATATGAAACTAGACTTTGAACAGCAGATAGAGAAATGTAATCAAGAAATAGCAAGTTATCAAGAAAAGGTGAATGGTATGGACCAACTGATTTGTAATCTTCGGTCACAAATAGAAGAATTACTAGTATCTGTTACAAAAACTGAGGAGGAATGTAGTACAAAGGTTATTGAGGTGGAACAAATGTCACAGAATCTTAATACTATGGAGGAAAAGCTTGAGGAAGAGACAAGTAAAAACCAGAGGGAATTACAGAAGGTACAAAGAGACCTTGAAGAAGTTAGATTATCTGTTGAAGAGAAAGACAAAATAATTAAAGATTCTCAAAGTGAAATTAATTGTCTTGTCGCTGAAAAAGATCAGTTCATTGAAAATATTTCTAGACTAGAGAGAACAAATGAGACATTGGAAGAAAAACTTTCAAGTCTGCAACAGAACCTGTCATCTGTAGCCTCAGAGAAGGCAAGTACAGAAATGACTGCCAGTGAAACTACATTTGCCTTAGAAACAATGCAGAATGAAGTTCTGTTGCTTCAGGAGAAACTTGTGACATGTGAAACAAAGATGTCATCTATGGATGATGAGATGAATAAATTAACAGTGGAACGGGATGATCTTAAACAGCAGCTGCTTTATATTACAAAGGAGAAGGAGTCTACAAAAACATCATATGATGAACTTGAATCTCAATCTGAGCAGGAAATTACTGACTTGAAAGAAGAGTTATCTACCTTGAAAAGTAAATTGATGGAGGAAGATACTAAATTTAGGGAAAAAGAGAATGAAAATATTTCTCTTCAGACTAAAATAACTGATTTGGAGAACAATGTTACTGAACTTCAATCTGAAACAGAAAATTTAAAACAGAAAATAGATTTTCTTTCTTCAGAGTCAGGTGAAAGAAAGCAAGAATGCTTTGGAATTGAACAAAATCTTAAAAATTTACAGAATGATCTGGGTCAGTATGAAAGAAAATGTTCAGATCTGGAGTCTGAAAAGATATCTTTAGAAGAAAACATTACAGCAATACAACAGGAGTTGGCAGTATCCAATGAAAATCTACAGTTAATGAAAGATGAATTGTCATTGGTGAAAAATGAACTTATTTCAACCAATAGTTCGTTGGAACACAAAAATGAAGCAATAGAAGAACTCACCAAAGATATAAATAGTTTGCATGAAACAATATCTATGAAGGAGATCGAAATTCAGGATCTGAAATCAAATAGATCTTCTCAGAATGTACTTGAGCAGAACCAAATGAAAGAAGTTAATGAAGTTCAGAGAGAAGTAGAGCAATTAAGGCTTCAATTGGAGGAGAGAAATCAGGAATATGACCAAGATAGTGTAACCAAGTCCAGCAGATTATCTGAATTAGAGTCTGAACTCGATACAGAGAAGGAAAGGGTATGTTTCCTTACCGATCAAGTTGAAAGTTTAAAAAACGATAAGGAAATGAGTGAAAGGAGCAAAGCTTTACTGGAAGAAGAAATGTTGAGTCTTCAACAGGAGAAGGAAGATCTAGAAAATAAACTCATAGATAACATCTCAGAAGTGAATGTGCAGAAAGATCAATTTCAACAGTTACGCAATCACATTGAGCTTCTGGAAAGTGAGAAGAATGATTTAGCCACACAGATTACAGAGTCTCAATCGCAGCTTATGTCAACACAAACATTCTCACAAGATGTTCAAAGTCAAATGGATGACCTTTCTAATATGAACGAGGAAGTAAAAAGTCAACTCACAATAGCCAAAGAGGAAAGGGACCGGTTGCAGGAACTTTTTCAGCAATCGGTTGAGGAATCAGAAAGAAGGAAGAAAGAGCTGGAAGGAACAGTAAAACAACTTCAACAAGAAATTGACAATTTTAGTACTGATAAATCTGATCTAACTGACAAACACAGAGATCTGGAACAGAAATGTAGTCAAATGTTGGTTGAAATTAAAGATCTGGAAAATAAAAACCTTGACCTCACCGATCAGCTAAGGACAGTTGAAAATGTTAAGTCTGATTTGGATGTTAGACTGAATGAAGTTCAAAGTTCTCTTAAGGAGAAAGACATAGAATTAAAGGACAGTGAAAGAATGATGAAGGATTTTGAAAATGAGGCACAAAATTGGAAAAATCTCCATGATGAGCTAGTGAGCAAAGATGAAGAAAAGAATGTTGCTGGAGGTAGATTAGAGGCAGAACTTTGTGAACTCAAATCTGACAATAAAACTCTGAATGTAGAAAAATCTGAGTTGTTGGAAAAAGTGAAATATTTGACGACAGATTCGGATAATTTAAGAATGGAAATTGAAGCTTTGAACATGGAATTGTCAAATGTACGAACTGACAAAGACAATCTACAAAGTGAATTTCAGCATTTAAGTATAGAATTTGAAGAGAGTAAAAATCAACAAAGTAAATTATTTGAAGAAGCAAATATGTTGGACAGTAAACTGAAAGAGGCTATGAATGAACGTGAAAGACTTTTGTCAGATGTAGAATCGATTGCGCAAGAGAAAGATGTTTTGATTGAAACAGTTGAAACAACAACAAAAGCTGGACTCACAGATTTCAAAAACACACTGGAAAAACTTCATGACACTATAAAGAAATACGAGGAGTCCCTTCAAGCTAAGAGAGCACTTGTTGTAGAAAAGGAAAACCAACTATTAGAAAAGAGAAAAAATATTGAGATGTTAACTAACCAAACAGAACAGAAAGATGGTGAAATAGAAAGACTGACAGAACAAATAGACGGATTAATAAAGGAGAAAAAGGCTGCAGATTCTGATATTGAGACATTTAAAGACGTAATTGAAGGACTTGAAATGGACAATGAAGCTCTTACGGCAGAGAAGTCTTCTTTGGAATCAGAATTGAAGATTACCAGTACCGAACGAGATGACCTAATGTCAAAGGTTAAGAGGTTAAATAAGGAGGTGAGAGAAATTGAGTCTCATAAAGACTCTCAATATCAAGTCGAGAAATCTGAATGGGACACGTGCAAAGTTGAACTAGAAAATAGAATAGAAAGTTTAAACGCTGAACTAATGGAAATGCAAGACAAACAACTGACTCTTTCACAGGAGGAGGATGAATCAAAAGTTGAGATCAGTAGATTGCAGCAGAATCTTACAGAGTCCCAAGACCAGTGTCAAAAGTTTGAAAATCAAGTTATCTCCCTTAATGGTAGAATTGATTTACTGAACGCTGAATTTTTGGAGACGAAAGATAAATATGAAGTATTACAAAAATCTGAAAGTGAACTGAAAACAGAGAAAAATCAAATACTTTCTGAGTTAAAGGAAAATTCTGAAAACAGCTCACAATCAATTGCAAAATATGAACAGATGGTTGAGGAAGTTAAATCTTTACAGAAAGAAGTGCTATCATTGACTAGTGAGAATATCAAATTGGAACAACAAAATGCTACCAAGGAAAGGGAGAAGGGTGAACTTCTATCACAGTTCTTGAGTCTTGAGGATCAAAAAGCAAGCCTTAAGCAGACTAATGATGCCTTACTGCTGGAGGTAAGTGTATAGAGTTCAAGATTACTTATGAAATGAACAATAAACCATGGAGGTCTTGATAATATAACAAATCAATTGATTATATTGGAAGACAAGTTAAAAATAAATGACTGAAGCCATGACATTTATATAAGCTAACACATATAACTACCATTAAGCATCCGCATGAATGAACCAGAAAAGGAAATGTGGGATAGTTGCCAAGGAGACAGAAACCCAATAAAAAAACATCTAGAGGTCAACATATAGTCTTCAACAATTGATAGATGTCAATACAATTAAGCTGTAAATCACAAAGAGTGTTAAATACTATCTTAGGAAGTGGTTTAACTTTAGATTAAAGACTTGCACAATACACATATTTGTCATGCTCATGATTATTTTTCTTCAAAATATATCAAATTTTACAAATATGTAATGAAACCCTACTCATTTTCATTAATTTTAATTGAATATTGAATAATATAGGATATCATTAGCAGTAAAATTGTGAGATTGATTCCAGTCCAGTAATGTCATCTGTCTGATTCTATCCATTTCTTTGACTTGACGTTACGTAATGGACTTACTGGCCAACATCATGGGTATTTATATGATTTATTAATGATGGAAATTAGGGGACGGGTAAGTCATTGGCTGATGGTGCAGTTGTTTATTCAACAAAGTACAATTAACTTAAAGTAAGAAAAAAATATATCCTAATGTACTTAACCGTTCTGTTTATTCATTATGGTTTCTGTAGGTGAAAGATGCAGAAAATGAACTGAAAAACAAATTTAGTGAATTGGATACCTGTAAAACACAACTTATAACACTGGAATCACAATTATCTAGTAAAGATGATATGCTGTGTTCACTCAGACTGGACCTGACAGAAGCACAAGCTTACCAAGAGAGATATACACAGTCTAAGCAGCTATTAGATTCTACAAAGGTAAATAAACTGAAAAAAGTATGTTATATTCTCAAGATGTAAAGGGCTAATTTTAAACAATCAAAGACTACTATTCATTTATTTTTGTGGATACCAATTTTCTTAGGTTGAGGAAAAGTATTTTCGTGGATATTTGATTTCATGGTTTTGCCAAAGTCTGCATACCAGGCTATAGTTCTTTGTTTACCAAAGACATAAATTTGTGGTTTACCTATGAACATGAAATCAATGAAAACTATTATCACTTGAATTTTAATGATTCCGCAGTATAATGCCTGAACAGAAAAAAGTAAAAATGTCAATTTTAAACAAATTTTTAATCTACCGTGGTCTATAAATCCTTAAATGCAAAAAGAGAAATAGTCAATTCCAAAATTGACCTCCATTTTCTAATCAGAAACAACATCTTAACATTTAAAACAATGTATTGAATGGTTTTCAAGAATAGAAAATTTTCTTTGACATAAATTTGATTTACCAGTCAGGGATATAACTCTATAGGGTTATTACAGAAAAATAACATACATTTGTTATTGTGGACTAAAAAATTAAAGAACTGTGATAACATATGTATGTTACATGTTTCAAAGGGACAATATACATCATTAGTTTAGTTAAAATGCATACAAGTTCTATTGATATTACTGTTGTCTTTATGTATACTTAACTATTGAAAGATATAACAGTTCATAGTTTGCCAATTTTGTATAGTACACCTATGTTATTACAGAAAAAGTATGCCTGTAATAACTAAAGGGTGTTATCACAGCTTCTCTATATCACTCCAAAGCATTTGCTGAGGCATACATCATGCTTAATTACAATGTATTTTAATTCATTGTAAGAAATAATGACCAGAGCATGTAATGAGGTTCTGCGCAAGCTTCCCAGTAATTCCCAAGTGTCTCATATAATAAGTTACATTCCTTTAATAACTAAGCCTTGTTATTACAGCTAAATTTATCCCTTAAAAGCCTTGTCTCATTGATTTACAATGGTTAATCAAAAATGTATTAATTTAATTGAAAAATTAGTTATCAAGGCTATGCATTTAGTTTCTGCGCAAAGTCTCAAGAGTTCCCTAGAGCCCACTATAAATTAAAATATTTTTGATCTATTTTACAAATAACAAACATATGTTATTACAGATTTATAAAATTTAAGGAATAAAGAGTAGACAACTCATGAAAGTATCAGTAATAACACACGCAAGTTATTTTCTGTAATAACCCTATAGAGTTATATCTCTGACTGTTTACCAAAAATATTTCTTAATATTTCGCGTTCGTCATCAGGAATTCAGCTAGAAGGTTGGACAGCTCCAAGTTAGACTTCCTGTTTACTACCCAAAAATTTATCTTAAAATATATTTTTCAGTTTTAAATTCAAAAATAGAATTGACAGTTTTATTTACTTGAATGATGTGTTCTTTGAAAAAAATGCACTTATTTTTTACACAGGCTGAAATGCACAAAAAGACGGAGATTATGGAGAAGGAGATAAACGAAAAGAGCAAAGAATTGCAAGTCTGTATTAAAAACCATGAAACAGAAATCCAGAATTTGTCTCAAAACTATGAAGCACAAATCAAAACAATTAATATGGAACATAAAACAGAGATAAAGAAACTTGAGGAGACAAATTCTCAGGAAATGTCTAAACTCAGTTTGGAACATTCAGAGGAAATATCTGAATTAAAAAATTCTTTGAGTAAGATAGAGGAAACACAGGTTGTAAGTAATGAGGTGGTGGAATTGAAGACTTCATTGGAAAAAACAGAAGAAGAAATAAAAGAATATAGAGAAAAAATCAAGGCACAGGACGAAGAAATACAGAAATCTTCTGAGGTATTTTTTTCTTTTTAAAATTCATCTATCCACAGGTCAGAAACCATTTGTCATTTGTCTTAACTATATCTTTTATGTTTCTTTTGTAGAGAATTTGCTTAATTTTTTTCAGTACATTCAATTTTTTACAGTTGTTAGAATTTATCTATAAAATTTAACAGAGCTTGTTGGCTCCTTTTTTTGCTCCTCAGTAAATCTGATTGATAAATATCAGTTTTATATCAGTAGCTGAGAATAGGGTATATGAAACCTTCTGACAAAAGTTTTTAAATCTAACAAAAAAATGTAGAAAAATACCTTATTTTTTTTACCTGAAATTTCCATATCTGAAAAATCGGTGAAAACATGATAAACATATAAAATGATAGATCAAGTGAAAAGAAAATGTCAGATTCATGCAAAGATGCATTGTGGTTACTGGCTTATATAAATTACAAATATACAATGATATTTTATCAAGGTTTTGATCAAATGGGAAAGCAGATGTTCAAGGCTTCAAACAGAACTAACAGCAGAGAAGTCGAAATATATGAAGCTACGTCAACAGCTAGAAAGAAAATCTCAATCCAGTGACGAGACAGTAAGTTTACTTTGTTTTATATACAATGACAGGGATGTTTGGATATCTATACAATCTCTGGATTTAAAGGACTTTGAAAACCTTAAGACAAATGGAACAAAACCAGTTGCATTTGATAAAATTTGTGCACCTTATTTCTTCTTTATTAGTGATTACTTACTCTATTGACAAAGTTAGAAATAGACATAATCCATTTCAATGCAAGTTGTTTGGCTATCATCTTCTAGTATGGAATATTTTAATCACCCACCTACAACTGTAATATTCTGTTCTGCTCTGTGTGTGTGTGTCCATTATACAGTTTATCACTTCGTCCAGGATGCAGGTGCACTTGACTCCAATCTTAACTGACTATGATTGTTAGTTTTCCGACTTCCTCCGCAAATAAAACTGACCTCCACAAAATAGCACAATAGCGCTGGAAGTGGTGTTAAATCCCAATCAATCAATCGATGAAACAATCTGTCCAGGGGTCCTTCCCCTGTCAGGTTTAAGTTTAGGTTTAAGGTAGCTGTGTCTCCTTTTAACAAGGCAGACATTATGTTCTGGGCCAAAACTTTTATCTTTTGACACTGGCTCATGATGTTTGGATAAAGGCGTATTACAATAAGACGTTTTATTAAATGACTATAAATTTCTGTTCTCTTACTGGCTAAAAGCCTAGGAAATCGTCTTTGATAAAACATTATATTCATCATGGCAAAAATCACGAGGTTGATATAAGATTTGTAACAGCGTCAGTGTACCTAAATATAGATATTCCAAGGCAAAGTCAATGACATAGGTTTATGATGTCATGTAAGTTTGTGTTTGTGTTTTTTTTTTTTCTTTTTCTTCTTGTTTTCAATGTATTTTTTTAGTAAGCTTTATTGAATATTTCAACTTATGAAAATTAGCAACTGCAAAAGCAGATGATATATTTAGTAGCAGTTTTAAAACTATCTTGAAAAAATACTAGAAAATTGAAGAAGGATAAAAAGTCATATAATAAAACAATTGTTGAATTTTGATTTCAATTGATACAATAATTTATCAACCCTAGAGATATGACACGGGGTTGATAAATCATTGTATCAACCTCATCAATAGTCCATTATTGTAAAGTGTTGCATATAATTATGACAGTCATGTCACTTTGACCTTTGACCTCATGGTCAAAATACTTTATTCATTGATTTTGACCTTTCGTTTCCCTGGAAAAATCACTTTTTATCCTTTGAAGTAGGCTATTGATATTTGGAGCACTGAATGAGAATGTTGACCTAGATGTCAATGTTGATTTGCATTTGTGTTTATTCTTTATATTAATTGTTAATATTTCAGAGTATAAAAGAATTGGAAGCCAAAGTGACAGAACTAACAGAGGAGAAAAACAAGGTTATTGAAGAGTGTAAAGAGGCCTTTATTAAAAGGAATTCACTGCAGGCTGAAAACAAACGTCTGTCTGCCACGGTCAAAGCTTTGTCTCATAAATTAAAAGGTACTTGTATTCAAATAGTTAATGCCTAATTACTGGCAAATTTAAACATCAATGACAAATAAAATGAACCTAAACATGCATTTCACAAAAATTTGATATCTGGAAAAATGAATTCATCAGGCTACCATACTTGAAATGAAATTCAGATGAACAATAATTTTCTATACACAAATGATCATAGTTTTGTTGCAGTCAACTTTACAGTTTTACAATGACAGAAGCATTCACAGGCGAGAGACAGAGATCTACTGAACCCGTCACAACTTTATACCGTTGAAAGGGTTGAGTAGACATCACTCCTCACGATATACCTGATTTACAGTGTCTTAATTTTTTGTCTGGCTGTCCTTCTGTTCGTCCATCCCTTTATCCAACCATTATTTCCGTCACACTTTTCTCAGGTACTATTGAACATAATGACTTTTTATTTAGCCAGCAACTTAACAGTGATGAGTTGCAATATTGGAACACTTTTCAGATCTATAGGACACAAACTTTCTGTCTGTAGAAACTTTGAATTTTATAACATGTACCTCTGAACAGAATTACTTAGAATTCATTTAGTAGCTTGACAAATGAGTTGTAATATATGAGCACTTTTTAGAGCTGTATGACGCACTCTTTCTGTTTGCAGATACTTTAAATTTCCCACTATGTTGAATCAACTAAATATTTTTCTTCACATTTTCTCAAGAACTACTGAATAGAATGACTTTAAATTTGGTAAGCAGCTCAACAGTAATGAGTTGCAATGTGTGTTAGTCTTTTTGACCTGTCAGACACCTATATCCTGTTTTACGATATTTTAAATTATGAGTGGGGTATGCAAAGCACAACAACACATGCTTTCCTGTTCAAATTGTGTGCAAACAGTCAATTTTTGTTCAAGTCAATGTCGTCATTTGATAGGTATATGAATTGTTACTTCTTCCAGTTCCTTGAAGTAACAAAGTTCTATAATTTACGTGTAAATCATACTACAAACACATAAAACTGTATGGTGGCCTATAGTTACTAACATCTGTCAATTGTCGGTTTGGTAGTTATCTCATTGTCACATCTTCTTATTTTTATACTGACTGTCTATAGTGCTCAATTGTATCAAACAGAATTATGTTTTATTTACAGGAGACCATACCAAGCCAGTATCTTCTTCAGAAGAAACAAAAAAACCTACACAATCTACTGTTTTAACTACAAAGACTGATATCTCAGAGACAAACTCTCTAGTTAGTGGAAAATCTAAAATTATAGATTCAAGACATTTATCATCATCAAATTCTAAAAACAATCATCCAACTATATTTAGTTCAACAGACTGTGCTATAATTAGACCTACTCCTAAACATCCTGCGGTTAGTCAGGAAGTGACTATGTCTTCAGAGCAATCCGAGTCTGGTCGTAGAATGAGTATTTCCAAATCAACTAGTTCTTTACCTGCAGGTGAATCTAGTCAGAGAATGACTAGATCACATAGTGTTGCTGCAGTTCAACAAAAAACAGTTTCTCCTTTGACAAAAATATCTGAAAAACGAAAATTGCCACAAGATATAGAGAACAGCCAGAAGAAGCTTAAATCAGGTTTGTATTTCTTCATTCAAATAATTCCAGACAAGATACATTTACTAAAACTCTGTTGTATATTTAGCATATAAATAATGTGTAAACTAGTTTTATATATCAGTATTAATACTGCTTTCTAAATGTGTCTTGCAGAACTACAGTTTTGGGAAAGTTTGAATATAATTTTTGTAATGACCACCTGTTTGTCTTTGTTAAAAGTTGTGTACACCTACATATTCCTTAATAAAAGTTAGATTTTCTTAGTTATCTCCCCTTATAATGCTATGCTGGAATTTTTTGTTTGAATCAACAAAATATTCTGTATTCGTGAAAACAAACCTCAAAATGATATCATAAAACACATGCTTTTCCTCATTTTGTTGAGAAATCTTACAAATTAACTTTCTCAAAATTTGGACGTTTTAGGGCTCTGGACCACTTGTTTTCTGTTATTTTACAATTCTAGATGGTAGAAGACACCCAATTTACCTTAATGAAGCTTCCTCATAATCTTCACCTTATAATGCCATTGTGTACCTTCTTAATATTTTTTTTTATCTGAATTAGTTTTGGGGTTTCCTCAATAGCAAATCATGGTCTTTGTAGGGGGCATGTGTATCATTTTGTCAGCTTTACTTTCAGTACCGCTAGTTCAGTTTGATAATGTGTATCAGAAAATTGTTTAGATTGTTTGTAATTTGTGGACATTAACTGTACATAATTCTTTTTTTCAATAGATTTCCATGTAGAGAAGAAGCCACTCAGTACGATAACTAATAGTCCTTTAAAGAAGATACGGGAAGAATCACCTCGTGCTTTACCAAAACGTACACTCAGTTTAAAGCGATCCCCTGAGGTACGAAAAAATCTAAGACGTCCGAATAGTCCAGAAGAAACAAATAATACTGACAATCAAGACTGTAAAGTGTCATAGCAAACTTATTTCAAGATTTGTATTGGGTCAATAGCTTTCAAGGACTTTACGTGGTATAGTGTGTTCAGTAGCATTCAAGGACCTCATGTAGTATTGGAATTGAAATTATAAATGATTGATTTTTTTCTACTTGTAACATAGTTTATCATTATATTGTTACTATTGTATATCTCTGTGCTTGTTTAGGGCTATTCCATTAAAATGTATGTGGGAGGGTAGGAAGGGAAGTTTAATTATTGAATGTGGGTCATGGGTCTTTTTTCCGTATGCGTCTATTACCATTATGCAAAATTATCTAAAAAATGGTTCTTGGTTGTAGGGATATTTTGAAAGTCCCTTCCTACCCTCCCACATACATTTTAATGGAATAGCCCTTACAACCTATATTCTGTGCTGAATTATTATTTTGACAGGATTATGTATGGAATTATCACAATTATATGAAATAGAAAAAAAAACATGATAAAAGTTTGACATTAAATGAAATAAAAGAAAACATTTTATATTGAATGCTTTAACAAGAAAACAAAGAATAAGTTAGATCATTTTACACATTTTTATGCTACATAGCAAGAATGTAAAGGAGTAGGTCCAGTAAGACCCCTTTCTTCACAATTTTAGCATTTGAGTTAAATTTTAGACGGTTTCCGTCTTAAATGGAAGTGGCCGCATTTGTGTTCATTCTTAATATTTAAATGTAAGTTGTATTTGATGATAATACATAATATATATAAAGGATGAGAGTGAACAGGGATGTTGCCACTTTCATTTTTGACAAAAACCATCTGAAAAGTGACATATTATTGCATATTTGATAGATTTTTCATATTTAAGCTTGAATCTGACTGCTTTAATGATAAAATCAGTTCAAATCTGTCACATAAACTAATTGAATCGACTGAAGTAGACACTTAAGTGTTTAAAAACTGATCAAAATCTTTCATCAGATGAACCTGAAATTTGAGGCCAAAATCGGCCCTTACCGGACCTACTCCTTTACTATGTATTCTATGAAATTATCTGGGTTATCTCCCCTTTTACAAATTTTTGAAAAAATATGTTTTTTTTGTTTTATTTTGGCAAACAGTTATTAAATTTACTGCAATCAAAGATGGCAGCTGTTGTTATTTAAAAGATTGCAAAAAGTGCTTTGATAATTTTTAATTGACCTATTTGAGTATTTTATTTTATCTGTGAAAAGCCTTACCTCATATTATATTTTTCCTACATATTTCCTAAAAAAACTTACTTATTTTGTTTAACAGATTATTTTGCAGATATGTATAAATCATTTCATTATATTTTGACCTAGATATGTAGTCCTCTAATAATGTGTTATACATTCACTTTTACATGCAAATGCAATGCTTAAAGGGAAAATAGTTTATTTCCAAGTATCCATATCTGATAACCTATAAAAAAAAGTTGATGTATTTTGATTGTTAAAGATTCTGTTATTATTAGGTTAAGTTTCAGTGGAAGGAAATAACTACGCTTCTGATAGGTTTTTATGTTTAGCAGAAAGAACAGTATACCAACTTATTTCACTGTTACCCTTTTTTGGTGAGTAGTCCTTTTTAGACTACGTCACGATTTATTTTCGTGATTTTTGTAAATTTGTTACTGTATTCATAAATGAAAAGTGTGATTTTTTTACGACAATTTCTTTTTGCGTTATTTGTCTTGTCACGAAAATAAATGGCTTAAATAAAATTACTTGATTTACAGTATATGCCAGAAAACCTTTAGCAAGACATTGTCTAAATCTTTTGACTGTTTAAGCGATTTTTGTTTTATGTTACTTTTCTTTAGAAAAAGAAAAGAGTAAGTCAGTTTGTTATCCTTTAAGTTGAATATTGAATTGTTGACTTGTATGATTTTCCGGAAAAAAAACACTTTCCTAAAATGATGTCTGCTATATGCTTATGAAATAATGAAAATATGTATTCAAACTCTATAACAAACCCTTGTAATGAATATATATTAAAGTCTCAAGGATGGTACCTATAAGAAATATACCAAAGAATATCTAATAGATAGGCTATTTCTATGTCAGTGTCAGTCATTTTTGAGAATGCTGTTAGTATACAACACATATGTAGATATTTCAGTTGAAACAGCAAAAGAAATTATATAAAATTACTTGGATAAATTTAAGGTGATATTACTTTCTGATGTAAAGGTTATAGGGGTTATTGAACTTTTTCAATTTTATTTGAAGGAATATGCAGAATTCTTAATAAGAAAGTTAGTGTATTTGATAATATATTTATTGAAAAGAAGTTTTTTATTCCCAGCCTAAGATGATAAAAGAGCATTACCTTTTCTGGTTTGTGCATCTGTTTGGAATTTAGTTTGGGTTAAAAATAGGTTCAAGTTTTGGTTTACGGTAGTTTGTGGGTTTGTGGTCACATCAACTTGAAATTTAGTACGCATGTTCGTTTTGCAATTACCTGCACACAAAAACATGTAATTGTGTAAGCAGGGTATTATGTCTTATGGACAAATATTCTTTCAACTAATATACAGTTGGATCGAATACAACTGCCTTTGTTTGTTATTGATTTTAGTAGTGTGTTGAATCAATTTTAGTTTATCACATATGTGTATGAGGCTAATCTATGTGGTGATTTTTATACAAGTTTCATAAATATTGTGAAGTCTCTTTTTATCATGTGAAGAAAATTATTCAAGTAATTTGTATGTATATATATATATATATGAATCATTGTTGAAGCCATGATGGTATAAATAAGTTGTTTAAGCCAGAAGTTACATTATTTTCAAATTGTTTTACTAGTATGGTATAAACCAAACAGTTGCAACATACAAATTTTCTTCCTTATTTATTTATAGATTTGTTCATAGAAAAATTCAATTAGACTAAGTTATAAAAAATAGTATTTATTATCTATGCACTGTTTCTACATACTGTTTAAGAAGGGTGTAAAATAGTAACCTTATAAAACTGCATTGATGATACTTTGTTTTAAACTTTGAAAAATAAACATCTGTGAGTATGTGACTAACACAACAGTGTAAATTGAATGCTACGAAAAATTAATATGTTTCCATTATATTCACTTTGACCTCTGTCTTTACTCTGTAATCTCATTACAATTTTATTACGCATGTCTATACCTTGTATTAGAAGTGCAACCTACAAAATGGTGTAAACCAAACTTAGGATATTTTGTATATAATGTTCCCCACCCAGTGACTATATTGAGTTATTACATGTTATTGTTTTGTGTTGTCATATTTTTATTTTGATGTAGTTATTATTTATAATACAAAGTAACATTCTTTTATGATTCTTTTCTATAGTTGAGGCAGAGTTGGAAGAAAAAGACCTTGTCAGTTGAATGAGAATATAAATTTGTCTTTAGTTCTGTGTCTGTGAATTAGGCATGTGTGTCAGTTGCTGCTTTTTGGCTGTTCTACTTTGACTTTTTTTTTTGCTCACATTCCCATAGGACTAGTGTGATCTATTTCAACCACTGTACTTTGGTTCTTTGATCATTAACTTTTGCTTTTTAAATTTTCTGAAAATCTAAATGAACTAGGTCAACCTGCAACAAAAATTCCTTATGTTTTCCCAGTCAAAATGTAAAAACATGAATGTTACAGGTAATAATGGATTCTTTTTACTCAATTTTCAAAATTGTTTTTTTCTGAAATAACTATGAAACATTAAGAAGATGTGATATTGGTAACCAATGAGACATCTATCCACCAGAGGCCAAATAACATAGATGTAAGCAACTGTAGGTCATTGTACGGCCTTAAACAATGAGCAAAACCCATACTGTATAGTCAGCTAAAAAAATCCATGGTATGGCAAAATGTATAACAGTTCAAACCAAAAAACTAACGACCTAGTTAATGTAGATAAACAAATATGATCGACAGCAACCAATGACAACCACTGAATTACAGGCTCCTTACATGGGACAGGCACATATAAAATGAAGTGGGATTAAACATGCTTGTGAATGCTCAACCCTCCCCTAACCTGGGACAGTGATGTAACAGCACAACATAAGAAAAAACTAAAAAAATCAGTTTAAAAAGGCTGCTTGAGTCATCATATTGATAAAAAGAACCAAAAAACCCAAAGTACTTATCTGATACTACATGTAATTGCAGTTACTGAAAGCTAGTTCAAAGCCAATTACAACTAATAAATAAATCATGTTTTCCATAAGAAAATCAATCAGGATACATCCAATGGATTAAGTGTAAAAACTTCAAAATAGTCTTGAGAAAAACATCAGTTGTGTAATGCCAAAATATAATAATCGATAGGTTGTGAGACCACAAGCCTGTGTTTTTTTTTAATGAAAGAAATAATATTTAAGGTCATGAGAACATTTTGGGGTGATTGGATCACATACATGGTAGCTATGATGCTGTATATGTTCTTGATCTTCAAAATTGGAAATCATCTCTGCTCAAATTAATAGCCGTAGCCTGGTCATACCTTTTTTAACCAGACGTTAGCCAGCTCAACAATTTGTTCAATGTATGTAATAAGGTCATTTTAATGAGAACCACTAATGGTAAGTCAAAGATATTTGGTAGTTGTATAAGCATTGACACATCTTATTTTCCCCAGTGTAATGTGTTGCAGGGGACAGAAATACCGGTAGTCAATCCGTCAGGTCTTGTTAGCACTCTCACATGTACAATTCTTGCCAATTTTATGAAACTTATATTGTAGGTTTATATCAGCAATGTCTTGGACAAGTTCTAAAATCTGTGCCAATCAATTATTTTTAATAATTATGCCCTTGGGAACATTAATTATATGGAAAATTGCATGGTTAGCGTCCTCATGTTTACAATTTTTGCCATATTTTTATGAAACTTATATTTTTTACGTTTATATCAACAATATCTTGGACGAGTTCAACAAATCAGTGCCTATCAATCATTTTTACAACAGTTATGGCCCTTAGAAATATTAATTATGTGGAGAATTGCATTGTTGGTGCTCTCATGTTTACAATTTTTGCCAGATTTTTATGAAACTTATATTTTTTACGTTTATATCAACAATATCTTGGACGAGTTCAACAAATCGGTGCCTATCAATCATTTTTAAACAGTTATGGCCCTAAGAAATATTAATTATATGGAAAATTGCATTGTTGGCGCTCTCATGTGTACAATTCTTGCCAGATTTGTATGAAACTTACATAATAGGTTTATATCAGCAATGTCTCAAATAAGTGCGGATCAAAGATGAGTATGCCCTTTGGAAATATCAAATATATTGAAAATTGCTCTCACGTCTTCAACTCTCTAAGATAATTTAAAGAAGTTTTAAAAAAGACCAGAAGCATTTTTTGTTTGTTTATTGCCCTTGGACAGATAAAATATGTGCAATGAGGACATTCTAACTTTCTAATTTTATTTCATCTGAAATAATTTGGTCTCTCCTCCTTCATAAAAGTCTATTGACTTTGCAAGATTTGATTAGTTTACAAAGATATTTTGCCATTTAAATTTCAACATACATACAGGCATGAAATATCTGTTATAAGTTTATTTTAGAGACTACATTTAGATAAGTCTAGTGTTAAAGTTTTGAAAACATCAATAAACCTTTTCAATAAATTTTTGAAAACATTAAACCTTTTCAATCCTTCATGATTCATGAAAACTTTTACAGAAGAGAGATACCATCTAAGGTATAAAAAAAAACAAAGTTAGCATTTAGGTGCATTTTGTGTGGTTTACGATTTTAAAAGTTAAATAACTTTGTCAAACCTCCATGAAGTTTCCATGTGGAAGTTTAAAAACAAACTTGGCCACAAGTTTATTGTTATTCTTAATCAAGATAAACCCCTGAGTAAAATTTTTATATTTATCTTCACTTTGATCTCGCCTGCAATCAAAATTGCAAGATGCGAGAGAGAGGGAATACTCTTGATTGGTATCTAAAGATCTAAGAGTAAGACTACGAGCACATGTTGCTAGTGAGCTGAGACACATGGTGACCGTAAAACTTATGTAGTGTCGATTTAGTCAGTTGGATCAGTTTTTGTGAAACGATCACACACTGCTAATTAAGTCTATAGTTTGAACATTCACGAGCGTAACTTATCAATTTTGATATTTAAACGTCAAACCCCCGGTTTTTTGGTGAGGTTCGTGTTACTCAGTCTTTAGTTTTCTATGTCGTGTTTAGTGTACTGTTTGTCTTTTGTGCGTTTTTTTGTATTTTGCCATGATATTGCCAGTATGTTTTCGACTTAAAAGTTTGAATATCCCTTTGGTATCTTTCGCCTATGGAAAATTGAAATCATAACGTTTGTCAAAGATTCTAGTTTAAAGTCGTTATAAAGCAGACCTTCTAGTTTCGAGAGTTTCCCGGTAATCACAAGTTCTCTGGGACATACTAGTGTGAGGTACAAACAGGCCCTGAAATGTAGATTACTGAGTGACAGGACATCATCAATATAATTGAAAGAGAAATTAAAGAGCTTTGCAAGATGGTTTTTCATTTTGTCACCGAGAAGGTTTCATATGAGTACAGAAAAAAAGTCGGTCAGTAGTGGTTAGTACCCATTGGACTACCGACGGCCTGACGAAATACATTGTATCACTCAACAAATTTGTTGCTGACCAAAAAGACCACCATTTTGATGATATCATCCTCGGTTGATTGTTTACTTTAATCAGTGCGGTTTTTCATAAATTAATTTTTCAAAGTAGGAGAAATATACTTTGTCTGTCGCAATATCTCAATACACTGACAGAAAGAAGGTTCATAACAATAAAACAAGTAGCCTTTAAAAATGTTTGTTTTTAACTTTACATATTTTTCATAGAGCTGTCACACGAATGAGACAACAAATATTGTTTGAAATAAGCCGCTATTTCCGCTTGGGTTTGAACATTACAATTCACACGAGTACTGGCTTTTGTGTGCACATGAAGACGTATAGTTGGTCATTTAAACAATAGAAGCAGAGCAGATGAGATGGGTTCTACAAATGCATGCTGCCAGTTAAATGTGTAAAGAAAAGAGCGACATGACGTTAGTGATATAAGAAACAAATCTAAAATATAAGAAATAAGTTATGTTTTCCTTAATTTCGATCAAAAGTATAAAGTATTATTTTTAATTTCTACCCTTCAGTTTCTCAGATTATTAAAAAAAGTTGGAAGATGAATGACGATAAAGTTGAAATCTTTTTCAATTCAAAAAAATTATCAATAGAAATTATGAGCTCTTAGAGTGACTGTGCAGTCCGTTAAGTGGAAAACCCAGGCATACCGTTCAAAAATACTAAAATTAAATGTTTTACTTCCAAAAACCAAGCTTTTATTCGAACAAAATACGAAATTATTGCTTGCCCACCTTTATAGTCTTTATAGAGAATTCAAAGATGTTTCTGGTAACGCAACAGTTTGAATAGGGAAAATACCATTTCGATCAAGTGTTGGTTACAAAATTCATTTTTTTATTCTTTTAGGTCAAAACGGCATAAAGTAGACGTGTTATTTGTTCGCCCAAAAAAGATTGGGTGGAAAGATCTGTGACAGTCAGTGTGTGCGTAACCAGTTATTCGACTGAAGTTACTACGTGTATTCTATATACTTCAGCATCAGGACCAAGTCAGACGTTTACAAGTATAAGCGCATGAAGTGAAGAAATAACAAAATTGAGAGTCGCTGACCTTGCAAACTTGTGTCGTTATGATTTTTACCACGGAGAACGTCAAAATATTCTTTGACCCGCGATACAAAAACGGCCTTTGTCATTTGCATATCCAAAAAACAAACGTAGTCGCCGATAAAACAGGTCATTGGACGATATATTTCATTCCCTTAGTTATTTATTGTCTAAAGATGGCGCTTTTTGTGTTTTGTATTGCTTTCCAGGATCTATTTGACCCAAAGCAGAACCCTAAATATGTTCAAATGTCATTCCGTGACTGAAACAACGCCATAGGCGATTGAAAGTCCATGCTCACAATGAGCGATATCTAAAGGGGTTAGAAATGAAGGACAATTTCTTATCGATTTCGAATCTGGAAAAACCTTCTGTCACTCAAAGTCTGATTATATACCATATGAAGAAAGGTTGCACGAAATCGGGCGGCTTTAATATCTATAATTAATATCATAATTTGTGTAGGTTAAAGAAACATTGCATGCAGAGGTAAATAAAACAAGGAACTATCAGGAGAAAACGGCGATTTAACTTATTTTTGTTGAAAAATTGTTTTTGTAAATTGGAAAGCTTCGTTTGACGAAACATTGGAATGGCACATTTCGAAAGTATACATAAAATA